ATTGATTATCTACAACAATATTTGGTCGGTTTTAAAGGATTAGAGGTAAATAAAACAGATTTCCTACTTGGGTTTACAATTGGATTTTTTTGATTATTCGGTGATCGTGAGATGTGGTCTGGTGTGACGTAGAAAAACATTTTCTTTATCGTGCCTACGTTTCGATCTTTCACCTCAAAGAAGTCGACTCCTCATATAAAACTGTCTTTCTATCCCGACTTCCTTCCCCACCCTTTCAAAATCCAACGTATATCTCAATTAAATTCGCTAGTTTCGTGTTCCGCTTGACCAATTAATATCTTATTAACGTTTTCAGTTGAGATAAAAAAGTTAATGGCACGAGCGGGATTCGAACCCACGATTTTCGGCTTGATACGCCGCTGCTCTACCACTTGAACTATCGTGACCTCGATCCACTCGGACACCAACCTCTCATCTCAACCACACCTTTTTGAATTTTTCCTCCTTTTGCCATTTTTCAAATGTCGTGTAATCAATTTGATTCTCGGCGACAAATGAAATGGCCACGGAGAGCTTTAGTGAAGTATACTTCATTTTAAACTTATTAAATTCACTAGTTTCGTGGTCCGCTTGACCAATTAATATCTTACTATTAATTAAAGTTTTCAATTGAGATAAAAAAGTCAATGGCACGAGCTGGATTCGAACCCACGATCTTCGGCTTGATACGCCGCTGCTCTACCACTTGAGCTATCGTGACCTCGATCCACTCNGAGTGGATCGAGGTCACGATAGCTCAAGTGGTAGAGCAGCGGCGTATCAAGCCGAAGATCGTGGGTTCGAATCCCGCTCGTGCCATTGACTTTTTTATCTCAACTGAAAACCTTAATTAATTGTAGTATATCTCAATGTCTCATTGGCACTCTCAACACGACACACAAGAATGGCACAATTACGCAGAAAACAAACACTTCGAGTGAGAAGAAATACTTTTATTGAGTACAAAAATATCTTTTTGCATTGTATAAATTCGCTTTGTTTCCACATCCTGTATTTGTTAAATTTAAACAATGTTTTTAAATCCCAGGCCCTGAAGATGATCTCAATAAAGATCAAAACTTTGGCACGACAAAGAAAATGTTTTTCTGAAACTTACATCACACCAGACCGCATCGATCTCTGAATAATCATTGACTATCGGCCACTAATCACCACACATTGGATTTTGTAATTAAATGTTTGAAGACGTCCATCTTTTCTTTGTTGGTTTTTCTGTAAGGCTTCTTTCTAACGTTCCGGTGCTTTGATTTTTTTGGTTGTACCATTGTTAAGTTTTAAATTTGTTTGGGTAATGGTTTTCACTGATAAAGAATCATTGCATTGCTGGAAGATGGAAGAAGTCAAGCGTAGGTGGCCAGGGTACTTAATATTCCCAGAGCAACTGTCCAAAGGGTCTTCCATCGCTACCAAAATACTGGAGGTTACTTATCTTCACAAAAGCTCTCCGTGGCCATTTCATTTGTCGCCGAGAATCCAATCCGATTATATGGCATTTGAAAAATGACAAAAAGGAGGGAAAATTCGAGAGGTGAGGTTGAGATGGGAAGTTAGTGTCCGAGGGTATCGAAGTCACGATAGCTCAAGTGGTTGAGCAGTGGGTTATTTAGCCGAAGATCGTGGGTTTGAATCCCGCTCGTGACACTGACTTTTTTATCTCGACCAATACCTTTCATAAATATTAATTGAAAAATGTTAATTGATCAATCAGATCACGAACTTTAATGGAGTTACTCAAGAAGTTTACGCACTATAAGGCGAAGACTGTCAGAAGCTGGATGCGAGAAAGGCTTCCTATGGACCAGAATTTCTGACATTCTTCACATCACTTGGTCTGAGCAAGATAGGAATAAAATTTTGTGTTCGGGTCAAGATTTTATTTGAGTCTTCTGTCGGCCAAGAGAGGGAGAAAATGAGAGGGATATATCTCCGCAATATTTTCACTCCGGAGAAGCCATGGAGGTGTTATCGTTTGAGCAGACATTTCTACGGAAGGTCGCACAATCTTGAACATCAGTGAAGGTTCTCTAACAGCTGCGCGATACATTGAAGATGTGTTATCAGAATAAGCTTATATGCCAAGAATTGGCGATTTTATTTTTCTGCATGACAATGCAAAGCCCCACACGGATAAGTTCTTTGGTGACTACATAGAACGGGCTTCAATTCATTGTTTGGATAGGCCAACATGTAGTTCCGACTTAAACCCTATCGAACACCTTTGGTTGTCAAAGAGGGTTAAAAGTCGCCCCAAGGAATTTGCAGGAATTAAGAATGGCGCTGTTCAAGGGGTATAAAAATATTCCACCTCTACTTAGAAAACCTCATAAAATCGATGCCACGTCGAATGTAAGCGGTGATCAGCGCAAGAGGAGGAAATAATCCGTACTTAATTCAATATTTTCTTCATTGTTTCCATAGAATCATTTTACTTAAAATTGTTTTACACAGTTTAATTTTTTCAATTTAACTGTATCTTATATTTTTTAAATATCTAGTAAACAACAAACAATAAAAGTTATAACGGTTCCAAGTATTTACTCAAAAAAAGAGGGTGACCACTTTTTTGCCTCTCAGTGTAGTAATGATCAGCCAAAAAATTGAAACGTATAGAGAAAATTAAATATATTTTAAAACGCTAAAAGAAAGAGAAAAAGTGCATAAATAACAAAAAATATCTGACGTTTTAAATATAAACCGAGACCTGTGTTTGTTTAAGTGATTCCCAGTCTACCCAAAGTGTAATTAATCGTTCAGTTCGTTCTGCAATCCTTTGTTTTGATTTGACCCCATTGCATAAATGGAGTGTGCCTTCCACATATGAACTTTGTACCTTCGAATTTCCGTCTCGACGAGCCAATTTGGAGAAACTTTTCCTTACGAGCAAATATTGACAGTACGCTTGTTAAAATATTCGGTTGTGTTTGAATAAAAAATGAGCATCAGTTTGAAAATCGCCGAATAATACAAGATGGCCAGAGCTATTCCGCTGTAAGCAAATATTATTTATACTAAACATAATTGATGTATTTTCTGAAATAACAATTCTCTTATGTTTGACAAAGAGGAAACATTTGTTGTTTGGTTGATTCGCGCAGTTCTTGTCAATCTGTCGGATGTCGACATTTCACTTTCTTCACTGAGTTATTTAGATATCATTGCTGGTCAAAACAGAGGATATAGGCGGACTAAGATGATCGAAAATGAGCAGTTTACCGGCAGTACCCTCACAGATCTAAAGGTAAAATTTCACAATTTTGTAACATTTTAAATAAGTAATTGTCCACGTCAATTTAAAAAAAATTATGTAGTCATTAAAATGCTTCCAGATAAAAAGGCTAGGGCAATTATTTTAAAAATCAACTCTTGAAGGATCCTTCCCACCGCGAAAGATTGCGTTCTGTCGGAGTCTCAATCCCTAAATAACCTCTAAAGGTCTTATGCCGAGGCAATTACACAATATTCCCACTGCATACTGCGCAAACAAGCGGGGTAATCTAAAAGTGTTTCTCAGCCTTCCTGGGAATCAAATTTAAAAAGTCTCCCACAAAAACTAGAGTAGATGTAAATCTGACGTTTCAAAGGGAGGTAAACAGGGCACAGTAGCAGATAGCCAAATTTAGCTAATGTAAATCGAGTCTATCACGAGGACACCGAACCTTTGACCATATTGCAACCATTGCATAGTTTAAGTATTTAACTAAATTTGCAGACTGCATAATGACGAATATATAAAGGGTGTGCCAGGATGGTTTCAAATATCAAAGATACATAGTGATCATCAGCGGTCTTATCAACGTGCCTTGAAAAACTCCAGCAAAGATGGAGTAACTGCATGATTCATTTTTGTCCTGCTTAGTTCAGAATTTTAAAAATTGGATTGAAAAAATTAAGTAAGTGAACGGATGAAATGTTTTGAGGCTTCAAACCAATTCGAACTTTAACACTGATCGTATGCACAACAGCAAGAATAGACGGACCCAGTAAAATTAGTGTCAATCAATTTAACATGTAATTTTCGCCCACAAATCAATCATAACCGCCAATTTCCACAGCAAGGTCTAAAGTCATATCTGATCAATTGCCAGAAAGATGTCTTTGAAGACTCCCGAGCAATATTGGCTCAAGGAAGGAAGAATGATATTAAACGTGAAAAGTAGGAAGTCACTTGTTTAAAGAAGGTTTGCTAAAGGAATCAAATCGATTGGATGACAGAAAAAAATCGTGTAGGTTTTTTTTTTTTTGGCGTTATGATTTTTTTGTTTAGTTGATACCATCTGATGAAATATTGTACACAATTTTCATTGGTTGGAAAATTGGATAGTTGGTCGTTTTTTATCAATTTGGCCTGATTATCCTAGCTGTTTTGATCTTTGTCATTTCGGCTTCTCGTCATCTTCAGTGCTGGGTCTGTAAGGTAATTTGTTAGTAGTGCACAAATCAAGTTCCCTAACTAGGGTTTTCGAATAGGGTTAAAGCTATCAGCTCGACCGGAGAAATGCAGAAAACAAAAAAGCAAATTATATTGCCTTCTCTTTTTGATAATAATATATAATTCTTACACTACAAAATTACCAGTAATATGGCAAGATTATGTCAAAATAAATTAGATAATTTTTAATTGATCAAATTCAGTTACATCTGAAGTTTGTTTTGAACTTCTACTATGAAAGTTCTGGGGTTTGGTGCTTCAGAACAATATTAAAAAAATCTTTGTTTTCCGTAATATATACATATATATATATATATATTAAACATATATTATATATATTTTATATATGTTATATATATATGTTATTTTTTTACATTGTGTTTGCACGCAATAAAACAAGGGAAGAAAAATAAATAAATAAAAGTAACGCGAAAAGGGAAACAAAATGGAAATTATTTTAAATGCGAAAAAAAGAACAACTTTAAGAGAGAAATGGGGAAAGGAAATAAAAGTTCTTACCTTTTCGATAAAAGAAATAAGTGAAACATACCTGCGCTCTGGTCGAGGCCGGTTGACCGAAGAAGGAAAGCTTTGCAAATAGTAGTTTTCCGATCCAGACTCATCCAAACAGCTATGAAGCGAAGTGCCGTCGAAAATTAAGATGGAACACGTCAAAAGGGCAAGATTCTGAAGAAGAGGGTTGGTCGGAGTACAGTAAAAAAAAGAAGTTTTTGGGGAGGTGGTCAAGAGTTGAGGGGCGGACTCACGAAGTTTAGGGAAAAGGGCCGAGTGGGGCGGACGCGTAAGGCTTAACGTAAATTCATGCACATGCATTAGTAATTTTAAAAAAGGGCTAGCTTCGGGTTTGAGTTATTTATTTTGTTTTAAAAATAACAGCACAATTGTCGAACACAAATGACATGTAAAATAAAACAGTTAATAAAAAAATGTTTTTTTAACGAAACGCCTGTGTAAAAATCTTTTTTGTATGTCGAGGTTTTTTTCACAATCAGAAACTTGTAATAGTGAGAGTCACTGATTTGTTTTTACAATTTGTCTTTTTCTCACAGTAGAAAGTAATCGCAACCGCCGAAAGTGAACGGGACGTTCAGAGAGTACCTCACCCGACTCTTGTACATATGGACCACTCGGACCAGTTCCTCTTTCGCTTTCGACGACATTTTTGTCGTGTCATTAGTGGTAGAACTGCCGATCTGCTTGCAGGAGAGGTCGACGAAACCCGTGTTGCTGATGTGCGGCAGGACCTTCCAGCAAGTCTGAAAAAAAGATCTCAGCATGCACAAACGTTTTATGACTTCTTCCATGCACGATTTCAGCGCCAAACCGAATTTCACACTCATCTCTCCCATGGTTTCCTGATGTGAAGTAGATGTATTACGATTATTAAACAAAACACTTAAATTTACGAGCACTACTTGTTTTCTCGAAGAAAGACATTGTTTATATTTATTCACACATAAAACACGTGTTTCAATTTGTTTTAATGATAATTCAAATTTTTCACAAATGTACGCTTTATTTTATACCGACATATTCTTTATTAAGTATATTTCGTATAGGTGTATGTGGAATTTTTAAAAGTTGTATAAGCATGAAGCCGGAGGCAGCTAGGCGGATCGATGTTTCGAATTATCGGTTAAGCTTTTGCTGTTGTTTACAATACTATATCACTTTCTCTTTCGTCTTATCATAATAAATCAACTCTTTGATCATATCACACCTCAAAATCCTCTAGCACAATAATCTCTCCAAACATTTTTGTATTTTATCTCAGCTTGCCAGCGAGTAAGAGGAAATTGCATCTTTCCTTACACGACACAAAAACAACAACACAACAACAAAAAAAACAACAAAAACAACACTCTTTATGCATATTTATATATGTGATGGAGAGAACGATTAAATTTTTTTTTTTTTGGCGATTGGGTGATTATTTTTTGGAGGCAGAATAGTACCGGTCAAGCCCGAAGGTAAACAAAAATTAAAAAAGCTGTTTTCATGTATATCACTATAACAAGTAGATTTTTCTTTTAAAGACAATTGATACCTGATAATTATCAAAAAGTTCCAATGAGAAATCAACTGAAATAAGCCAATAAATATTGCAGACCTTTGCAAATTTTCCAACATTTCCGCAGAGCTACTTGTGAAATTAGACTTCACCAATAAAAAATTATGAAACTGCACTATTTTAATAACTAGCTATAAGCAGAAACTATAAATAAATTTAATACAATACAAACCGGGTTTACTAATTGGTATTTAATTTTTAAAAAAATGGAAAAGTAAAGATCACCCGAGATACATAGGATATCAAAGAAAATCACTTTAAGCGGAAACAATTAATTTTATTGCTGTAACTCCTAAATTAAGAATTTTTTTAGATTTGAAGAAATGCAGTCAAAAATAATTAGAATTTAAATATTAATAAAATATTGCACAACTTATAACAATTTTAGTGGGATGTGTCTTCCAACCTTATCAAGATATACTAAACCTGCCCGATCGGCGTGTCGTGCGGAATTGTTGCACTGAGCGCCGTGTTTTTGGGACAGCTTGTGAATTGCCTTCATAATCAATACTAAAAATTCAATAGCTCATCTTTTATTCTTCATTATTTAATTTCGTTATTAAATTTTAATTCTTTTTTAAAAATAACTTTTTTTCTGCTTGCTCCCTTTATCAGACAACAGGCATTAGAATTACACAAGTTCCTAATGTAATAGAATACAGTTTTGCTGTACATGGTTCATTTTACTTATCAAAATTGGTTAATAAATTAAAAGAATAACGTACTATTAATAACGTAAATAAATAACAATTTGTGTAAATAAAAAAATATTATATAGTAACTGTAGATTAACTATCACTTATCAATTTAATATAAACAATAAAACATTTGGCCAAACATATCGAATTATTTATTTCTTTATAGTTTTTCAATATTTATTGAGTTCATAAATTTCAAGAACTGCTGGTATACCGAAATCAGTTTTTCTTCCTTCATTGGCCTAGTTTCATTATTTTGAACCAAATATCGTACCAAAATAGATCTTTCTATGTCGGATATGCAACAATCTGTTATCATGTAATCATGTCATCGGGATTACTTATTATATTAAATCTTGCAAGATATGATCTAGTTTTACCATGGTTTGTCATGGCCATTGTGAAGGAATGCTTTACATCTAGACAAAGGCTTATAATCAAGTTATAGTCGGAAAATAGCATTTTGTTATTTTTGCATCATTGGTATTTTTTTCTTCTTCCCACTTTTTATGTTCTCCTCCTTAGTGACGTAGGTTACAGGAACTTCAGAGAAACATATGGGTATTTCCTCATCCTTTGCTGCATCTTTTGCGGTGAAATCTACCATTCCGTTCCCCACTTCACCAGCATGTGCCTTGACCAAACAAATTTTAATATCCCAACCGAAATCATGCCGCAATATTTTTAGTTTTTTCCTGATTTATTCAACTAATTTATGATCGTTTTTGTGGTCTTGAATCATTGAGATGGAGACTGCACTTCCGTATGAAGAATTAGCGTTATTTTTGCCCCTCCCGTTTCATTCTTTAGAAACCACTCTAAAGCTTTCAAAATGGCCAGGAGTTGTTGGAACACCACGCTGCAAGTCTATACTTTGAAGTTGTCACGATTGCTTTTATTTGTGTAATCAAGAAGGCGCATCCAACCATGTTGGTAATTTTGCTACTATCAGGGAAAACTTCATAGTCATAATTCTCATTTATGGAATCAAATTTTAACTCGTCTACGATTGTGACATTTTTGCCTCAGTTGGATGAGTCCAGTTTTCTGGGATTACTGGCTTTTGTATTTCGTATAATGGCGAGGTCAGACTTCTCGCCAATTTTTTATATATATATATTTTTTTTTATTCCAATGGATACCAGAGACTGGAGGAGTTCCCTCCTGAGCACTGCAGCTGAGCTGTACAGCTTATTGTACTTTATCCCTGTCTCCATACTTTACGGGAGGGCTCGCAACACAAATGTGAACTTGAGCTCCCGTTGTACCAGTGTTCTTCCATCGAAGAAACTAATTTTTGAAGGGGGTTGGAACCAAATTCAGGGTCGCTGAGATCCGATCCCGCTCCTTCCATTGATGAGTGCCGTGTCAATTTCTTTCAATTGCGGCCACCGGTCCCCTTAGGCGTCAGAAAAAGTCCAGAGACGACGGTGGGGATCGAACCCACTACAGCGGAATCTACTAGCCGAGAGTCTGACGCCTTAACCACTCGGCCACCGCGGCCCCCTCTCGCCACCTTAACTTCATAGTTTTTAGCTTTTCCTGTATTTTTAGGTCTATAGGTATTATTCCAGCTAGAGTCACAACTGCGTGAAATGATATGATTCTTTATCCTCTGATAATTCTCAGTGTCATTTTACTTTGTACGCTTCCTAGTTGTCGCCTGATGTAATTTTTTCATAATTTTAACACTTGAAGTATTCTAATTACATAACATTAATAGCACAAAATAAGAAATGTACAAATATTTTCTTATTGCTCGTTTTATTATAAGAAAAATTGTTTGCCAAATATGTATATATGTAATTCTGTTTTTAATATAACAAAACGCGCCGCATTTAATATAGTTCAACAATAAAACCATAGCTATTGGAGCTTTAGTATTGACTTAGAAGCTGACCCAAAAGCACGGCGCTCAGTGCTACAGTTCCGCACGACACGCTGATCAGGCATGTTTAGCATATCCGATAATACAATTATTCGGTTTTTAGATATTTACTGCCGTGTGTCGTGCAGAACTGTTTCACTGAGCGCCGTGCTTTTGGGACACCTCTTGATAGGTTTTCTTAACAAACTATGCTTTTTTTAATTAAAAAAAAACCTTACTCAGGAACTTATCGACCACGGTAGTAATAGGTCGTACCTTTACCGACTCGGGGCATAGAGTCAACGAAAAGGTTGACATGTTGGCCAAAAAGGGAGCCAACATGGACTCTCTGGGCCCAGAACCCTACTGCGGCTTAGCAGCCTGTCACGAAAGAGGATACATCTTAAAATGGATCCTTAATGAGCCCAAAAGCTGTTGGAATAATGCCACAGGTATGAGGCAAGAGATTCATAGAAAGACCATCTGCAAAACTTACAAAAGAATTACTGGGAGGCAACCGCAACCGAACCAGGATTCTGGTTGGACTCCTGACAGGGCATTTAGTTTCCCACTAAACATCACCACATCACGGAATATCCTAATTTAAGAGCTTGGTACGCTTTATGAAAAAGTGATATCAGTCCGTTTCGATAGTGATAAAGATATTCCTCTTCTTAAGCAATAAATTGGCAAAAATAACATTATGGCATTTTCTTTTGGTCTCATCACTTAACAAGTTTTTAATTGAATCGCACTATCCAGTAATCCAGCAGGAGCATTAAATTTATTTCATAAAGCATAAAAGCCTAATGGGCGCGTAAAAAATAAACGTACTGTTAGAATAACTTTATAAAAGAGGCTGTAAAAGAACACACCGAATCATTTCAAACCATATTGATAAAAAAAATAGAGCAACAAAACATAGGTAATGTGGTGGACTCAAATTTTTAAAACTTCCAAGCTATTATCCTTTGCTCATTTCTATTCATGTGGGGTTTAGTGACCGTTACTTGATGATTATGAGATCATCTTCAGGGCTCAATAAAGATTGAAACATTGGGACGATAAAGAAAATGTTTTTCTAAAACCTGCGTCACACCAGACCGCATCTAACGACCTCCAAATAATCTATTCACAATATTCAAATTCTTTTGCGAACGACTCTCATTTGCCGCGCTAATGGTTCTGGGGTTGAATTACCGGCATGGCCCATGACTCTTTAATTGAAAATAATATAAAATAAGAGCTTTGTAAACGGGTTTGACTACTCATCTGCTACACCCAACAGGTAATCCGTCGTTAAGCCTCCCTGAATTAGAAAAATTACTATTACGATTCTTTCTAATAATAAATGCACCTCTCCTGATGACACAGACTGCCTTATGGTCCTGATGTTTCCCTCGTTAGTCGTAACATCAAATTCATTGTCATCAGTCATCATTTTATTAAATGCCGATTTTATAATTATCTTGATTTGATTGATAGCCGTCTTAATATTATAACTGTATATAAAATATAAGGCGAATTTTAAAGAAATAAAAACTTCATCACACTTTTGAAACTAATTTTAATAATTTACACGGTTAACAAATATAAAAATCTGTGTACAATATTAAAAATTACAACGCCACCGAGTAGAGAGAATATCTAGCATTCGTTCATTAGTTATTACACTTATTACACACACAAAAAAAAAAAAAAAAAAACCAAGGTGGGACACATCAAGCAACTCTGCACACCGGACACAGACACATGGAGCTTTTGATCCAAAAGTAAGTGTCCGATAATGCATATTTATGGGGAGGATAAAGTGCTTTATTATCGATATTACGAATCGAGTTGTGAAATTCTAATTCAGTATATTTTTTTTATAATTTGAGAGTAATTTAATTTATTAATGTAAATTTTCATGTATTAAATGGACACAGTTACATTGAAATTAAGAGCTTGATGCACCTTACGTAAAACGGTCACCAGTGCATTGGGCCATTTCAATGCGCAGTTATAACGGTGACAAACGAGTTTCTTTTTAATAATAAATGACTTTAAAAGAACACTCAACAAATAATTTAATTTGATTAAAACAATGAACAGTTAAAATACAATTACTCAGTTTTTGTATACTAAGCATGCATTTTCGCCCAATCGTACAAAATTGTAAAAAAAAGCTCCGTGATTTTGATGGAGAGCTCTTTTCTTTTTGTTTCTTTGATCTCTTAAAGACAACTTTTATTATGTATATTGTTAATTGCGTTATGAAATGGATTTTATTCGGACCAAGCTCTTAAATTAGAATATTCCGTTATGTTTACTTTCTACGTGGTATTTAGGCCTTAAAATTAACTTATTGTTGTAGCCGATGAAAAGGCGATCCAATTAACAACTTGTCAATTGGTAAGACTAAAAAGTCACCTGCAATTCATTATAAGTTTCGACATACTCCAACTTCTCGGGTGTTTTTTCTTATTCTGAAATTATTAAAGTTTTGATTGGATATTCTTGTAAACAACCTTGCCTGAACGATAGCATTTGTCTTGGACTGAGACATGTATGGTACAGTATTATTAATGCGCCGTTAGCTATACTAAATGCGACGCATTTTTTATATTAAGGACAGAATTAAATATTTGGCAAACAATTTTTCGTAAAATAAACAAGATAAGAAGAGACAATGTGTTCAGATTTGTTATTTTGTGTTATTAATATTGTGTAATTAGAATATTTCAACTGTTAAAATTTAATAATGAAATGAAATTTTTTGAACAATAAAAGATTAGCTATTTGGTTTTTCGTATTAACTATGAGGAAAATTCTCGTCTCAAAAACACGGCGCTCTGTGCAACAATTCCGCACGACACGCCGATCGGGCATGTTTAGTATATCTCGATAAGTTCAGAAAACACCACTAAAATAATTGTAATTATTTACAATATTTTATTATCATTTAAATTCAAATTGTTTGTTGACAGCATTTCTTCAAACTTAAAAAATCTCAATTGACAAAAACATAGTGACAAAAAGAAAATTAATTATTTCAGCCTTAAATTATTTTTCTCTTTGTTACCGGGTGATCCTTAATTACATTCCAACTAGTAAATCATGAATTTTTTAACATTATACTTTCTTCTTATAGCTTGATTTTTTAATTCTGAAGTATTGAAGATTTGATTTGATGACTTTATGAAACCTTACCTGAATCGTGGGAGTTCTTTCGAAAGGGGGAATGTATCATTATTTATTCGCTATTGATCCGATGTACGAGGGCTACTAATTTTAGCAAGAGCTGATTGTATTATTTATTAAATTTAATTTTTAATTATTGTTAAAACAACTGAGAGCAGTAAAAAATAGTCGAGTATGACCAGTTACTTTACATATATAACTGAAGTTTACTTTATTATTACATGTTGTAATATTATTAAATATTCTGATTGCGCGTTCATGGTAACGCAAAGAATTTGCCATTTAAAATATAATTACAATAAATACATAAATAATGAGTAAAAGACTTCAGTAAAAATAATGCAAATACACACAATGAATTTAGAAAAAAGTTGAAAGTTTGGAAACTTTTAGAAATTCAAGAATGTTAAGCTTTAAAACATTTTAAAATTTATGATTGGCTTCTTAAAACTAACTCAGTATTATAGCATAACCGTGTTTTAAATATTTCTCCCATACGATCAAATCGAAAACATATGAGCAGTTTCTAGAGTTTTTTCATTTTTTTAATCAAGTCTTCTCTAATTATCAATTTTTTCAATGGGGGTTTAACATGGATGTTGAGCACCACTGCTGGAACCATTTTTAAATGTTTGATGGGCGTCTGATAATCATTTTGGCTGAAAGGTTTACCCAAAGAGGACATCAGTTCAAATGACACTTGAGCAGCGAGACAATCCGAGACGAATTGCCGGACCTCAGCCAGCGGTTCTTCTGCTTCGAATGTTCCCTGAAGATAGACGCCATCGGGAAACCTGATGCGAATGAGTGAATAAGCATAGATTTTTACTGTTTTCTGCGACTTTTCCTGCTCCATTTCTCTCATCGCCTTAGTCATCAGTTTAGACGCGGATTTGACGGACTCCGTCCTCTTCTTCTGTTCAGTCTTGACTTCTTCGACGGTCAGCTTGAAGAAATCGTCGTTCGTCTCTAATGGTTTGGTTTCGTTCGCTTTGTAAAGGCACGGGTTCCTGTCTAGATTCAATTTTATCGGCTGGACTGAGCGTAACGTTTTGATCAAATTTTCAAAATAGGCAGCGTCGACGTTGCCCTCCAACACCAGACACTCCTCGACCGACCGTGCGGTTCTGACATTCTTCGTTTTGAAGCCGGCCAGCAGGAGAAAATCCAACGCCCCTTTGACAGGTTTCACCTTTTCTGAGAAAGTCTTGTTCGACATAGATATAGTCTTGTACTTTTCAGAATTCGGATGTTCCAGAATGTTGTTCAAATACGTGCAAAGGAGTTCGACGCAGAGGGTGGCATTCTCCTCGTTATTATACGAATGAATCATCAGGCTGGTTCCGACAATTCTGTTTTTTTCCATTTGTTTTAGGATGTGAGATTCGATCTTTTCCGTCCATTCCTCTCTGGATAGCAGTTCGGGTCCGAGTTGGGGGCAGAGATAAGACACCCCGATTGAGGCCAACACCCCCAGATCTCCAGATGTGTTTCTGTCTACCGAATAGGCGATCTGCTCCGCGCCCGAAGAACTGGACCCCATCACTCGGTACTTCCACAATTACCGTTCTCGCGTTGGTCTCGTAACGACTCTTACTCGAAGAAAAAGCCTCGAGTTTTTAATAACGAACATCGGAGCATATGTTTAAAAATAAATGAAAAACGATTTATAACAAAAATAAAGTGTATTAAAACAGTGTACTTAATTAGATTGTTAATTGCGGAAAATGTTGTTCGGAGAGTCAGAATATGCGGTAGTTGATGACATAGCCGGGTGGAAGAGCGAACGTGTAGTTGGCCATCAGGTGGTAGACGAAGGTCAATTGGTCGAACTCGTCTTTGGCCCGGTCGGACAGCTCTCGCATTTCGTAGCCGAGGTGCGGCGGCGAAGGCCTAAGGTAGGCGAACGTGCGGACCGGCCTGCAGGAAGTGTCGACGATCCCCCGGACTTTGGCGTATGCCAGGACTTCGAAAAGTACCCTGGCAAGCTCGCGCAAGTATCCAAACCTTTCCTTCGCCCGTTGTATCAGGGACCAGGCGGATCTCGTTTCTTGCGGCTCGGACATCATAAAATTGTGTGAACACAGTCGACGACCGCAGCTCCCAAGGCGCACATATTTTTAAAAGAAAAGGGAGAAAGAGAGAGAGAGAACAAGGAATTTTCGTATTTGTTATTAATCAAGCCATGATAATTGTTACAAATTATTACATATGTAAATTTGTACCACCTTATGTTAAACTTGGCTTCGTCCTCCGATCTTCCGTGGTCTTGATTCGCCAACAATTTTGTCAAGAAACAATCCTTGATTTTTTCTCTCGACTTTTAGAGCAATTCAATCAAGTCAACCTGATCATAATATGATTTTAAAATATGTTTATTCGACAACTTTGGCAGTCCGATCAGAAATGTATTGAATCATGACTTTGAAGGTCTGTGCAGTTGTACATTTATTCCTGTTTTTTGTCTATTCAATAATATGAATCTTCTTAGTTTTTCATCTAATATGTGATAAAAAATTACAGAATGGTTCTATATTGCATGACTATAGTATTTTCCAAAGAAGAGCAAGATAGCCTGCAGTCAAATGTAAGAACTTTTATTATGCAATAATATTGAAAAATATAAGCAAAACAAGCGTAATAATTGATTAGATCAAACTACAATTTATAATTAAGTTGAAGAGGATCAGATGGCCAACTAGTAACTAAACTATAGTCTTGTCGAGCTTTCAACGTATATCACGCCATCATCAGGGCCTAAGTTTAACAAATTTACATTTAACAAAATAATTTTAAAATTGACAATGATATTAATGTGAAAGTTGTACTTAATTTGTTAATAATGAAATGTGTGTTTATTAGTGACCTGTTGTTTCATAATTTGCTGGTCATGATGATGAGATAGTTTAGTCGGCAAAAAATGAAAAAGGTTCTAAACTTCCTCATTCTTGAATGCAACTCACGACTTCAACAAATTATTAATAATGAAGTACTTTTAATGTTATCTATGACGCAATTCTTGTGTTTTCGTCTAAAAAGAATCGAAGATAGATACAGGCTTTGTAGTTGATAAAAACATGTTACATAAGCACAATATGAATATGCTTAATAGCATTACAAGAAAGTAATAGAGTTTGAAACCGGACGCCTCGGGCTTAACATTATTTCAGTTGATGGTGGGTTTTGGTTAGTCAAACGCGTTTTCGGCATTGCCCCATCTTCAGTGAGGAACTTTCAGTTGATAATTTCTTAACAACAGCGACCCGGCGTTCAATTGCCCCGAGTCGCGTATTTACGTTCTATGAACTAGCGCAACACGAAAACATTTGGAAAGGCAAGTAAAAAGAAATGCGTGCCCGGTTTATTGCCAGGCCGTTTAGCCCTAAAGACTGTTCGCAGTCGGACGTAATGGAAAACGGCTGTCACTCAGCGGGTACGCGAAACGCCTGGAAACAACAGACGCCACAAAAACGAAATTGTAACATTTTATAATGTAATAATTGTCCCGAGACGTTCCTGACCTTTGTTGACTCCAACGACGCTGGCGGGGGGACGGCTTTCAATTTCTGCCTGTACGGACGAGCTCTTCATTTTGTCAATTGACCATTGTCTTTCAGAGGTTGATTATATTCGAATAACGCGTTTCATATTTAAATTCATCCGATTCCCCTTTGAGAGCAAGTAGATTGATAATCATTTGGTCAAATTCCTTTTGAATACTTTCAAAGGAAAAGTGAGCTTAGTGACACCAACCCCTTCACCAGAAACGTTATGAAAACCCTTTTCTATTTGAAACATGCCCTTATTTATTCACATTGAAACTGGTTGGATGGTTCTGTCAAATTGCAAAATTTCTCCTTGAGATCTGTGGGTTGATGAACCAGTGGTTCGATTTTTTTTCTTATCATCCTTGTGTTTCACATTTTCACCACCTGTTGTCTTTGTCCATTATTGGATAAAAAAAAAAAAATGCCGACCTTAAGGAAAATATTTGTTTATTGCCGAGCTTTTATTGCTTACATGCCAATATCAGGTCTGCACAGAATACTGTAATAGATGTATGCATATTACATCAATCATTGAAGATAAAAATAGAGTATTTACTGTTAACTCCACATGGAGATGAACCAAAAGTTAACTATGTTAGATATTATTTGGGACTGGTTAGGGATGATACTTGATACCAAATTGACATGGACCAATCATTATGCATCAAATTTAGATAAATTATCCAGTCTATTTCACTTCACCGATCCATACACAATAAAAAAAAAAGTATATATGATTCTTTTGATACACAAGTTCCTGGAGTTTATGCCGCATTACGTGATTAGATAAGCTCCAGGTTAAACACTTTAAATATTAATTCTATGAGTAAGATGTGTCGGTGGCCACATGGTTAAGGCGTTGACATGATGTGCATTGTAAGGTAAAGGTTCTGAGTTGGAATCCAGTGGCCCTGTGTTCAAACTCGACATATTTACAAATCAGCTTTTTTTTAAAAAGAAAAAAAAAGCTGCTAGGTTTGGTTTGCTCTACTCTATCCTGTTAAGCTTGAAACTGGTGAATGTTAGGTTGGTTAAAAAGAGAAGCCTCCAACTAAAACTTAAATGGAGAGATAATAACAGCCTAATGAGTGAACATCCAGTACTCATGGCCCCCAGTATGACCTGAACAGGATGTTTTTATTCAAATTTTCCAGATAGACCTAGGGACCAAAAACAATGGGAAATGGCCCTCTGTTGAGAATGGCTACATTTGCTGGTTCACTGATGGATCTAGAACTTAAGAAGGTACAGGGGCTGGTGTGTTTGGCCATGCTACCAAATATTAAAAAATCATGGGCTTTTTCCAGGCTGAAATCCACTCTGTTGAGAGATATACTCAGTTCTAATTGAAAAAAGGCACAAAAAACAAGAACAAAGCAATCATGTCTAATATTCAGGAAGCATCAGAGACTAAACCAAAACATTAATACGTCAAAGATTTCATCCGATTTTTTCTATTCAGAAAATTTGTTATTTGTGTGCTAGTAATAATTACTAGTATTGATTTTTATTATCAACAATAACAAATTTTGCATGATGGTTTTTTAAACCAAAGGGCGAATTTTAAACAAATTTCAATCATTAAAAGTTAATCACAAAGTAAAATAATTGAAAAATTTATCGTCATATTTAAAAAAAATTATAATTATGTACAGAAAATTTGATATCAAACAAGAAATTAAATATCCAAGAAATTTTAAGTTGGATTTTAGAGATTTATCTTTACTCACGATAGCAATAAGTAGTATGTAGTAGTAATTCCTGTCATAGTATGGCTTAAGGTCCAACCCATTAGGTGTCGTATATAAAACCACTTTACAATATTTTTTTCACATATTTTCTACTAAAAAGCCATGGGTTATGCTGAGATTCAAATCCAGAAACACGAGCCAGAGGCCTAACCACCCAGCCATCGCATCCCCTCTCAGGCAGCAATGGTATTGTCACTTTTTAATACATACATAAATTTATGAGATAGTTGTATGTTCAAAATATTTATTTGTTTTTTTCCGGGTTGATTTGGTGCTAATTTTCTAATAGATTTTTTCCTTTGGTAGTTTGATCATCCCCGATTATCTTGGTTTCACATAATGAATTGTGTGAAACCCCACCACTGAAGAATTTGAAAACAGGCAGACACGGATGCCCAGCCTTTTGTGATTCATAACGTAAACTTCAACACAATATTTCACAGCAAAATTACTCAAGTTTAAAACTTCAAATTATTAAATTCATTCTTCACTTTTTTTTTGTCGCCGGCTGTGTGAAAGTAATGCAAATAAAAAGACACGATTTGTTACTTCTTCATATTTTCTATTTTAAATCTCAACCTCTTTCTCTCAATGAGTCTTTTCAGAGGGTACTTAACGATTTCCTCATATCTGGCCCTGCACCTGTAAAGGACAGCAGAAAGGGAGAATACAGTCTTCGATGGCTTGAAAACAAAGGAAAGACAATAGGTCAGAAATTGAATTAAACATATAAGTAGCTTTTATTCACTTTACAAATTAAAAACCCAACTTGTCATTCATAATGAATAAACCCTATGTACACATCAATTTAAAATTGAACATTTTAAACTGTTTTTTTTTTTTTTTTTGGGTCCTGGACGATACCACTTGGAGCAATTTACTTCGTATCTCAAGACAGCATCTCCTACAAGCTGTTCTCATTATCGTTAGCCAATAACTTACTGAATCCCCTCTGTATTTTATTTTTAAGACCGTTTATAAACAGTCTGTTTGTAAGAGATTACAATTTAATAACAACAGTACAATACACACTATAAATGATAATAAAAAGTGGCTCCATTTTGTTTTCTTTTAAATAAATAAGGGACCTCTTTCAAGTGTCATTTATAGTAGACATTGCACCTAATTTAAAAATTTTAATTTTATTGCAATTTTTTAAAAATAAGATGTACATATATACTCGATAGAAATAAATTGTTCCAAGATCTTTCCTATACATTAATACACACTTACACAACCTGAATATATAATTTTACTATATGTTCCTTTAAATTTTTTTTCCCAAATTACCTAACATTAACACCAACACAGAGACATTCAAATATAAAGTTCACCAACCATAGCACTCTTTCATTCTTGTCCCTCTCACTCGTATAAACAGGCCAATTTTGTTATTGTGCCTGAACATTCATCACAACTCGTACAAATTACAATAGAACTTTATTTACATGGTGAGTATTTGTGGTAAAAAATACTTTCAATAATTTAAACGCACAATATACCTCTCTCCTTCCTCCACAATTATTGCAGAGATTGATGATAATAATAATTATAATATTAATTGAAAATTTGAGCTCAAAGAGAAGTACATACCGATTCATAGTCCACTTTGTTATCAATTTTTGCTTGTTGTGCCGAATTAACAGCAAAACAAACTGATCCAACACTTATAACTAAGACTAATTTCTTAGTTTATTCATAAATGATTATCAGCAAAACAGATTGCTTTACATTTTGGTATATTACATTTTTTATTACCTATTGTAATTACAGATATAAGTGTACCAATTTGCTCAAAAACATTTTAGCACAAACAACTAAAACGTATGATATAAAATATACATATCAAAATCAGATATACAATTTTAAGTAAATAAAGTTTATCATTTTTTCATTTTATAATGTTGTGGTAAGAGAATAAATAACTGTAAAAACTTATATTCTAATTTTATTAATTTTTTATATATTGATGTACAAACAATGTAAAACAAGTTTCTGTACAACGTAATAAAAGTGCAATGTTTATTGCACCAAAGAAGAAATCAGCTTTTTTTGTGCCTTCTTTCACCTTAACTATCAAGTTAACGAACAAGTTAAAATTAAACATTTTAAAATTTGTTGTAAACTGAAATGAAATAAATAGGGTCCATATATGTGTACTGGGTGGTCAACGTTCAGCGCTTGACCCGAGGGTTTAGCCCCCTGGCCGTTAGAGGGTTGATGCTATTTGTTTTGTAAGTGTGACTCAAGCCTAGTATATGCATCCGTGTACGGGGACAGGAGTTGTTGTACAGATGGTTGGGCATTCTGTCAAATGGCAATCAAAAGCTGCACAATTTCGCACACGTATACTTATGAGAACCTTGGCCGTTTTGATGGTGACAAGAGATCACTGCTTTCCTCTTCCTCTTCATCTGAATCGCCCTCGTAGTCCACCAGGCCCTGTAACAATTGGAAATTTTAATTTTCTCAAATATCACGAAAGACAGTAAAGAAGAGAGGAAAGAAGTGAGCAAATACATTTTAAAATATTTAGTAATTTTTTTTTGTGAAAATGTTATACTTAATTAGTCGAAAATGTAACTTATTTAATTAAAGATTACCTTTTTGAATAATGCTGTACACTTTGCATCTGACTGGACAGGACTAAGCGGAGCTGAGTTCAGATTGAGGTTGTTGTTTATAAGTGACTTGCCACTGTTGGTGAATGTTTTACCACTGCTACCTTCATTTTTCTTGTCCAGTGTTTTGCCTAAAAGATTTTTAATTTTGACAAATAATCTTTGATGTTATTTATTGAGTTACTTTCAAAAAGCTTAAGCTTACCAATTGAATCAATCTCTTGTGTCGCTTTCTTGTTGATAATATTGCTGGCGGCAGGGACAACAGCCTCACCCTCATCAAAATCATCATCTTCGTTGAACCACATCTCCTCCTCTTCATCCAACTGCCTGGGTTCTCTCCATAACATGTTATTCCTTAGTATTGATGGGACACTGAAAACATTAACAAATGAGGTTTTTTAAACAACTAAAAAAATTTCTTAGGAAGAAGTTTTCAAGGTATTTATTCTTTAAGTAGCTTAATTATTGATTTGGCAAGAAAGTAATGTCATTTTCAATTGTAAGGATTAATTAGCTCAGCATTTACATTTTTTGTTTATATTAGGGATATTCACAAACTTTGTGTTAACCATGATAACTCTGTTAATCCAGTTAGATATAGAAAAATTATGAAGTAGAATCGGCTGCTTATCATTGCTTGAATTTTAGTTGTTAAGTCAAATCGAATAGCAGAGTAATAAAGGCTGTCAACCATTAGGACTGTTATATATTTTTATTTTTAAATAAGCTTTAATTAAATTCGACCAATAAAATTTCTGTCCTATCCTCATACCCTCATTCATAGTTTCATAGTTCTTCCTCAACAAAGTATATATTTACGAACCAATTATTATACCTCTTTCTTATCTAGTCAGTTCAGATATTTGTCTTAAGTAAAGCAGCGATTTATGTGCTGCATAATTTGTCTAGACTTCTAAACATTCTACAAGCTCTTATTCCATTTCACCATGAAAAATTTCATACAAATCAAACATTGCATTTTGAATCAAAGACTTGATTAGTTTTATCTTTCGACAGACTTTCGGCATTTTGGAAAAATACTCTTCCTTCACAACCTAAGCTTTACCTACAATAACAACTCGTCAACAACTTCTAAACCTTTAACAAAAGTTTTTGGTTCTATTAGTTGCCACGTGCGGAACTGTGATCAAGAACTAACATATTAACGGGTGGTGTTTAGTGACCATTAGCCAATAATTATTTGGAGATCGTGAGGTGCAGTCTGGTGTGACGTAGGTTTTAGAAAAACATTTTCTTTATCGTGCCAACGTTTCAATCTTTATTGAGATCATCTTCAGGGTCTTTTTTCACATTTTACATGTATTTGTAAAATTTAAACAATGTTTATAAATCTCAAGCCCTGAAGATGATCTCAATAAAGATCAAAATGTTGGTATGATAAAACCAAACCTCAAGATCTCCAAATTAACATTAACATAGAAATAAGAAAAGGGGTGTTCATAATCTTACCCATCGTTTTCGACTTGGCTTAACAAGTGCTAACATCTAACACAAATTGTGAATTTATTTTCATTTTTATTTTATTTCATTTATATTTTAGTATTTAAATTTACAAATATGTCTAAATTAAAAGGCTTTATTTCTCCTTAGCTACTGTTTTCAAATTTAGTTGTGTCGAATAATTTAATACGCCATCACATCTTTAGATGAAACACGTTGCAACTGAAAATTTGTGTGCAATGTTTGACACTAATGCTGTAAATGTTCACAAAGTCCAACGGTGGTTTGCTCGGTTTACATAAGGAAATTTTATTCTTGAAGAAGATGATTCCTTTTGATGTTGAAGATACATAGTAAAATACATTTGTTCAGTATTGCCTCTACAACCATGTGAAAACCACATCCAAAGTCTTGGGTTCATTCATAAGATGCTCCATGGATCCCACACAACAGGAATTTGGCGGATCCCATCTCAATTTGCTCTTCACTCCTCTGTCATCACTCTTACGACCCATTTTTTCATAGATTGGTAACAGGTGATGAAAAAGGGATCACATATAAAAACATAGACTGCAAAAATTGCCAACACTGTCCAGTTGTTCAAAAACCACAAATGTAAAAAAAGTAATCTTTGTGTTTGGTGGGACTGGTCGGCCCCCTTGGATTTTGTGGTTTTACCACAAGAGCAAACGGTTAATAGTGAAGTGTAATGGACAGCTTACACTTTTAGACCTTAAAATATGCACTAGCAAACAGAAAAAAAGAGTCTTTCACCACAACGCCTGCCCCCACGTTGTTTTGAGGACCAAATAATAATTAACTAATCTGAATTAGGATATTTCACACCTGCCATACTGTCAGACATTTCTCCTTGGTACTATTTATTTTGGTCATTACAAAATTTTTTAAATGACCAAAACTTTGGAAATGTTCAAACAGCTGTTCAAACAATCCTAGACTCAAAAGATGGGAATTTTTTTAAGGAATGCATCCTGAAATATGGCAAAAATTGGACAGTACATCACTGAATAGTTAGAAACGTGCCAGACAAAAAGTAAAAATATATACTGGAAAAAGTCATTATTTTCTTGCCAAATCAATATGTTGAAGGATCTAACTAAACATCCAAGTTGTATAAGGAGCCATATTTTTGACCAAAGAAAATATTGTTTAAAAAAAGTGCTGGAACTTCAATGAGAAATAAAAACCAATCCCAAATGAAAATAAAATAACATCCAAAAGAAATAAACAACAGTAAATTATGCTCTATTTAGACATAAGAAACAAATATAATAATAATAAAAAGAAAAAAAAAAAAAAAAAAGAAATATTCACCTATCCAATGTTGGCTTTTCTCTATCTTTCAACTTATCCTGGTGTTGGTTGTATCGTATCCTCAAACCTTTGAATGTTTGTACATAGTCAATTTCGTCCAAAACCTTGCCATAGTTTTCAACAACATGAGACATTAATGTTTTAATATCCTCCTGTAATTGATTAATTCATATAAAACAATAAAGTCGATAATATATTTTTTTTTCTGTTTTTTTAAAATAGTGCGCAATACACTTACAAGTTTTATAAATTCAAACATTTCTAAAACGGCTGAGTCTAGCAGATTGTACCGGCCGTTATTCCGGATAAATGCATCGATCACAGGCGCAAATAAATTACCTTTTATAATGTATCTATTATAAAAGTCATCTTTTAGTGCAATAATTTTCCTCATAAATCTTAAAGCGCCTAAGAATCACATAAAAATGAGAATCAATTATGGAAATTTGAACAATTTGATAACAAATAATATAAAAATCGGCTTACAAAGAACGAGGAAGGTGTGCGAAGATTTCATTAGTACCAAAATACATCTGAGAAGATCCTTATTTATAATACAATTTCTTGTGTGAAAAGTGTGATGCTCGACACAGAATGACAAGAGTTCAAGAATAAGACCTAAAAGTTGAACTGTCCTGTAGTCATCCTTCGCTAAAACTCCATCGGCTGTATTTTGTAACAGGGGTTCTGTAAAAAGATTTAAACAAATTAGATGTTAGTACGGCTATAAAAGTACAAGCCGATATTAATTAAATACCGATTAATATGTGGATGCTATGTTTGTAAAAATAATTGAGGAAATCTGCTTTTTCGCCCTTGTTGATGGATGTCATCATGTTTTCCGGGTCGATGAGTATTCGCAAGATTCCCATTAGTTGGACAGCTCGCCCCAATTCGGGATCTGTGTCGCACATCATTTGTTCCAATATCACATTTAGCAGCACCAATTCCTAGGAGGGTAAAAAATTAATTATTGAAAAGGTATAATTTTTGTTTAAAAAGAAAAAAAAACTATTATCTTCAATAAAAATCAATTTGGACTCTTATACTTGAAAACATGAAATATTGGCATTATTTGCTTGCAATACAGATACATTTCCATCGTTAATCACACACATATTGTAAATTTTTAAATTATTGTGATCTGACCTTTCTACAATGTTTTTGACTAAACTTTGAGCCTGCCTTTCGTCATTTTGGTTTGTGTCTCTTTGGGAAAGGGGGAACACAGATGACAAAATAACACAGAGAGACCCACCAACGATGACGAGATGCAGAAATACACCTGACAGACCAAAACAGTAAGAATGGGCAGACCAAAATAATTGGAAGCGACTGAACTAAATTTTCTGTTTAATATAACTAAAAATTTATTTACAAATGTGTACCAGGGAACATGGAAGCTTGGTAATTAAAGCAACCGAATCTCATAATAGATGTTCTGGGTTAAAATCTCAAAATTTAATATGAAATTATTGGAAAACAATAATATAAGTTTAAGCCTTCATCCATAACACCCAAAGCAGGAAGATCTTGTTTAACTTTACTTTTCCTGTTTTTGCATTGAAGCCAATAAAAAAAAATGTCATTGTCAACTCATTGTCATTTAAAGTAGGCATAAGAAATTACTGTCGTTAAATTGGAGCAGCTTATGTTTACAAAATTTATGAAGTATAAAATTAAAATAATATCAATTAACATTATAAAAGTTTCAAAGGTGAGTTTTTTGTATTCACTCTTTGGATTAAAAAAATATTTATTTCTAGATTGTTATAATTAGCTTATAAAAAAAAAGATTACTTGCCAGTAATTACAATATATAAGTTAAGTCAATATTTCTGATGAAAGGCGAAAGCATTGTTTGAACGAATTATCTTATCTTCGATTTGTTGTACTATCTAATATTAACTTTTGTAAACAATGGCAAATTATCATACCATTAATTACAATTTTTAAATTTGAAATTATTTTTTGTTTTAGCTCAGTAACTCTTACCGTAACGTCAGACAATTTTAATAAATCCAACAAGACTTACATCATCCGAGTTTTGTGTTTGTTGTAGCGTATGTTCTCTCACGACCGACGGCGAGAATTCGACAAAGTATGTCAGAATGTCTATTGAGGCCATTTTTGTCGGTATATCATCACAGGAGAGTGTGATTTCAAGGGCTGGTAAAATTCCTAATGAAGATAGTGTCTAAAAACAAAAAATTTAACATATAATTAACAATTTATAAGGTAATGTTTGTAAATTTTTGTTTAAAATGAACATTTACCTTGTAAAATGTCTCTTTACCGTGTGGTTGCAAATTTTGGGAAAAATTACAATATTCTTTTAGAAATAAAACTAAATCCCTTCTTTTCAAAGGTGTTGTTGATTCATCAGTAATAAGTCCTAGTATGTCACTCAGGAGTTTGTCATCCTCCTATAAAAAAAAAAAAAAAAAAAAATTGTAAAATATAAACGAATAAATCAAGGATCTAGAAACGAACAAACAAAACTAACCTGAATTAATGTGACAATTTCAACCTTATTGAAATAAATAAAACTTGACAATGTTGAAAGCATGTTGTCCTCAAATACTGAAGGCGTGGGTAGCACAACATCCTGTATATACTGAACACGATAAGTCTGATGTATTTTCGACAGTAGTTCATGGTTCGATATAGGTATCACTTCTTTATATCTGTAATAGAGACAATAAATATAATAAATGCATCTTGAAAAAAAAAAGAAAAGAAAAAATTTTCTAGCGGGCGTACTTGGACATTGTTCTTAAATAATGCCTGTGTTTCTTGGGAGTCGCTGATGAAGGATCGTACTCTAAACAACCCACCACATCAAATATTGTGTCATCTGAAAATAATTTTCTTGATTTAACATATTTTCTTTATATCAATGGATGAACGAATCGATTCGAAATGTTAACATACCGGCAAACATGACTTCAAAGAGTCCATTTTTGTTCAAAAGGAAAATATTTTTAAATATGTCATAGAGAAAATGAAGGCCTTCAATATTCTCCAGGTCTTCACACATGTGAAATAGATTGAGGAGCTTCTTAATGTAGCCCTCTGTTTCTAAAGCAGTCGCCAGCTTGTCTTTTCTCATCGGCGAGGGCAGACAGCTTGCAATCAGCTGGAAAAAAGATTTTTTTTAAATAATTTGAAGTACAATCATTCGTAGCACAATGGACAGGAATAAATAACATATGTACGATATATGTCCGAGTTTCATCAAATATGCTGAACGGGCATTGGGTCACTTATTGGGTCCATTTTCACTCGTGGTTACATGAACTATTCAAACATGTTTTGGCATTGATTTTCATTGAGGAACTTTGCCGTCTTAACTAATCTGCAAGTGAAGTTGGTTCAATAAGTGACCAAATGTCAGTTCAGTGTGAGTTCACAGATACGCAGATGCCCTGTATCAAACAGATTCAGGCCTTTAAGTTAATGGATATTTTAATGTACTTTATTGTCATAAATTAACCAAGTATCACGTGATATAAGACTGCCATATGGCCACCACTGCAGGCCCCAACATTTAAAAAGTTTGAAATTTTTAGTTATCACCCAGAAGAATAAAGAATTTATTTTTTCATAATGATATTAAAAAAAAAATTTATTATTTAAAAAAAGTTTTCATAAATTTTTCTTGAAAATTGTAACTAACTTCCACAACCAGTAAAAAATATATAAACTTGGGAAAGAAAAGAGATTTTATGACTTCTTAAATCATTAGCTTTTTAAGAAAAGGTTACATTTGAAGAAAACAATTTTATTTAATAGTTTAATTTTCTTTTGAATAAAAAATTACTTTTCAAAATTTTTCTTTTTCTTTAAAACCTCTCTGTAGAAATTTTTTCCATTTTTTTTTTACAATTTTTATAAAAATTTGATTTTATCCATAACAATACCTTAACATATCCTTTTAAAATAGATATAATTGTTTATAACGTCCATTAATCTATTATAAAATGCCTGTTGTTAACATTTCCCAGATGGCATGAGTTTTTCTTTGCTTTAGTTCATGCAAATTCTGAAATATTGTTGGTATTAACATTGTACAAGTTGCGGGGAAGAATTTTTTTCCCTGATATTAAAGAATTAATATAGCAATTTTTTAGAAAATTTAAAATCAAATATCGAGAGGGCTGAATTTTTTTAAAAAATACATGTATTTTTATAGTTATAAAAAAATCAGTGATAAAAATTTGAGATATTGTTTAATCTTACCTCACAAATTTCTTCAAGCTTTCCAAGCTCGCATGGAGGGAGTTCTATTGGAGGCGCTGTGTCGGACATATCGTCGAATCGTTCATCTTCTGACTCTTCGACGATGTCTTGTGTAATCTCGACCGACGGGTCCTTGCCTTGCACCTGGCAGATCTTTTCCCACATTTCATCACAGCCTGCCTTCTCCTGGAAGCTTAAAGCCAAGTCGAAGTTGTCTCCTTCGGACCAAACAATCAACGTGTCCTGTTGTTTTTGATAGGCAGTGTCTGGTTGGATTTTCGACTCGAGTAAAAGAGATCCTGTGATTTAAAAAGAAAAGCGTCGGAATTTTCGTTATACATTTTTATTTGTTTGATTATACCATCAACTTCTGCTCTGACAAGTAATGAAATCCCTTTAAGGCGCTCAACGTAGCTAGATGAGACATGACCAGTTCCGCGATCGTCCCATTGCCTTTCGGCGTTGAGTGCATAAAGTTTCACTCTTCTTCTTGTATCAGCCATTTTTTTGTCTTGTCTTTTAACAGTCTAATTAAAACAGCAACCTCATCTAAAAATAATGTTTTGTTTTTATTTATAGCTCATAACAATATTGAGGCATTTTAGCATGTGTTTTTTTCTCTATTTTAGGAAAACAAAATTGATTTTAAAAATTCTAAAGGGTTCTAAGAGGAAAGAATTCTAAGGAAAGATAGATTGTTTAAAATATAAAATCAATAAAGGAGCACGCAATTATCATAAAGAACACAAACCCAATCAAATAATTTTCATTAAAAAAAGGAAACTTTTCAATACTCAATTTTGGCAGATTTTATACAAATTTCAGAATTTCTGTTTCCCAATGTTACTATAGAAAGCCGTTTAAATTGCATTTCTTCCCATACAAAAGCATAAGATTTAATTTCAATTTACCCATTGGGAAATGGGGTAACAATTGACAATCTCAAGATCAATGTAAATAATGCAAAATCAAAGAAGCCGGATATCTTTACTGCAAACAATAGCCTCACCTCGAGTTCAATTCTTATAATTATAAATACGGGATATATTGATACTATTAACCAGACATTAACAATTTAATAAATCTTGCAATTTTTTAAAATAATTTATTTGTAGCCTGTACATATAAAAATAATGTTTTTTCGCTTGATCACAACACCGATATTAAGGACAGCACTGCACCTGGAGGATCAGTTAACAAAACTGACTGGCACTCAACATGAGGATTAAGGTACGAGGAAGTCTAGAGGTTTAAGGCGACAGGATTCTCGGGATGGGAACATGTAGGGTATAGTAGTGCGGTTAGGGGAGAACGAAAATTTGGCGTGGAACTTTTGGAAGCGGGATCAGATCAATTAATCAACAAAAATAATGTTGTGGATAGTGAGGTTGATGATGTAGTAACTTTGATAATTTGTCTGAGGTCACAACTGCTTACAAAGTACATCTTACATTACATTTTACCCCCCCTTTTTTTTATATTGTAGTTAATTTATTTTTATTGAACCTTCATAGAAAAATAATCTGGGAACAACAGAAGAAAATTCAAGCTTTTCTACATACGTGTCAGGCCCAGCAATTGGTAATGTATATGCGATAGAAGAATCTGAACATTTAAAACTGACATAGTTCTATCGGTTAAAGTAAAAATGTGATAGAAAAGAGAAAAGAACTCGACAGATTTTTGCAGACCTATGATAATAAAATAAATGAATCAAAACTCTGTTAAATGAAGTAAAAATCCAGCTGCTTCTGTTTTTAAGAGAGTAAATTTTTGGTGACAAATATATCCTTCAAAAAGCTTAACAGATATAACAATTCAAATCTCTTTTACCTACTGAGGCACTTTTATAATTTTTAAAGGTTTACTTGTGCCTAAAGGACATAAAAATTATTAGTAACAGTTATATTTGTAAATATGTATATAAATTCCCATATTGTCAAAGAGGTGTCATTTTCAACAGGCACAACATAAATAGAATATGATATGGTGAAAGCAATCAGAATTATAAATTTTCAAGTCTAATTTTGATAATTGTTTAAAACAACTACAAAACAAAAAAAACATTAAAACAGAAATTTTACTAAGTACAACATTCAAATGGGCAGACAAAACTATATGATCACTGATGAAAGCACAGAGCAGAAACTAATCAAGAATCGGTTATAAATACTGTAACATAAAAAAATATCTTGTAAAATATAAAATTGACATTAGTCAATCTCATTAAGTAGAATACAAAGAGAAATTTCACAAAAGTTTGAAATATAGGACGGAAGAAGGGTGTGTTTTGATTTGAAAAAATTGAAAATAAATTTGCAGCGTTCATTACACAGAGACATTTAATTTACTATTACTACCTCATGAGACATCAAACAATTAAGATAAATTGAGATATAAAAAATTATATTATCATAACTTGATAATATTGTTATTCTTAGTTTTATTCTATGGGTGTTATTAAAATTGATTTTTTTACGAACCAAAATTTGGTTTTTCTCCGTCTGTAGAATAGAGTGGGTAGCAAGGTAAAAAATCAATTGATGTAATGAACACACACACACAAAATAAATCAATAAAAAATATTAAAAAAATAAATGGAGGTTGTTTAATAAATCCAAAACTAAAGTTATTGTTGTTAAACATGAAATCTAACTACTGAGATGTTTTAATTTAATGGTTATTAACTATCACAAGATTCCCTCAAATCAATTATTCATTACAATTAACAAAAAAGTTGTAAAAAGGCGCTGCGATTTTGGATGTTTAAGGCACAATATGAAGTGTGCGGAAAATGTGATCAACATGACTCCACTAAACATTAAATAAACTTTGACTCATTCCATTAAGCCAACTAAATGTTTACACAAAATTAAAACCTTACGCTGCTGAAAATATTACCCTCAAATCAAAGCAGAAATAAATTATGTATTTAAAAAAAAATCCAGGATAAGCCTAATTTGAAAGATGAAACAATCAGTTCCTTCATCCAGCTTTCAAGATATGTCCTTCATCAAGACTCGTCATCGTTAATATTGAAAACTGACTAGGATCGACCAACAATCTATAACTTTGTTTTTTAGGAACGGAAGGAGGTCCAATGTAATACACTAATTACAGTTTCACCAAGCTTTCAACTTATATTACATCATCAATAGTTCAGCCCTGATGAAGGTGTAATACATGTCAAAAGTTTGGCGAAACAATAATTAGTATATCATTGGGGCTCCTTCTGATCCTTCAAACAAAATAATATTACAGGATGATATCAGTAATAGTGAGGTAAATTGTAAATATTGAAATAATAAATTAAGACGTACAGACGATTTTGTACACATAAAATTGACTCACGCTAATCTCTAAAACCAGGAAATAAAACTATTGGTATGTACAATGAATGATATAAATACAATAACAGACTGTAAGCCCTTTTCACAGGTTTATGCCTAACAAAATTAAACAATAATTTGTAAACATTGCAACTGAAAGCTGCAAGGAAATAGCTCTCATAAAATTGACTTTATGTCAATTTCTTGAATCACAAAATAGAAAATATTGGTATAATTACAATGTGGACCATAAATCCTTAGCAATTATCATTCAGCTTATGAACCTTGGGACAATTACAAACCTAGGTTTATATTCAACTTAGTATTTCAAAATAAATATAATAAATTTACAATAATACAAATAAAATAGTCCAGTAACATCGAATAACTAAGATATAAATGAATTTAAACCTCCATTCATAAGACAATAATTTTTAAATAAAGTTTATTCTTCAAAATAATCAAATCACACCAACAAAATTGAGCAATAAATTGTAAATATTACAATTGCAAACTGTGAGACAATCGTGAAGTCATAATATTGACTTTAGGTCAATTTCTTAAACCAGGAAATAAAAAATATTGGTATGATCACAATACAGACTGTAAATCCTTGGGCTTATTGTTGTTAAGCTTATGAACCTTGGGACAATTATAAACCTAGTTTTACATTCAACTTGGTATTTTGACACAAATCTAAGTCGACAATCTTCAAAATCATAATTAAATTCTAAATAAAGTTAAAACACATTTTTGTAAAGACAGCGATTTTTCGAAAAAGTATTTCCTTCAAAATAATCAAATTAGAGATTTAAAATTAAAGCTACTTTTAACCTGTGAACTTATGCTATACTTTTTAAGGCATTTCCTAACTAAATTAAGTTTCAAACAATGTAAATTGAACATAAGAAAATTTGAATGTGAGATTTCCTCTTGTGTTCTGGGGATGATTAACCTACAATTTAATCATCTACCAGTGTGTCTGTGTGATTCTGTTAAATCAAGTCTCTTTTTTATATTGTCATAAGCTTTACAGAGATAGAATTTGGATGGGTGTAAAGCACCGAAAGAAACCCACACATCCCACCCCAATACAAATTATAAGACACTTGGCAGACCGACCCAGCAAGGACAGGCATAACAAGATAGGCAAAGATCAAATTATTATAAAATTTACATTAAGTCAATCTTAAAAAAACCAGGCAATATAAAATATTGATATAAATACAAAAATTACAGACAGTAAATCCTTGAGGTTATTCTAATCAAGTTTAGTAATTGTGCTATGGTCCATTAGCTTAACAGCAATAAGCTCAAGGATTTACAGCCTGAAATGATTGTATTTATATCAATAATTTTGTGTTTAAAAACCAGGATGTGGCCAATTAGAAAGTTAAGAAGATTCTCAGTTCTTTCATAAAGCTTTTGTGGAATATAATTTATTTCATCGAGACTTGATGCCAATACAGAATGGATGGGTTGTAGATTTTGTTCCATAATCTAGGTTTGAAACGATAAGTTTTAAAACTGTATGTGTTCATATTTAACTATGTGAAATATTAACAATAGATTCAAAGTAATAATGAACGGCATACATATATTCCCCAAGAATATTTTCTTTTCTTACAAATTGACCTTATCTGTCAGTTTTGAACCCAAAATTATTGTAATCAATACAATAATTTCAGACAGTAAATTCTTCTGTTGTTATTATTGAGCCAATGTACCATAGGATGATTACTAGATTTATATAATAGTAAAAAGCCCTGATGAATGGATTATATTCCTCGAAAGTTTGAAGAAGGAATTTAGTGTTTTCTTTTCTTACAAACTGACCTCATCCCTGATTTTTAATATTTCAACACAATTATAAGCTGTCAATAATTTAACATAATAACGAAATGAAAAATAGAGTTAAACCCTGCTTTTAACCTTCGAAATATTCAACTCATATTTTTAAAATTTAAACTACTTTTAACCAGTGAGCTCATGTGGACCTTTTAAGGCTTATCCTAACTAGACCACGCAATATTTTGTAAACATTGCAATTCTAAACCGCGCAACAACTGAAGAGTCATAAAATTGACGTATGCCCTAAAACCAGGAAATATCAAATTCAATATAATCGATATCAGCCATTAACATTATAATTTTATATTAAAAGAAAAGCAAATTTGTAACAATAGAAAACACTCACTAGATCTACATATCCAAAGATAGTGGAATTCAATTAATTATTAAAATATTTATTAATAGTTTCAAATGATGAAGAGGTAGTCCTTGAAAGCTTAACAAAGGAACTGAGTTTTCATTTCTTCTGAATTTGCCTTATCCCTGATTTTTCAATATAAAATTATAGATATAAATACAACCATGACAGACAGTGAATCCTCGAAGTTATAGTCATTAAGCTAATGGACTGTAGGTCAATCTCTAAAACCAAGATATAATAGATATAATATATAAAATATCGATATAATAGATAACAGCCTTTAATATTATAATTTTATAGAAAAAAATGAGGGATAAGGCCAATTTGTAAAAAGAGAAAACACCCACTTCCTACAAGCTTTTTAGGAATATATCCCCCCATTCATCAGGACTTTGATACTTCATTGAAAAACTCCAGAATATTTTTTCCTCTTTATTAAAATAAATGAATTTTGGTCTAGTATCAACAACCCCTCTTCACTGATGACATTTCGACTTTCATTCCCGGAATAAATGTATGAATGATGACTTTATTGGCATTTAGTTACGATGTTAAACGATTGTCAAGTTTATATTTTTGTTAAAATACCAAGTTGAATATCTATCTAGTTTTCTAATTGTCCTAGAGTTAATTATCTTAATGACAATAACCTTGAGGATTTACAGTCTATAATGATTGTATTCATACCAATAATTTTATATTAAAAATTGAGGGACCATGCTAATTCGAAAGAACATAAAAGCATAGTTCATCCGTCAAGCTTTTGTGGAATATACCCCCTTCATCAGGACTTTGAAACTATTATTAAATAATTATTTCAATACTGATAATTGATACATCTGTATATGTAGTTCATTTCATTATCTACTCGCTAATTATTGCAGTAATTTCAGAACTGTAGATGGATGTTCATATTTTGAATCTTGTGAATTATTAATAATAGTTATTAGGAGATCATGAAATGCGGCCTGGTGTAACGTAGGTTAAAAAAAAACATTTTCTTTATAGTGTCAACGTTTCGATCTTTATCGAGATCATCTTCAGGACTCAAAGTGTTCGTTTTCCATGTAGATGTGTCATTCTTGTCTGTCGTGTTGAGAGTGGGCACTATGAGCCCTGAAGATGATCTTAATAAAGATCGAAACGTTGGCACGATAAAGAAAATGTTTTTCTAAAATCTACATCACACCAGACTGCATCTCACGATGTACAAATAATCATTAACTAATGGTCACTAAACCCCACATATTAATATTGGTTTCAAAATCCTGAAGAAAGAGATATCTTAGTTGAAAGCTTGTCAAAAAAACTAAGTTCGTTCTTTTCTTTCCAATTGGCCTTATCACTATTTTTTAATACAAAATTGTAATATTACAGGCTTATATCAACCTTCCGTGGACATGGGTGATACTTGATTGAAGAACTGCAGTATTTTTTGTCTTTATTAAAATGAATGCATTTTGGGCTGATTTCTATTTCCACTCTTCACCTGATGATGTTTCTGCTTCATTCTTTCATCATACATACATTCATCCATTCATTCCTGGATTGTAGCCGGAACATCATCAACTGAAGAAGGGCTATTGGAAATAGCCCAAAATCATTCATTTTAATAATGAGAAAAAATATACAGGAGTTCTTCAATAAAATATCACCAATGTCCATAGAGAATTTGTGCCCATAAGGAAAAGAAACCTAGGTATCAATTATATTAATTATTTTGTATTTCTAGGTTTAGAGATTGACCTAAATTCAAGTTTACAATTGCAATGTTCGGCTAGGATAAGTCTTAATTTTACATGTGCGATGAATTATTTTGAAGGATGAACTTTAAAAAATTACCACCTTTAGAAATGTTTAACTTCATTTATCTTTTAGTTATGTTGTTAAATGATTGTCGACTTATATTGCGCTGAGTTACCGAGTTAAAAATTAGTTTTGTAATTGCCCTATGATCCATTAGCTTAACAATAATAACCACAAGGATTTACATTCTGCAATACTATAATAATTGTCTTTATGTCAGTAATTTGTACTGAAAAATTAGGAATAAAGCCAATTTGAAAGTAAAGAAAACACCCACTTCCTTCATCAATCTTTCGAGCAAAATATCCCTTCATGAGGACTTTGAAACTAGATATTATTAAATAGTCAAATAATAGTTCAATTCCGATATCTTCGGATGGAAAGATCTCGTACTATTCGAATTTTGGTACCTTATAAAAAATATAAGAAACATCAGGATTTTGAAAATATTATAATTCACAAGGTTAATAAATACAAACATATACTCATGCTTTGATAGTGGTTCAAGATCTATCTATCCAAAAATATCGAAACTGAACTAATTATTTAATGATAGAAATATTTGCGATGTAGAAAGTAATCAATTCACTCGTTGGAAATGATTGTTCCTCTCACAAACTGGTTTTATTCAGCAAAGTTAATACAGCTGTACTTATTAATATGTAGTTTCAAAGTCCTGATAAAATGGATATGTTCCTCGAAGCTCGATGAAAAATTAATGCCTCCTACTTCCAAACTGGCCTTATCCATGATTTTTCAGTACAAAATTATTAATATAAATATAATCGTTACTGTAGATCCTTGAGGTTGTCATCAAGGTAACAAGCCATAGGACAATCACTAAATTAGATTTGTAGTCAACTTGATAACTTAACAAAAATATAACTTGACAATTGAGTTTTAACAGTTTTAAAGGCTGCAATCTTTTTTGACAAAGTTCATCCTTCAAAATAAGCAAATCAGACATTAAAATTCATATCACTTCTAACTCCTGAGCTCTTGCAGACTTTTTAAAACGGTTTTTAAACATTTGTCTAGTAATTTTATCACATTTAAGGATGCAGTTTAAAACAGTAAAAAATAAACGTTTTAATGTGTCTATTTTGTTGTTTGAAAAAGAACTGAAGAAATGTTCATAAGAATGTGTCAATTTTTTATTTTTTCTTAAAGAGTAATGAAAAAATTGAATATAATAAAAATAAAGAGGAAAGGAAATAAACGGATCTAAATTATCCAAAGTGGCTTAGTTTCGTGGCGTAAAGAAGAATCGAGCTGTCGCGACAATAAGCAATAAACAAACTTTCATGTTGGACGATCGACAAAACGGGCAAAGGTGAAACGCTCCCCGGGAATTAAATCCGTATAAAAAAGAAATACTTACACATATAATAAATAATATAAGATAAAAATAAACATTCGATTGGTTTTAACATTGCCATTTCGGAACGGTGCAGGAAGGGAAAGTTTGTGGAGAAAAAATAAATAGCCGTCCGTTTCGTAAGAGAATGTTAAGGATTTTGTGGACGTTTTGGATATTGTTAAAAATTGGTCCGTTTTGTTTTTAAAGGAGGAAAATGGAGGAAAAAAGTGAAAAGCGAATGTCGGATGAGATTGGATTTTTTTTTTGTAATTAATAAAGAGGATATTTAATGCCATATTCTTTATGGGTGAAAGATGTTATTTTTAATAAAAGGAAAAATACGTGAATACAAACCATTCAACAACAAACGCAGGTCGACGTGAGAATCGGAGCCGAAGGAAAGTCAAAAGAATAAAAAAAGTAGTAGAAGAGAAAGAAAAAAAAATCCAAAATTAGGAACTGTGCACAGAGTTAGTTCGCACTGGTTTAGAATCGAGGGGAAGGAAGGCAGAAAGCATCGAGTTGAAAAGCATCACGACGAGCCCGGCTCGCCGTCAAGGAAAGTCGAGATCCCCCGGGAAACTCGGAGCATTATTTTTCACCTCGGCACTAAACGAAAACACGCGAGTTGAGTCAAATCGTCGATCGTCACCTCGAATCGTATCTCGGTCCTTTTCCAAGCATGAGACTCCAACTCGAACGTGGCCACCAACGCGGATCTGATCTCACGGCCCGACTCAAACGCACGTTACTGATAATCAACGTCTCCGCGATACTGTAAACCGACAACCATTTTGCTCTTCAACGCCATTGCCCTAACTCAGGGCTAAACAACTATCCAATAAGCGAAATTTCACTTTTCCACCTTAGAACTATTTTAAACGTTAAAACTAAATTTACTGATAACTCATTTTAAGAAAAAAATACCATTGATACTTACAATACTGGAATATCACTAGACCGTTACAAAAACAGACGAAACGGTCACAACTTACAAATAACACGATATCGAAGTTATTAATCAATCACGGACAAAAACAAAGGAAAAATATTCTAATATCGAAATTAATAAACATTTATTGGATAATCTGTCAAAAATTATTTTCCTGATATAAATTTAGTACCGATCCATCGAAACGACCTCTGGCGGTAACCGTAGGAAACGCTTTTACCTTATGATAATTCGTTTTTTAAGGTCAAAGCACATTTCACTTTTTTCTTCACCGTTCTCATCGCTTGCATTAAATCGTTATTTTTACCAAGGAAATAAAACGGTTTTAAACATATTATTTCCATCAGAGAAAAAGCCAAAATCGATTGATTGATATTTACACAATAATATGCTAGAATATCACTTAGATCAAAACTCTAACGTAAAAGGACCTGATTGTTAGATAATCCTCTAGGCTCTAACGTTAATGGGCTTTTAGTTGCTGAGTGTGGCTGGTGGTTTCTAAAACAAACATAAAAGTTTATGCTTGTATCATAATGCTATTCCCACTTTAATATTTTTGTACATTTATCCTTATTTATAACCGCAAATTAACAACAATATGGTTGAAGTTTCATATATGTAGATTTATAAAAACAATTTCTTGAATAAATATACTTTATTTTTCCATGGTACTTTTTCTATATACATATGTATAAACAACTAATTACCTTTTTTTTTAACTTTTTAGTTTTTACAAGGGAAATAATTTTCTTTCCATCAGGGAACGCTTGGACTATATTTCTGCAATAATATACCAGAATATTATTTAGAATAGAACTTTAATGTAAAATGACCTGATTGTTATATAAATTTTTAACACTAATGGTTTTTAATTGCAGAATATCTTAGTTCCTACAACTAACATATTTAGGCTTGTAGCATAATGCTATTCTCACTTTAATATTTTTGTATAGTTATCCGTATTTATAACCGAAAAATAGCAATAATATGGTTGAAGTTTCATATAGATTTATAAATACAATTTCTTGAATAAATTTACTTTATTTTTCCATGGTACTTTTTCTATATACATATGTATAAACAACTAATTACCTTTTTTTAACTCATTAGTTTTTATAAGGGAAATAATCAATTTTAATAATTTTCTTTCCAACAGGGAACGCTTGGACGATATTTCAACAATAATATACTAGAATATCATTTAGAATAGATCTCTAATGTAAAAGGACCTGATTGTTATATAGATTTTATACACTAATGGCTTTTAATTGCAGAGTATGTTGGTTCCTGCATAAATGTTCTATGCTTGTAGCATAATGCTATTCTCACTTTAAAAGGTTGGAAATTTATCCATATTTATAACCGCATACACAATATAATTTCTTGAATAAATATATATTATGTTTGTACGGTACTTTTTCTATATACATATGTATAAACAACTAATTACCTTTTTTTAACTCTTTAGTTTTTATAAGGGAAATAATCAACTTTAATTGCAGAATATATTGGTTCCTACAACAAACATTAAAATTTAATCTTGTAGTATAATGCTGTTCTCACTTTAATATTTTTGTATATTTATCTGTATTTATAACCGCAAATTAACGCAAATATGGTTGAAGTTTCATATATGTACATTTATAAATACAATTTCTTGAATAAATATACTTTATTTTTCTATATACATGTGTATAAACAACTAATTACCTTTTTTTAACTTTTTAGTTTTTACAAGGGAAATAATCAATTTTAATAATTTTCTTTCCATCAGAGTTGGTTAGGAAACGCTTGGACGATATTTCTACAATAATATACTAGACATTATTTAGAATATAAACTCTAATGTAAAATGACCTGATTGTTATATAAATTTTTAACACTAATGACTTTTAGTTGCAGAGTATGTTGGTTCCTAAAACAAACTAAAAATTTAGGCTTGTAGCACAATGCTATTCTCAATTTAATATTTTTGTACATTTATCTGTATTTATAACTGCAAATTAACAATAATATGTTTGAAGTTTCATATATGTACATTTATAAATACAATTTCTTGAATAAATATACTCTAGTTTTGTTTAGTATTTTTTCATTTTCTATATACATATTTATAAACNAACAGGAAAAAATTGGGAAAATTGTTCTTTAGATATGTAAATCTTGATATCATTCCCCCGAGAAGAATACTTAAGTTAGGAAAGGTTGCTCGATGTGTCCCACTTAATTGAAGGATGCCTTGGCTCCATATAAAGAGCATGTTGGAATCCCAACCGATATTAGAATTGTGCTTGAGGCTTCGAGTATCTGTGTCCCCTGTTCTGATTTCTTCCTTACCGTACATAATACTGATAGTGTTGTGTCAGGGGGTGTTGTGAGTAAATGTATTTAGTAGCATAAACGAGTAGTGTGAGATGGTACTCAATATTCTGCCATTGACCTCTCACACTACACATTGAGTACCTTATCGACCCTCAATTAGGTTAGTTATGGAAGGGTGAAGGGTGATGGAAATAGGAATATTGAGTACCCCACCGCCTTAATTGAGTGAATGGTGTGTCAAAAGTAAAGAATATATTTAAGGATGAGTGAGAATGTGAATGGGTTTGCATTTAGAAATTTATTGTTTTTTGTGCTAAAATGATCTAGTTATTGATAGCTCATGGAACCCAACCTCGGTGGCTGGACGGGTAAGACCAGTTTTTTCACATCCTACATGTGTTTTTAAAATCTAAACAATGTTTATAAATCCCAGGCCCTGAAGATGATTTCAATAACAATCAAAACGTAGGCATGATAAAGAAAATGTTTTTCTAAAACCTATGTTTCACCAGACCTCATCTCACAGTCTCATAATAATCTGTACACATGTATATACAGATTTGAGCTTATATAAATCAGTATTTATAAATAATATAATAAAAGATGGTTTATTTTATTCTGAATATATTTGCTTCTACCTGATGTATTGTTGAAGCAGCAAACTTAATAATTAACCCATTTGTTATATGGTTTCTTCAGATAATAAAATAATGACATTTTTCATATTGTGCATAGTTAAAAAAGAGAATATTGAAATCACTATAGAGAATATCATAAAAAAATTTTATTTAAAAAATTATTATTAATGACAGTAAAGTTATTTTTTTAAAGGTTTAACCTGGAAGGAATGGAAGTTGAGTTGGTATTTGTGATTGCAAGTTCTGTAACTGATCCAACTTCGGACTTGGGAAGATGAGAAATGAGAATCCACCTATGACCATTTGTCCTCCTTTGATGTTGTTCGTGAATGGTCCTAGTGCAGACTGCATGTTTCCAAGAGGGCCCAGCATGGATAAAACACCGTTGTCATTCTCTTTACCACTGCCTGCTCTTTCCAATTGCCTTTTCATATTATCCTGTAAAAAAATTCATGCTGGATCATAACCGCCATAAGCTATATGAGCTGTTCTTACATCTGTGTCTTGAGGATATGGCATGACAGTTGAAAACACTAAAAAAATAAATAAAATTAAAATTTTCACTGTTTTACTTTATCTTCAGGCAAGGGCTGTAAAATTTTATATTGTACCATTTGTACGTACGTGAAATAATTAAAATTAAACGCCGAATCACCATCGTTTCTGAATGAAAACAGTTCTAACAAATTATCTACCCTTGTTGGCTTTATAATATGTTTTTTGTATCAAAAGTTCCTCTTGGCTGATTTTGATAATTGTAATCCAAAAATTGTCAGCGTGTACACGATAAATTGCCCTTTGTTTTTTATCTACCCTCTGTAATTCTTCGTTTAATATTTTGTTGCCCTGCAAGTGCATTCGTGATAGGGAAAAATTGTGAAAAGAAATATACGGGAGGTGTAAAAAGTAGAAAAGAAATTGTTGCTATAATTATTTTTGTTATGTCTTTAATACAATGTTATTTAAAAATATTCAAAAACATTTCAGTAAGGAGAATGGCAACACAGATATCAACTCAATCTTTCTCTTTTGCAGTTTTATTTCTATTATTAAATTCCTTCCTTAAGCAAGAACTAAATAAACCTTTCATCAGCACATTCTTAGCTGTTACATAAATAAATCTTCTCCACAGCTATTTTCATTTGGAATAGATAGTTTAATTGTCAATGTGACAATTAATAGTTATTGTTTACAATTTAATTTTCACCGTATAACAATTTTTTGCAGACTACTGAAATAAATAGTGCATAGAACAGTATAATTAAAAAGTTAGAAAATGTCGTTTAATTGATGCAAGTGCTTTCAAGGAGGGACTATTTTAAGCCCATAAAAATTAAATTAATTAATTAAAAAAATTCTCACAGGCTAGATTTTCTAAATTTTTCCCAAAACATTTAAATTTTATTAAAAAAAGTCCCTATATCAGTGAATCACCAGTTAAAAACAACTGTTATCAAATATTTCTTTCCATCAAATTCCACTGTCATGTGTTAGTGGGTGAATTTAAGAAGTTTGGACTCTTAGAAGATCGGTAATGGATTTGCGCAAAATTTTCACCAACAAGAACGTCCCAAGGGGCTGGACTTTGTTGCCGCATCCGGACGATGAAGGGGATCTGTCTCGCTCTGTGTCATCCCTTGTGAAAAAATTGGACGACTACGATTATGGTATGTCATATTGTTTGTCTTACTTTAATTTAATCTGGACTTTTAGAAAAATAAACAGTGTCCAAATTTGATAAAATAGAATGAAACTTTTGATTGTTTACCTCTGATCATTATAACTCTTATTAAACAATGCATGTTTACTTCACAATTTGAACTCGTCTAACTCAATAGGATGTCTGCATAAATATGTTATGTTGAAAGGTGAATCAGATTTTTTTTATTCATCTCAACCTACAAATGAATAGAACGAATACAATGAACTGAAAATGGCAAAACGAGGGAAAATTCGAACAGTTGTAGGTTGAGATGGAGAGATGGTGTCCGAGAGGATCGAAGTCACGATAGCTCAAGCGGTAGAGCAGCGGTGTATTTAGCCAAAGGTCATGGTTTCGAATCCCGCTCGTGACACTGATTTTTTTATCTCAACCAAGACCTTACATAAAAAGAATAATTAATTGATAAAAATATAATTCCAATTTTTTCATCATCATCATTACTTTACATATAATAAAATAGATTGTTGATGAGATAGTTTATAATGTTGTTTAATTGCTTTTACAAGTAAAAAAGAAACTGTTGGACTAACTGATGCTGTTCATTTTACTGTATTTTTGTAAATCAGTGATAGTACCCAGTAAAATAATACCAGGACATTAAATCCCTTAAAGCTCAAAAAATATAATACGTGAATGTTCTTTGGTAAATAACATAATTATTTTTAAACAAATAATTCTTACACATGGGATTCATTATATTCTGAATGTAGGGCCGAGGCTTTGACCAAAAAGCATAATGATGTCAACTTATGGTTAGCAAAGGTTTGGTTATTTATCAGGTCTTTCAAAACTTTCCGTATTAACCAAATGATTATGTCAATCTTTTCAAGGAAGATAAAAATAGACGATTGTTATTATTTTAATTCTAGGTGCTACCTTTAACCAAAGACTTTCTTGGAATAACTATCTCTCACAAAGAGAGAAAATCACCATTGGCAGATGTAATTGCCTTTGTGGGACAAGCTGGGGACTAAATCCAAATGTGTTTTTATTGTTTTACACACAGGTTGTTTATATCCCATGATAACTTATGGATCGATGGTTTGGTGGATAAATATGCAACACCTGAGAGTAGTCAGGAATTTCAGAACTACCCAGAGGCTTGCATTCCTAAATCAGTCCTAAATGTACCACCACGCTGCATATCTTCATTCAGGGAGAAGGTAGAGTTACAATTTAGCCTTGCAGAAAAGGGATTAATTAAAGCTTCAAGAGGATCTTCAGATAATGCTCTGGGCTATGACACCAAAATTCAAATTAAAAAACTGATACCCTGATAGAACAGACTGGGAAAAGGGGATCCCAGTTAATGTGCTAACTATATCTCATATACAGATAGCTATAAGACCGAATATGGGTCAGGAGCTGGTATCTATGGAAATGCCACTGTACTTCAGGTAGACGTACGTTGGCCACTGCCAGGGAGATCAAAGGTTGGGCATTACCAAGAAAAGAGACATCTGCTTTGACAGCCAGTGCCACTAAAGGAACTACCACATCAGTAGTAAAATCCAGAACAATTTGGGAACCCTGTCAGACATTGGGGAAAATTACAAAATCACCCTTGTTTGTGCATTAGGCATACAGGGCAAAGTAATAAATTCTGCCCTGAAACCTTCTGCGGTATACCATTTGCCAACAATGTAGATCCATCAAACTCTGGGCTGATAATAAGTCCTCGGTGCAATTAGAAGAACACAGGAATACACAAAAGTTCAGAAAAACCACTGCAGAAATTAACAGTAGAACTACTAAACTTAAGCAGTGAATTCTAGTAGGACTAGACACTGGAAACTCTGGGGCATATATATACTTGGAATAGCACAATAAGCCTATGTTTATAGTACAAGGAAAACGAAGAAACAGTGAAACATGAACAGTAATGCTTTGCAAAGCTTTGGGACCTGGTAAAAAGTATCAAGTTTGAAAAATAGATCTGGTCAATAATGGAAATACACAATGGACCAATATTAGCTGTAGTGCACAAGGTCACAAAGATATTATTTCCACCAATGGTTAACGATGTTTAGGTTATTTACTAAGTACTTGTATATTCTCCATTTTATACAAATAATGTATAAAAGTTTTAATATGAAAGGTATTTCTTATAAGATAAACAATAGTAGAGTTTATGAAAGAATGGTATGTCGAACTAATTAAGTACAATAGTGTACACTAATTTAGGTTTAGGTTTGGTTTATTTATTTATCAGGTCCCTGCATATTTTCTAAATATATTAATCAAATTATTAATCTTTTTTTCCATTATTTACCAATGTTTTAATACTAACATTATGATTAAATAAGTGAACGTGGTATTTAATTAGTAATTAGTAAGTCTATAAAAGTTGTTATTGGTCAGTATTTGAAAATTTTGCCGTTGGTTCGCTCCTTCCAAGAAAATATTTCAAAATCAGTCTTATCACATTACACAGCTATTAAAAGTTGGACTTAAACGAGCTTTGACAGACGGAATACACGCAAAGTCCGCCAACTTGTCGTTTATCCATTTCAACCTGGAAAGTTTTATTAATAAGGGCGTTTAACACTAGGCGACTGGAATAAAAGGGACTGTTAAAGAAGTAGCGTGCCTCGGAAAGCAGTTTTACGAGGGGGGTTCTAATTTAATAGTGCCAGGGAAACATATTTTATGCTCGGTCTAATAAATGTTTGTTTGGCCTTTCGTCGATCTCTAGAAAACGATACTCCTTCGAATAAAATCGTTTGACAACAATAATTTGTATGCCTCTAGAGAACTTCGCTCTGCCTAATTATTAAATCAGTAAATTGTTGTTTTAATTAATTTTTTAATAAGAGTTGGAAGAATAATTAAACTAAATTGAATTCCTTGAGATTGTTTTCCGATCTTATAAGGATTGAATATTTTACTGAAATGCTTCCTATTTTTTATATGAAAATAGAGAATCAATAACAACAATAGTGACATCATTTATTAATATTAGTCAATTTTCCCAATGGTTAAAAAATAATGATCGTACCCTATCGTTATTTATCTTCTAATTAACGTTTATATTAAAACGCTTGCGTATTATTTTTACAAAATGGATCATCTGCCATGTGCAAAGCTTAGTAAATAACATTAAAATAAAACATGACCTGAAATAATGACCTGATAAGATATAAATCTATCCATCAATGTCGTAATTATTATTTAAATCCAATTTCACGATAGCTCAAGTGGTAGAGCAGCGGCGTATTTAGCCGAAGGTCGTGGGTTCGAACCTCGTGACACTAGGTTTTTCATTTCAACCAATACCTTACGTAAAGATCATTATTTAAAATTCAATGTCCCATTGAAAATAATAACGAACACGATTGTTGTTTGCTTTGATGACATGATAAACAAACTAACCATCCGCGACCATCACTAACCATTAGTGGACGTCATTGTTCTTGAGTAGTTCTACGTCCCATTCGTTAGACAATAATAATGAACTATAGTTGTCTGCCATATGAGAATTGACTTAATTATTTCATTAATTGGAAAATATACAAGGACCTGATAAATACCCAACTATTAGTGGATATCATTGTTCGTATGTCTCGTTCGGAAATAACGAACCAATGTAGGTGTAGGTGTTGGGGTAAAAGGGCTGAACTATACCCTAGCAAAGCCCCTCGAATTAATTCAAATTATTTTTTCAAGATGAGGTCCATGCAATACAACTGTCCACAGGTGTTAATTAAAAAATATGAAAGGTACACGCATTTACATACTCTCAGACAGGCAGGCAACTACAAGCGTATACTTTCAACTCCAAATTTTTCTGGGAGTGCCTAAATTGCCTAATGGGTCAAGGAAAACATAACAAGATTACTTTAGTGGGTTCTTGGACATGAACGGATAGAATGAATGAACGTATGAAATAGAACGTGTAAAATGAATAGGCTGACACTAGCCAAAAAAGGGCCGACCCTTTCACCCGTGGACCAGAACCAAAACTAGAAGCACCGGAGTGTGTGCTTAAGTTGTAACTGGAAAAGTGGCTCAGAAAAATTCAAGCACTGGACAAATGCACTAGGTATGAGAAAAGCTAAGAGATTTATAAAGGAAGGAAGGAACTCTTATATCTCAGCCGGCAGGATTTGAGGAAAACCACAGGCCACTGCCCTCTAAACTACCACCTTTTAAAAAGACGGGCAAAGCAGAGACAGAAACATGACGATTATATCAAGAGAAATCAGAGACATCGGCCCATCTCCTTTGTGAATGTGAAGTATTAGCCGGTTAAAGTACAAACTTCTATCATGTTTTGGAAGGAAAGAAGTAACGGAATGCATTAAAGGAAGCAGAAAATAACTTGGAATACTAACAGGACACTGCAGAATAAATGGGCATAAATTCACATTTTGAAGAAGATTGGTACAACATAGCATGTGCAGATTGCCCAACGAAGCAGAGAAAACACCAACACACCGACTAACTGTACTGTGGTGCCACATTTGCCCCGCACATAGAAAGTCAAATTTCTAGCCCTGTAACTCACTAGAAAGCTCGCGTGGAACAGACACATCACATGCTTGCACAAGCACACAGACACACAAGATGCGAATAGTTTTAACCAAAGCTCTAAAGAGCCTTGTTGGAGGTAAATTAGGCGCAGATCCGAAAGTTTTTTTACAGATCGACAAATCGAGCGACAATTCACGATGGCTCTGTTTTCTGTGCTCGTGCTCCCGATTATGTACTATGTCGGATCTTTATTTTCCAGAATAAATGTCTGAGGCGCATCTTGGGAATTCTCCGTCGCACTCCTATCCTAGCATTAGGATTGTGAAACTGGCAAAATACCGTTTAATCAGAATGCTAAAGACAGTCCGTTGTTCACAAAAATAAATCTTTTAGCCCAAAAGGCCCAAACATTCGACCTAGGGCACAGAACAATAATAAACGTGATACAGAGTCACGACTCATGAGATGACACAGAATATCCACCCAGAAAGCCGAAGCCTCCCTTCAAAGCTGACATTCATGAAAATTTTCCAAATTATCATCTAATTTTTACGGATGGATCTAAACTTGGAGGTACGACTTTCAAGTATATACCACGAGCAATATAGGAAGTCCAACTTTATGCTGCTCATTTTCGGTCCCAGTTATTGCTATCCAAAAAGCGTAAGAATATGCTGCAAATCTAACTTGTTCAAAAATAGGAATTTTATGGACAGCCTCAGCACTGTAACTCATCTACGAAATTTTAATCATAAAAGCAGGTGTGATTATATTTTAGTTATTGTTGTTTGTAACATTTTTACACTAACGGAAGAAAGAAAAAATAACGATATGCTGGTTTAGAGACAGGGATTTTTGGTGGCTTAAATAGGTCGAAAGATTGGAAGTTTGTTGAATTTGTTTTTTTTTTTCAAGACTATACCTTGTTACGTAGTATTCGTGTATAATAAAAATTATAATTTTGTAATAGTCACTCTCCGATGACCATAATCTTTCTTTTCTTTTTTCTCTTTTTACGAGGGTTCGCAACAGCAGAGGTCATATCAACCCTCAGGGCGCCGGTGTTTTTGAAAAAAAGCCCATTTGTAAGCATGTCGGGTTCGAATCCAGTGGCCTTGCATTCGAACCCGGGACCTTTACCTTACAGTGGTGAGCGCCGTGTCAACGCCTAAACCGTTGCGGCCACCGACACCCCGATGACCCTAATCCTTTTGCTAAATATACATCAGAAATATCTTAACGGTTCTCCGATGGAAAACACGGAAAAACCTGGTTTTGCTGGTAAAGTAAAAGTAGAATTATAAGCAATTTTAAACAAATCATACAAAATTGCGAGATTTTTTCTTTTGAAACACACTGACAGACAGCGAGGATAAGCAGAGATAAAATAAAACGATAGGAGTTGAACCTCTTGAATTGTATTTGTGTAATAAAACTTCCTTGGCAATTTTGTGTTGTTTCGCTGTATGGGAATTTAATTGTATTTTTTTGTATGTATGTTTGTTGTATGTATTTTTGTATTTGTTTTATTTGTATTGTTTAATTTTGTAACAAATCATTTAAATAAATGCACAAGTGTACCAAAAGCTAATATAAAATATACAAAAGGAACGTTGATAAAATTTTCTTGGATAGAAGATTGGCGTTGGCGGTGGTTATTTTGTGGCACAATATTAAACTAAAAATTATCCAAAAAAAATATTACGGCTGTGTTTTTCCATCATTCGACCGAGTTGTTCGGCCAGTTCTAAAAGCAAACTTCTCGTTGGGTTTTCTCTGAGTTGGGGGTGGAGGCCGAGAGTCGAGCACGGGGGGCGGCTCTGTCCTTATTCAACTGTGGACATGCTTCGGCGAAGGTTCCCGCTGAAGAAGTTCATCCGGCAGCCCCCGAAGAGGCTCTGCACCATCCAACCTAGGCCTGATTTCGCCGCACGAGTGGCCGGCATCAAGGAGCAAGTTGCAGAAATTCTCAAAGAGGAGAAGGAGATGGCTAAGAAAAACAGGCCGCGAAGATGGAACGGACAGCCCAAACCTTCCACCAAATCCATCCTGACAAAGGGGTTTCCAGGTAATTTTATTTTCCGTTTTGGAATATTATTTCAATAAATTTTTATTTGTCTTGTAAATTATCTTATTTTTTACTCTGTTCTCTGCGACTGCAAATCCCATTTGTATTTAATTTAAAATAATTAATTTTTGAACACGTTGAAAGCAGAAATTGAACGGACTTAGACAGAACACATAATTGTAATAGAGACATTCGAAAAGAAGAGGAAGAAGTTTTAAAAATTTATATTTTAGAAATATAATTAGCCTCTAAGCTTTAATGTAACTAACTTATTTTCGACCTTTATCGCTGAAATTATATAAATTTTAAACTGAACCTTCGTTTTTTAAGAATGGGGTACTTTAGAACCTTTTCCTACAAAAGAGATCTTATAGATTATTATTTAATAATTCAAATTAATTAATTATGTCGGAAGTTGAAACAATAATTTAACTTAGATGAATTTTCTAAACTCCTGAAATACCGTTGGATTTTGTGCAAGAATAAAGTAGGATTACTGAACCAAGTTTTACAAAAGATGTACTATGGCTGGATGAAAAATTCGAAATATTGGATTTTTACGATCTAATTTTTGTTATTTTGAGGCCAGGTTTAAAAAAAAAAAAAAAAAAAAAAAAAAAAAAAAAAAAAATTCAATTTTTAGAAAAAATATTTTTAGCTTATTTTTTTCTTAAATGCTTATAAATTTTATAGAAATAAAACTCGCCTCAGGATGGCAGCGGATGCTGAAATGTACATTTGAATAATTAAAAAAAAGACCTTCAAGAAAACCTGAAATTAACAAAAATTAAAACAAATCCATAAAAAAAGAAATATCACAAAAAAACCAAGAAAAGTATATGTAATAAACCAAGAAAACATGTTTTTTTACGTTCTTTCTTTACGTTATAAGTTTTAACAAGAATTTATATTAAAAAAAAACACTTTCTCTAAATCATTAGAATTGTGATGATATTAAAAATGCAATCGAAATAATTTTTCCAGAAATAAAACGCCTCAGGGTGGCAGCCGATGCTGAAATGTTGTACATTTGAATAATTTTAAAAAAAGCCTTCAAGAAAGCCTAAAAATAACAAAAATCCATAAAAAAAAGAAACACCACAAAAACCAATAAAAGAATATGTAATAAACCAAGAAAATATATTTTTTACGTTCTTTCTTTACGTTATAAGTTTTAACAAGAATTTATAATTTAAAAAATTTGTTTCTCTAAATCATTAGAATTGTGGTGATACTAAAAATCCAATAGAAATAATTTTTCTAGAAATAAAACTCGCCTCAGGATGGCAGCGGGTGCTGAAATGTTGTACATTTGAATAATATAAAAAAACCCTTCAAGAAAGCCTAAATATAACAAAAAACCACACAAAAAAAAAAAAAAAAACACACACACACACAAAAACCAATACAAGAATATGTAATAAACGAAGAAAATATGTATTTTTACGTTCTTTCTTTACGTTATAAGTTTTAACAAGAATTTATGATTTTGGCGTTTGGTGTAAAAAAAACCTAAATCATTATAGTTGGGATGATGCTAAAAATCCAATAGAAATTGCATTTATTCGAAAATATTTAACATATTATTTTTTCTAGAAATAAAACTCACCTCAGGTTGGCAGCGAATATTGGAGTGTTGTACATTTGAATAATTTAAAAAACATTCCAGAAAACCTAAAAATAACAAAAATTACAAAAAATCCATAAAAAAGATAAAAAGGCACAAAAACCATTAAAAGAATATGTAATAAATAGAAAATAAATATTTTTGTGTTCTTTCTTTACGTTATAAATTTTAACAAGAATTTAGTGGAAAAAAAATCTAAACCATTAGAGCTGTGATGATGGTAAGTTTGTACTTTGATGAATGTACATACTTGAACAGCCAAGGATCTTTTATTTTTGAAGGTGTCACGTGTAATTGTCAAAACCGGAACTTTTCAACATTCGCTGTTTTATGTTAATGATCTCTTTTGAACCACCCACTATTTAGCATAACAAGCGTAACACACTTTAACATTAAGTGGGGAATGACAGCTCTTGGCTATTGTTGGCCTGTGACCCCGTTTGATCCGAATACCGCCAGTTATGACAATCCATCATCGTCCTGGCACGGCCTGTCAGCCGGGCATCACAGACGTTTCTCCTTATGATTATTACGGTTTGTCGATCCGTTTCCCGAGTTGCATGTTTACGAAACACGCTCATCTTTTAGAGAAACCGCCGAGAGCTCATCAGTCACGGCGACCTTCACGAAACCCATTTTTCCGATTCTAATAACGGACATTCGATTTTTCTCTCAATAGCTTCTTCCTTTGTTTAGATGATTCGCGAAAAGCTCCGCGATAACTTTGCTCATCGTTTTTAAAACGATAAATGATATACAAAGTCGCAAACTTAAGGGAAATCATTTTAAGAATTAAACAAAAATATCTCCATAAGATATAAAACTATCAACCAAATACTATCAAGCATACAATTTTGAATTTTTGTTGGGTAAACTAAGAATTGAAACGTTACCAACAGTTTTATCATTCCTAGTTATTCTAGTCCGCCTGTTCTCGTCGTATTTTGTTCATAGATCACCTTTGTCCACTAACACTTGGTTCGGGCTTTTATTTGGCAACACGCAGAGCAGAATGAGAAAAAATGATCTAATCCACTTTCTTTTCAAAATGGCGGAACTGACACGCTTTTCAAAGGAATTATTTCGTTTTTATTAATTAATAAACCACCAGACCAATATCAACAATCTATGAAGTCGTACTAAAAATTATTGAAACGTTATAATTGTTTCTGGTGATCCTGATCAAGTTTACATACTACATTATGCTCAAAGCTCATTAGTTTTTGTGACTGGGAACAGCGGTGGCCGAGTGGTTATGGCGTCTGACGTGTATTTACCACGCTAGCTGTCCTGGGTTTGAATCCCCGCAGAACCCATGGTTTTTTTCATGGATTATAGTATGAAAAATGTATTGCATAGTTGCTTGACCCCTCGTCAGCGACACCCAACTGTAGTTGGTTTTTAAGCCCTCCTGTATGACAGGAATTATTTATCAACAGTTTTATCATTCCTGGCTAATCTGGTCCGCTTGTTCTCGCTGTATTTTGTTCACAAATCACCTTTGTCCACTAACCACTTGGTTAGGGATACAGGGATAGATTTTCGGCAAAATGCTGAAAAATGATCTAATACACTTTCTTTTCAAAATGGCGGAACTGACACGCCTTTCAAAGGACGTATTTCGTTTTTATTAATTAATAGATAAAGTAGCAACAACCTGTGAAGTCGTACTAAAAATGATTGAAACTTTATAATTGATTTTTTTTCTATCATGTCAAGTTTACATACTACTTATAAGTTTAATTACTACATTTTGTTCAAAGCTCAAAGCGGATTTCAAAACCGTGGTGGCAGAGTGGTTAAGGCGTCTGATTCGTATTTGCCACGCTAGTTGTTCTGGGTTTGAATCCCCAAAGAGCCCATGGTTTTTTCATGGATTATAGTATGAAAAATGTATTGTATAGTTAGTTGCTTGACCCCTCGCCCGCGACACCCAACTGTAGTTGGATGTTAAGTGTCAAGCCATCCTACATGACAGTAATTCTTTATCAAAGTTTTATCATTCCTGGCTAATCTGGTCCGCCTGTACTCGCTGTATTTTAATCTCAGATCACCTTTATCTACTAACCACTGGTTAGGGATAGTTATTCGGCTACATGCAGACCAGAATCTGCAGGGATGATTTAATCTAAATCCTTTTCAAAATGGCAAACCTGCTGGTACCTCTTTAAAATGACATTATTTGGTTTTTATCAAATAGCAAACAAGGATCAACAACTTGTGAAGACGAATTTAGAATTATTGAAATACCCTGGTCTGCCTATCCTCACTGCATGCTGTTTAGTTCCACTTCTGTCTATTGAACATTTCGCTAGACACACACCAAAATGTGCAGAGATGTTAATTGCGCTTTTTTGCAAAACAGAATAAATTATATTAATCATTTTATTAGATATTGGACATTAATTAACAGCAATAAAATAAAGTAATTGGCATCTTTTTTAAATGAAACTATTTCCTTTTGACTATCCATACACCAGGAGTCATTTTGTTAAGGCTGTTATGACCATTCCAGGCAAACTCAATCTTAAATTAACCTATTTTAAATAAGGTTAAAATGTTATACTTAATATATACATATTAATTTTGTCATAAATGTTATCATTGCTTCTTGTTTTGGTTAATAATTACCATGATTAAAATTTTTTTTCCAGAGTTTGAGTATGTCTTGAGGCCTTTAATAAGACCTTCATTGGCCTTTGGCTCAAAAATCCCAAGAGATCCGACTGAAAGGGTGATCAAGAAGCACAGACTCAAAATAAAGAGAAAGCAAGGAAGGAGTAAGAGTATTACTGAAAAAAAGGAATCGTACGTTCTACCCGGACCTCCACCTGCAGAAGTGAAATACCCTTTTATTGATTTGAGTCCCAAGTTTCATCTCCCTGACTACAGAGAAGAAACGAAGGATGTAGAGAAAGCATTTAGCATTATCACAGGGGATGAAGAAAGTACAGTGGCAAAGGATCACAGGCACAAGAAAACTTCCAAACTTCATTCCTACGATAGGGTTTGTTTTTTAATTTTAATTTTCACTAATATTTTGCATTTTTATAAATAATTTTTTTTAAATTTTCAGCTCACGAAAAAAAGAGTTCTTTATCAGACTGAAAGTCCGAGCCCAGGGTCGTACAATATTAACAGATTTCCTGATCCAGTGAAACCGAATAAGTTTGGGTTCAATTCAGGAAGTTATAAATTTCCAGCCAGTTCAAACGACGTTCCTAGGTATCTAAAAAATATGTTAAATATTACATTAATCAATCATCATTATTTGAACAGATTTGTTTCAGTGCGGCAGCTTATTATATAGATTGTTTCGACGGGAAAGTCAAAATGCATTGTACCCTCGGGGGCAAGCAGACGATTAGTCTCGCGACGATGATCAGGTGTTTGCCCGAGAATAGAAATTTGTGCAAGTATTGCCAGACAGAGCCGGAGGGGAACTTTATGTATTCGCAAACCCATGGGACAGTGTGTAGGGAATGTTTTAAAGAACATGCAAAGTCCTATCCAGCCCATGTCTTTTCAACGTTTCAGGTGTCCTTTCCGTTCTCATCCAAATAAGTTTACATTTTTATTATAATATTTGTGTAGTTTTACTCATGTCAGAACCAATTAAAAAAACTTTTAATATGAGTCTTGGGTAATTAGGAGTAATGATGCTTTGTTGGTTTACAATACAAATATAAAATATATGGGAAACTTTTAAAATGGCAAAGAATTTGAAACTCTTAACATGTAGGTAGCTTTATATTCAAAGATTATAAAAATTGATGCTTATAATTTTATGTTAAAAAGTGAAGGAGTCAGATTTGAGATTCACATTTTAAAATGATACTATTTTAGGCTGCCAAACATTGCAAATTTATGCATTTTCATGATCAACACACGACAGTGAGAAAGGTGAGGTATAAAGAAGTTATAAAATCAGTAAGGCGTGAAGCTTGTATTAACAGATTTCCAGGTAACAATCGTCAAAATACCGCCCATCTTGTCTGTACTTTTTACTAGTTATTTTTCAGAAATGAAAAAAAATGTCAAAAAGGACAAAGATGACCAGAAAGAAAAGATTAGTGACGCAAAACCGAAACCGTTTAAGAGAGTTGTAAAAATTCAAAAGAGAATTAAACCAAATAAACCCCGTGAAATTCTAAGAGTGATAGACACAACGAAGCACAAATCAGAACAAAGAATGTCCGAAGAGCAAATAGAACAGCAGAGGCAATCTGCCGAAAGAGAATACGAGATGCTGGCCAAGGAATATGCTTACCAGCAAATGAAAGGCCGGCATAGCATAATTCCAATTTTCAACTTACTAAACAAAGAAGAGAAACTTTTCCCTATACTTACCCAAGACAATACTAGAGACAAGTCAGACTTCCAAAAAAGGCTGATTGAAAGATTCGGAAGTTCAGCAAGCTTTTACGGTACCCTGATCCCTGAGTTCAGAGAAAAAGGTGTAGTTCACGCCGTCGACCCAGAATCAGATCAATATGTTATCACGGCCAAAGGACGGGATTTCTATAATAAAACACCCTTGGCATGGGACCTTGCTGATGACCCACTTCTTGACGATGAACTCCTTAGGGTCACAGGCAAGAATGTTTTCGATGAATTAGAAGACAAAATGCAGAATATGTGCAGAGCGAAGGACATAGTTGTTCCACCGCTTCCTCGGTCTAGACTTAGTGGAATCATCATTGAAGACAGTGCCAAACCCTTAAAGCCCCAATATTCAAGGTCTCAACTAGAGAAACCTATTATATCTAGGGAATATGACATCCCAAAGTCATACTGGTACAACATTGATCGTTAAATACACACCGGTTTTCTTTCAAAATGTTGCTTTTGTTATCTAGCAAATAATTTTATTAAACTGCATAATTATTTCGATGAATTAGAAGACAAAACATTACATTACATAATGTAAAATGCCAGTTTACGATAATCCTTTGGTAGGAAAAAAAATACAAAAAATAAAAAGTAAAAATATTAATATACTCTTGTGACTTGAATAAACTGCCCCGTACATTACTGCTAAATATTTCAACTTGTTTAAAGTTACGGATTTTTTTTTTTTTTTTTGTAGCTTCACCAGTTTGGAGATGGTACACACATGGATGGACAACTTCGATCGAGTGTTTCTGGAGCGGTTTAAAGATATTAAAATAATAATATACTATGATCTGTCAGGTGGTCTCAACAAAATGCATGCTTCCAAAGAACAGTTTAATAAGTATAAGAAAAAACAGTGAAATGTGCACACCATGTTGAATTAATTGTTTATACCAATGCTATTAAAGAAATATTAGATAATATTTTATTGTTCCTCATAATAAAAGTTGTTTTATTGCAATAATTTTAATCACAATTGTATATAAATTCAAATATGTATTTTTGCTCCCCAATTTGAAAATGTGGCAATTTAATGAATTCTTTTTGTAAATCTTAAATGTTTAATAAAATTACATAATATTATTGGTTGGTGGATAAAGTTAAACAAAAGTGTTCCATGGTGTAAAACTTTTTGATTTATCTTGATGTTTTGGGTTCATTTGTCCATCTTAGCAGTCCATTAACAGTTTGTTTAAAATTGGAGGTTAGAATTGGGGAATGATCCATTTGGGCTGCTTTTTACACCACGGGACACTCGGTTTTCTTTTCTCGACCGACCTTCTAAATTAGAAACTGAAGAAGATAAAACAGTATGAAATTATTATAATTTGTCATAATATATTTAATTTGTTATAATATCTGATGTACTGATTAGTGGTTTATATAAGCTCCAATCTGTCCATGCACATAAATTTGTACATACATGTACAGAGTTGAGCCTATCTCTTCTAACAGTCCACTGATTATTCTACCTATTGTGCAATTTACAATAAATTACCGGCAGTACTAAAAATCACCCACTGTGTGTGTTGGCAGTCTGGGATCAGACCTTGGCCATATCCGTCCGGCTAAGGTTGGCCACCTGAGGCTATCTACCAACTCCTAGGTCATTTCAGCCCCCAGTGTAATCAGTAACTAAATCCAAATCGTTTCGTATAACACTCACTCTTAAATACATTCTTTCTTATTTACATACTGTAAGAGAGGTTGAGTACTCATTATTCCTCCATCACCCTACACCTTTTATATAAATACTGTAATTGAGAGGTGATGGAGTACACTTTGTTCTACTATCGGCCCTCTCACACTACATTCATGCTAATAAATACATTTTTATATGTAGAATAAAGTAATGTCTCCCCATAACCTATTCCTTCTATTCCTATTGGCTAAGGATGACCCTACTTCTACAAGTCAGATCCTCTGTGGCGCACCTATGCATTGTTCTCTTGATAAATTTTTAATGAATTTTTTCATCAGACGATCATGGTTGTCTGGTCTGGAGGTTGGTATATCCTGTCCTTAGCCATCTCGTCTGCCTTTTTGTTACCCTCCAGACACTTAGAGTTGTTTAAACATTTGTGTGAGATGAGCTACTTCCATACAGAGAAACTGGCAAATGACTTTGTTGGGCTGATCTTGTATTAAAAAACTAACTTAACACCCTTAAATCTTAAAAAAGAGAAAAAACCTCAAGGGTTCAAATAATCTCATGGGTGTTGAGGTTTTTAAGTTGATGTAGTTTATTATCTGATCATCATTGTCCATGGAACAAAAACTCTATGAGAAGTAGAATTACTAAAATAATAATTTATAAAAAATTAAATTCACAAAAACCCCACATATTAAAGGATGAACTAAAATGAATGGATTATTAGCAAAAAAAGGACACTTGATCCTCAAGGAAATCAACAGTGTGATGGAGTCTACTTGAATACGCTCCAAAAGGAAAGAGTGGAATCAGTGGAAGAAAAATAAAATTTTAAGTTTAGCAAACAAGAAATGATCTACGGTATCAAAGCCTTTAGAAAAATTGAGAAGGACAAGAATAGTGATTTTAAATACGCCAATACCATCCGTATTTCAGTGAAGATTTTCAGAATAAGATTTTGTTGAAAAGCAAGGATGGAGGCCAGATTAAAATGGAGCAAGGAGATTTGAGTTCCTTAAGTAAATAAACATTTCTAAAATCTAATTTTTCAAAAGGCTACATCACACCAGACTGCATCTCACGATTTCTGAATAATCATCGACTAAAGGTCACTAATCACCACATTTTTCCAAAAGTTGTTTGCTTCCATTAGGAAGTATGGAATTTTGTAAGGAAAAATTATAGATATGTAGCAGAAAGAGAAGGATAATTGTAAGTCAACCTTGGTTAACTTGACAGTTATTTAATCACAACCGACTGACTTCGTGTGGATACCTGTAACAGCTATTTTGTCTGGTGAAATATCTGGAAAAAGAGAAGTTGTGTGGACTGGAAGATTGTGAGGCTGACACAATCTGTGTTATACTCATTTGGTGATGCTGGGAATACAGGAAGGGCTTGGGAAGAATTGCAAAGGGAGCAGATGGTTCCACTCAGAGTAAGGAGTAGAAGAAAAGACCTCATAGAAATAACGAGATGAAGCCATTCAGAACTTTTTGATCTTGGCAACAGTTTAAAATGAAATGTTAAATTTGTGACAAAAGGAGTTGAAGTTTTGACCAAAACATTATTAAATTGCAATTAGATTATATATTTAGTGTATTATTATGTACATATTAATTACTTCAAAATATGACAACAAACATGTAACAATTGAGGTATAAGAGAAAACTTTTTCTCTCTAATAAAATATACAGAATATAATAAACTATTATGCAAAACAATCAATAATTATTATCCATTGAATGCCCCCAGCAGTTGATTCAATTTTTGGCTGACTGGTCATTTACAATGAGCTCATTTTTGGAAAATGGCCATTGACCAGTTTTGACAATTAATCATACGATGATATTGCACTGACATTATTTGAAGCTCTGAGAAAACGATACAAAGTACAATTATAATAAATTAATTATAAAATAAGTTAATAAGTACAAAAAGATCTATTTTGATTTTTTTTTTAAATCAAAGGGCTAATAAAGAGAACCAGTCTTAAAGACATTATAAAATAGAATTTTACAAAATAAGAAACAACATTAGATTAAGTTTAATTTTGACAAAACATTTTATTGTAGTTTTGTCATTATTTGAAAAACTAGTATCAATTATGGGTGAAATAAATGAAATACATTTATTAACAGGAATGTGATGGCATGGAATGCTTACATAAAAATAAATTATTAAAAAAAAGTAAAAAAATTAGAAGATATATTGTGACTTTCAAATTTATTATCCTTTCACTTTTATTACCAGGATCCAACACTGAAATCTTAGATTTCTTTTTGTTTGTGCAAAAGCGTGTAAACTTAAAAAGGGTTATTTTAAACTTTAGAAGGACAAAATTTTTCAAAACCTTTTAATAAGGCACTCGAATTTGACCACTTGTGGGACTAAAACAGAACAATAAGAATTTCTATTTTGAGGTTTCATTTTCAAGCCTGAATAATAATATATTCAATTAAATTGTTCCTAATTGGCACAGAAAATTAAACAATTAAAAAAAGAAAAGAAAAATCCTGATTTTTAAATTTTTTTATTCAGTCAATGTGGACGCCAAGTTTGATTTCAAAGTTTACAGATCCCAGCTGAAGAGATGGTGTTTGACGAGCATATCTCGTACGCCATCCTTGAGAGGTTGCAGTGGACCTCGTTTGGCTGGCAACTCCCAGTCTGGATTGAGGTTGAAGGCAAACTGTGAAAGGATCCTCAATTCACACTTAACCTGCACCCATCCAGGGCTACTCATAAAACTCCAAGGTTGGTACCTAAAAATTTCATATGTTCAGTTTTGTTTGAAAATAAAAATAAAAACTCGAAGCTCACCATTTCTGAACGACATCAAGACTTGAGCAAAGCACTTCGAGCCAAAGGTGCAGGACTTGCTCGTTCAAGCCGAGACAGACGAGGCTTCTCAGTTTCACGTCCATTTGAGCATGGGCGTTGTCATGACTTAAATTGACTGCTTGAATGCACCTGTAAAGAAGCTACAGAAACTAAGTGTAAACATCCAAGAAAACAAAAGTCATACGGAAAGTTACCTCTTCAGGCGTGAGCACTTTCCCATCTTCATCTAGTCGGTATGTTTTGCAAAGTACCAGCCGGCTGTACACCGAGTTAAAATCTTTTTCAACCTCACGGGTTGCAGCCTCTTCAATAAAAAGCCACGGGTGACAAGGGCCACCTGGAAAACATTTTCAAATAAATTTTTTGACATACTGTTATTCTACTTTCTTATGAGATTTCTTTTATTAAAATTTAATTCCATCCAATATTTGTAAAGAAAAAATTTAAATTCCATTTTTATATTGCTAATGAAATAGATGTTTTTAATTTAAATTAGAAACATCACAAATTCAGTAAATTACTTTGTCATTAGAAAAAAATTACCATTTTTGTTTTTGTTGAAGTGTGGTCAGTTCAAGATAGACTTTCTTCAAGAAAGCTGTGGACAAAGGCTGCAGGATCCCTGCTGCGGAGGGATCAGGAAGAGATTTGTGGTTATGACAGGACGGGGAGATATGACAAGAGTGAGTGAAATGAAAAATTGACTTTCAGACCATTTTTTGCACTTTTAGTTGGGTTATGGGATTCCTGAGGACCTCGAGTGAGATTAAAGGAAGAAGAGAAAGTGAGAAGTTGGAGATATCACTGAGGGATCAGTAAATCCAGAGGAGATTGTCAGAAGACCAGACTTTGTTAGTTCTTAAATTAGTTATTAAGTTATGATTACTAATTAACTTTACTTTTAAATTTATTCAATACAATTTGCTGTTTACTTTAGCTTTATAATTTTATTTAAGCTTTTAGTATATTGTTATTGTCAGCCAGACTGATTTTTGTTTTAAGGTACACTATTTTCAAGATAATAGTGCACCAGACGTCTATATTTATTTACACCGTCAACATGATAACACACAACTTTTAACACAAAACAAAATTTAAAGATACTCAATACATAACATTTGTACTTTCGTTGGTGAAACCTGTCATCTATAAATAATTTTTTCTTCATCATAAAAGTTCATTTATTAGTTTTATCTTTTTATGCTACCCTGTGATCTTTAAGGGTTATTTCTTGTGGACATTGTACCAGATCTAGGTTTATTTTCTGGTGTTACTTTTTTTTTCATTGTTTATTTGAGTTGGTCTTGACTGTGACTATGTTGACCATAAAATTATTTTGAATGACAGGGATGACCTATTTTTGTTATTAATACTATTAAATTGATTCCCTTTTGAAATAATGAACTTTGAGACCTAGAACCCTCTTTTAGGAAAAAAAAAATTAAATAATTTATGATTGCAATACCTCTTCATTTTCTTTACTAATCCAATACGTTTACATACGTTTCAATGGCAAATGAGGAAATAATGTACTTACCGAGAAAATTCGGCCTCTTCATACCATGCTCGAAAACTTGTTTAATGGCAGGACAGAGTGTGCCTCTCACCAAATCCGTTATAGTTTCGCTAACCGAATCGTCACCGGCAAATGTGTACTGTTTGCTCCTTTCGTCCAAAACTTGTACAAATTTCGCCGGAAACCAGCCTGAAAAATTATCAAAATTTTAAACAGTTTCAAATCGGCTGCAGGGAAAGCGTTACGCTACCTCTAAGCCCGTTGAGTTCTCCGACCCAACAGTCTTCGTCGTTTTGACTAATAATAGTGATTATGTCGTTTTTACGAAAGCCCAATTCATCATCGTCCCCTCTTTTAAAATCTAAAAGAGGTAGGGATAAAGTAATAAACTGATATATATATTTTTTAAATATTTGGTTTTAAATAATACCTAACATAGCTTTCGCTCGCCTTAACCTATTCCTAGACACATTGAGATAGTGTTCGTGGTCTAAAGAATGACTCTCGAGGCTGTAGTCGGCGATAAGGCATCCCTCTTTGTTAAGTTTTGGTTCCATCGTGAAAAAATGCCTCGCCACCTGCAATATCGACTCTCGCAAGTCAACGAGAATCTCTGTCAAAAAATTTAAAATGAAAGATCTGTTAAGAAGTTATCTGTTAAGTTTTTATTTTTTATTTTTTTAAAAGTAACTAGTCAATCTAAATCCTCTATTTTCAGAAAATGATAAATTAAAAGCCAAAATTTTTAAAATACCTGTTTGCCTAATGTTTTTTGATTTTACATCCTCTCCACTTTCTTCGTCACCAAAAAGTATAAGCTGTATCACCGATTTTGATTTTTTTAATTGCCTCCTGAAAAAGTATAGAATAAGATTAAGAACAAGATGTCAAGCATAGCTGAAAATCACAGAAAATTTCAGACAAAAATAATACTTACTAATCATTCAGGACAATTCACAAAATGATTATAAGGCACAATGTAGCCAAAACCATTACAAGCAACATGCCAAGGTAAAAAAGACTTTCTGTACACTAGAATGGAAAAAAAGGGCCATGCACAACCAGGTGCTTTTGTTTTAAAAAAACAAACCACTCATTAAACCAAATAAATAAATATAATGTTTAATAATTATTTAAATACAATTGTAAGTTATAATAATAAATAAGTACAGCATGCATTATTTTACTAAGTAAAAGCATAAATATTTTTCTTTGGCCAAATCACTACACCCCTAGTTAAATAAAAACACATGGTACGGTTAAACAAGACGTTCACTGTTTTGTGACGATACAATAGCATAGATATCTAAAAATGGCATAAAACATCCTTGAGATGGCTGAAGCTAACCTGGTCAGGTGCTGTTTAGGGAGATTTGGAGCGCATTCGGGGTTGCCGACGAGAGCGCCTTGGTCTGTCATGAGGTAGGCAAGGTGTCGTCTCCTCTGTGTATCGATTATCATGTCTGTCAGAGTGCTTCCTACTTCTAGTGAAACCTTAAATTCATTTTTTTGTTGTTAAATAAACTGGAAAAATTATACGTATGGGAGTACAATATACCTGTAGCAACTGTTCAACATCATCGATCTCCCCAGGGATGCTAGCCAGGCAGTTGAATATTTGCGCTGAGTTCTCAAGCTCTTTTAACGTCGGTTCTAAAAGGTGTATTAAAACAGTTCAAAATGTCCAAATCAGCATAGTAATAAATAAGAAACAAACCTTTGATTTTCAACATCCCAAGTGTTATCTGAAACAATATGATGGAGCCGTCAAAGAAGAAGATATCCCAAATTCTCAGCTGGATTTTGGTGTTCACAACAGAGGCAAAAATGGTGAGGAACCAGTGCACAGTTATGAGAGAAAGCTCGATGTCGTGCTGGCGCAAGGTGACATCCACTGATGGTAAATAACTGCAGATCAAAGTCCTCAAAACTCTCTGATCTGCTAAAACTCCTGTAAAAAACAAATATTAATTAAAAAACATTTATTCCTGTTTCTCAAATGTGTTGGGATCCTTTTTCTCTGTAGAATTAAACTACTGTTTCCTCTTGTTCAAGCTTTTGACCATCTATGTGATCTATTATTTTTAACAGAGGTATTTTAGCTATGGATTTATGTGAACCTCAGGGTGCCAGTGATTTTGAAAGAAGCTCTGAATTTGAACCCGAGAACTTTACCTTATGATGAATTACCATGTAAATGCCTTAACCATTGTGGCAACAGACGCCCCTTGATTTTATTATTAAATCTATAGACATGTCAAAACTGTAAAATTATTGAATATAAAATATTTTTAGTACCCATTAAAGTTGTCGTGTAATATGATGCTGGCAAAAGGTCCTCGACAATTGTGCACATCATCCAAAAACAATCGTCTTCTTCTAGAAAGAGGAGGAGGGAGGCCGCTACCATACCCATTCCCTGACAATACCTAAAAAAAAAACAGTTAAAAAAATTAAGATTATTAATTATTAATCAAATAATTACCCGATGTCAGGATAGAGCCAAGCAATTCCCCGGAGGATTCGCCGTAACCGAGGGATGCCAGTCGATGTCAAACTACTGAAACAAGCATTACCCGGAAGTGTTCTCAGGAGATCTTTTTCAATCTGTTTGCTCGAGGCTAAGTCTTCGTTTGAAGACTCCTTGACTATGTCCCTGTAGCTGACGTCTGAGTTCATTTTCTTGGCAAGCCCGCCTGAAAACCGCATCCAGAGCTGTGGCCGGAGCGAGTGCGGAATCCCTTCTCTTACCATCTCTCTTAATTTGTCTGTCTTTGGTAGCCTCAGCTCGACCCTCTCCCATGATAAATCTTTTGAGTCGTTGTTATGGCTGAACTCTAAATGAGCTAGCCATTTTAACCTTAAAGAATTTTTTTTGGTTTGTTTCAAAAAGATTGAATTTTTTCTTAATAAGAAATTTAAATTACCTTTCTTTGGCATCTTCAGCTAAAGGGGCTGAAACCACTTCGTTTGAGTTCTTTTCTGTTTTTTCATCTTCTATCCTGAATCCAAATTCGTCAAATCTGAAATTACAAATACGTATGAGTTAAATACAATTTTTTTTTTAAAGTTTGCCAAATTTTCATACCGGTATTCCGATTCCAAATTGGAGTCATCGGTGTTCTCTTGCGCTTTGCGAATCTGAGCGAGGATCTCCTGAGGTCGCATTGATGGTGTGAGTGCTGAAAACGGCCCTTCTGGAGTCGCATCCACCCTTTCCTGGAAAGGCTCAGGACTCTGCTCTGATTCTTCATCATCAGAGTATACTGTAGTGACTTGTTCCTGTAAAAACAAAAAAATGGTTAATTGCCAAGAAAACAAAAAGAAAATATCTAAAAAATTGATAAATGAATGTGATCAATAAATGCTAAACAAATTTTAAATTGTTCTATTATAATTTATAAAATTGTGAGATTTTCTTTTGGATCTAGAGTGATGAACCTGTGTTTTGATCAATTTGTTTTACCAGGCCTTTTACTGGGTTTTGGTCTGTCAGATGTGTTTCCGACTCCACAGAATGCCAGTTCAGTACTAAAGATGGCGAAATGCTCAAATTCACCCAACATACCAAACCTTCACGGTTAGGCAAACAAAAATAATCAGAAATGGCCAAAATAAACACTACCTATTAATTTTATTATCAAATATAATTCCAGTCTTCCCATTCTCACTTAAAACAAATTATTAACTAATACCTAATGACTATTTACCATAAGTGTAACAGGTGGAAAGTTAGCAAATCATCAATGTTTTGTTGAACCGAAAAACTGCCCACTACAAGAAATAACACTACCCGAAATATTTGCCTAAAAACACTGTGATGATTTACAATATTTGAAATAGATAATCTTATACAAGATTACTTAAGTGAAGTATGAGTAGACGAATATGAGGACGAATCAATTGGCAGATTTGTAAATATTTCCAAGATTTCCTAGTAGGTCAAGTTTGGCATATTTTATTTTCAACACTTCGGTTCATTCTTTTAGGCAGGCTGTCCTAGATTTGCCGTACCATCGTTATACTTCTTATCTCTAACAACAATAGGGGAGTTAGAAGGAAAATTTTGATAACTGGCAAATAGTTTTTAAAGGGACCTAGAAGTTGCAGTAATTAAAAAAAAGTTTCCCTTCTCTTACTAAGTTTAATTATTTATCATTTTTTAGCTTCTTCGATGGAAAATTTTTTCTTCCTTCACAAGCCTTATTTCGTATGTATTATTCAAACTATTAGAATATTGATGAATAAATGACTGCGTTTTCTATATTTTATCAAAGGTTTGGATGGGATGTTCGGTCTGGTATAGAAACAAAACATATGGATGGCTGAAATTGAACAAAAACTGCTAATACAAAACTGACCAAAGCTTATAAACTATTTCTGTAAATTGTTTATTTTCTTTATAATTGAATTACCTTCTATATTGTTTCTAAAATTTAACATTAAGAATGTTTTTTGTTTTGTTGTTCTGTTTGTGCCTTGAAAAACGAAATATATTTTCCGAAACATCGGCAGAGAAAAGATAATTGGCTTTGTTTCTATACCTGACTAAACATCCCATCCAAACCTTTTTTTTTTATAAAACTATTAGAACATGTTCAATAATTAGTCACAATCTCCTCTGAATTATTTGACAGTAGTTTGATCATCCTGGACTGCCCATTTTTTCTGTTATACTGATAGAACATTTGTATCGCAATGATCAAAGATGATGAAATTGCCTAAAAAACTTATTACAACTTAAATAATTTTCTTAATGCACAATTCAATAGTAATGAAATTTTATTTTCTCTTAAGGAACATTCATCAATGATATTTCGATATAACAACACCAAACATAATATATTTTTTCTTTTTCCGCTATAATCTAAAAGATCTATTATATACACAATTGATCTTTCTTTATGCCCATACTCCAGAAAGTGCACTTTACTTAAGACAGTTGAGCACTTTCTAGGATTCCTCTTTACTTATTCCCCCAGTGCCTTTCTGAAGTGGCTGTACCGTTTTCGGGCTAAGACTTTGCAGTCAGATAAGTTTGTTGTTTCATGGCAGAGTCGAGATTATTATTAAAGGACTATTATTTTCCTTAATTCCTCTCTGCTGAGAGATTTTTTTTGTTTTTCTGGTTGAAATAATGATGTCCTGGTGAATTCATCCAGTGTGTCATTTCTTCCATTTGTTCAGTTCAACTTTAGTTCATTGCGGTTTACAAATGTTCAATTCTGGTCCAAAGGTTGAGGTTTGATGAAAAAACTGAAACCTGATGATCATGCTGGAAGCGTTCCATATTAAATAGACATATGGCCAAGGAGTGAACGAAAGGTTTATGGCTACAAAATTAATAATTTCTTCTTCCTAATTTTACATGATATAGGAAAGATACTTCCAGCATTGTGAGTATACTTGATTAAATTTGATCAATCTTCAAATCTTCAAGATCACTTTAGCACATAAAAAAGTCAAGATTAGGATAAGAGTTGCAGATATATGAATAGAGTTCTGTATGAACCATGAATGTTGGTAGTGCTCAAACTATTGCTTTTCCATATTACAGTCATTTGACCAAGCAACGAACGTAATGTACAAACTTCATATCTTCTCTGTGGTGTGACAGATACCTGGCTGGCAAAGAAAAAAAAATCTTATTCCAAATTTTACATGATATAGTATGAGTTTACATGATAGTTCCATAGTTCCAACAGTCTGAGAATACTCGATCAACTTTGATCAAACATCAAGATGATCTTCGCTGATGAAAAATTTGTGATTAGGATAAGACTTCCAGATGTTTGAATAGAGTTCAAATGACACGAATGTTGGTAATGCTGGAAGTATAGTTTTTCAATACGAAATAGATGTATGATCAACCAATTAACATAAGGTTTATTGCTACAAAATTAATAGTTTTTTATTAATTTTACATGATATAGGAAAAATAATTCCAGCATTGTGAGAATACTTTATTAAGTTTGATTAGACATCAAGATGATCTTGGCTGATGAAAAATTCATAAGAGTTCCAGAGGTTTGCATGTTGTTGCACAAAAGGAAGAATATTAATATTTTCTTTTTCCTAACTTTACATGATATAGGAAAAATATTTCCAGCATTGTGAGTGTACCTGATCAAGTTTGATCAATCTTCAAAATCGCTTTTCAAAAAATTCATGATTACGATAAGAGTTCTAGATGTATGAATAGAGTTCCGTATGAATCAAATGTTGGTAATGCTGGAAACGTTCCATTTTAAATAGACATATGCCTAAGGAATGAACGTAAGGTTTATGGCTACAAAATTAATATTTTCTTCTTCCCAATTTTAAATGATGTAGGAAAAATACTTTCAGCATTGTGAGTACACCTGATCAATCTTCAACATCACTTCCGCAGATGAAAAAAAAATCATGATTTCGACAAGAGTTCCAGATGTTTGAATAGAGTTCCATGAACCATGAATGTTAGTCTGAAACTACTGCTTTTCCATATTATATAGTCATTTGACCAACCAATGCACATAAGGAAGAAAATTAGTATTTTCTTTTTCCTAACTTTATAGGAAAAATACTTCCAGCATTGTGAGTGTACCCGATCAAGTTAATCAATCTTCAAAATCGCTTTTCAAAAAATTCATGATTACGATAAGAGTTCTAGATGTATGAATAGAGTTCCATATGAACCATGAATATTAGTCTGAAACTACTGCTTTTCTATATTATATAGTCATTTTACCAACCAATGCACATAAGGAAGAAAATTAATATTTTCTTCTTCCTAGTTTTAATTGATATAGGAAAAATACTTCCAGCATCAGCATTTTGAGTGTATCTGATTAAGTTTGATCAATCTTCAAAATCACTTTTATTATGAAAAATTCATGATTATGATAAGAGTTCCAGATGTATGAATAGAGTTCCATATGAACTGAATGTTGGTAATGCTGGAAGCGTTCCATTTTAAATAGACATATGACCAAGAAATGAACATAAGTTTACGGCTACAAAATTAATATTTTCTTCTTCCTAATTTTAAATGATAAAGGAAAAACACTTCCAGCACTGTGAGCACACTTGATCAATCTTTAAGATCACTTTCGCAGATGAAAAATTCATGATTACGATAAGAGTTCCAGATGTTTGAATAGAGTTCCATATGAATCAAATGTTTGTAATGCTGGAAGTATAGCTCTCCAATATTATACAGACATATAGTCAGGTGATAAATGTAAGGTTTATTGTTACAAAATTTATATTTTCTTCTTCTAAATTTTACATGATATAGGAAAAATTCTTCCAGCATTGTGGGTGTATCTGATCAATCTTCAAAATCACTTTTCAGATGAAAAATTCATGATTACAATAAGATTTCCAGATGTTTGAATAGAGTTCCATTGAACCATGAATGTTAGTAGTCTGAAACTAATGCTTTTCCATATTTTCTCACATTTTACTAAGCGATATGTATTGAAAGGGAGGTGCACAGGAGGTTCATTGATATAAAAACAATTCGATTCAGCTGGAACCTAAATCAAACAACATATCTTCAGTCTTAAAGTGGTGGTGAAATAATTTGGACTGCGTGGGCGTAACGTTACCCATTTTCCAGAAATCGCGAAAAGCTGGAAAATACTCACGTTGTGGTTTTCCCTGCCGGTGTAGCCGTCGTGGGGCCTGGAGGAAAACAACGACTTGGCAACTTCCATATGTTGGCCGTTTTGGCGAATCTGCCTGTAAAAACGGGGCGAGCGGCACGTGTGTTTCCGCTGAGTCCGGGGGCCGGGCCGCCTTTCAAAAAAGCTCCCTCTCACGCAGTGATCCGCCGTTCAAAAGCTCGCCCATCGCGATAAACGGGGCTTTACTCAACGCGACTAATTTTTCACACTTCCACCACCTTTTTGTCACAATGACAGATAAACACGAAACTCAACCTTCTTTCAACCTCTCCGAGTTTCTAGATTTCTTGCTAGATCACTACAGGACGGGGAGGAGCTAATATTTGTACTTTATTGGTCTAATAAAAATATATTTTTCCCTAAACTGAACGATTTCCATGGATTGTTTTCCTTATTCAATCTTATTAATTAATCAACAATCAATCAGGAACTCTGCCTAGTACATGGAATTCATTATTATACAAATAGGCAATTTCAAACCTTTTAACTTAATCTACTTATTATAATTGTGAATTTTATAACAAAACTTCAATTTAATACAACTCGTAACAATGAAATTGCAGTTTTTTGTACACAAATTTGAAATCGAATCAATTTTTTATCAATCAGGAACAGACCTTTATCCTAAAAGGCTATCCAAGTTCGATATCTTTGAATAACATAATAAAATAAACAACTGTATAACTTTAAGCATTGTAAACGATAAAATAAATATAATAATGATTCATATTGACAATTAATAATTTAAATTCAATAAATAAAATTGAAAAAAAGCTTCTCATTTTGTTGTAAGCTGCTAGACACTTCCAACTCTGATACAACACAGCTGTTCTACCTGTCTACTGTTGACTGTCTTCTTGTTTTCCGATTTTTTTTACCACCGGGACCGAACATTTTAATTATTATCGTCGTTAATTAATTAAGAAAATCTTTTTTCCGAGCGGGATGACAATTTTGAAATATTGAAGTTCGATGCTGGCCGTCGAGCATGGAATTCGAGAGCCCGGACGTGGAAAGAGAATTTCCAGGCCTTTACGCTTCGGAAGCAGCCAGAAAGAGCAATGAAAGCGACTGTGAGTAATAAGATTGATTATTTGAAGGCAATTTGGCACAGTCTAAATAAGTATTTTTAAAAAAAATTATAAAAAAGTTCGACGTTTTGGTTTTGATAAAAGTTTAGTTAAGCAAGGAATATTTGGAGCCAGAAGATAACATTGTACCGGACGGTTGAGGTCTTAAGATATGCAGTTTACTCAGTATCGGTTCTGTGATGAATCCGTCCTATCATACTTGATCATCATGGCCAATTCTCACCGAATTTGCCCATTTTGCTGTCAACTGACTAACCGATGAAGATACTGAATTGCACCTGACTCAAAACTAGCGAAAATACACCGAGATGATGGAGGGTGATGGATCATAATGATCATAACAGTCTGAATTTGTCTCGGAATTGTTTGTATCTTGCTAAGTACTACAGGTGCCCCTTGCGTTTTGAAAAAACATAACAGGTTTTCTTTGTTGTTCTGCTTTGCTTCATTTTACCATTTTATGCACGTTTATTTGATCTCTGTCCCTAGCCGTCGACTTCATAAAGTAAGGTTAAGAGCTCTTCGTCAAGCATAAGACTTTTTATATTTTTATTATATACGAAAGGTTGGGGTGTATCATTTGGAATCTGGACCGGATCAGTTCGTTGACAAAAGAAATGTTGAGGTCTTTGTGGATAGTGACGTTAGGGACATAATAAGGTGCTTTGACAATTTGTCTAAGGGCTTTCGATTGGAAGGACAGGATGCGCTAGATATTGGATGGCTTGGCAGTACTCCACAGTTCCACTCCGTATGTCCATATTGTTCTTAGTAAATCTTGTACAGTGTTAGCTTTGTCTTAGTTGTCAGAGTCGATTTTGGTCTTAGAAGTCTTCGTAGCAGTCCAAGTATTGTTTGAAGTTTTTTTAAAAGTCTTATGTGGGGTTCCACGTCTGCTGTCGAGATATAGTCTCAGGTATTTGACTCGAAACTGGTATCTCTTTGTTGTTGGTGTACAATGGAACCAAGACTGCTTTTTCAGCGTAAAAATACACTGAGTGCATTTTTCTTTGTTCAGTCTTCCATTTTTTACACCAATCTTCGGTAAGTTCAAGGTGGAACACTGGAGGTAGCTTGGACAGGATTAGAGTAAGAAGATAGGACTGTGGTGTCATCCGCGTAGGTGATGATAATAGTGTCAGGATGTATTGGTAGGCCAGCAGTATAAATGATGTAAAGGATAGGACCAAGGATACTACCTTGTGGTACACCAGCCAGTATCTGTTTGACTTTTGAGAACTCATTGCCGCATCTCACTCTGAAGCAGCGATCAGTGAGGTAGGATTTCAATAAAAGATAATAATGAGAGGGTACAAATTAATTTTAAAAAGTATGCCTGGATGCCAGACCTATAAATGTATATAATGCAGGTTAAAAGAAAGACATTACTGTAAATATTTTTAAATTATGATTAATGGTGGGAGTAAATACTTTTATTTTTGAAATTTTTCTTCACGGTCACTGATGACCAAAAATTTTTTTGTTTATTTCCAAACCCTGGAAAGTGCACTGCCCACAGTTTAGCACTGCCTGGGGTTCTTTTTTGCTAATTTGTCACATTTTATTTGCCTGTAGTCATCGTTGGTGGTTCAACTTCATGAAGTAAATAATGTCCTAGTTTTTCAACGTCATATCAATTGCTTGATTATATTGACTTCATCTTCCAACACTCTTCCTCACAAACTTTACTATGTTCCTCAACACCTTCAAATTTGCAGCCTGTCTCATCATCATATAATCGGTTTCTCCTTGTTTTTATTACTTAAATTTACAATCACTCTTTATGTAAGGGATACCGGGATATTGTCAGTCATTTTTAGAACTGCCTCATGTTCGATGATAGAGATAGAAGGTTTTCAATACTATGATTCAGTAGGAAAAATATTTCTAGTTTCAGTTGCTACAATCAGTTAATTTTTGTAAACATACTTACTACATTTGTAAAATGTAAAACAAGTGGTTTAACTGGCATTACGCTGTGACCGGCAATGTCTTTTAAGAGGACTGCACGTCAAGATCATTAGTGTGAGTGTTTATTGCATACAGAAAAACATCAAGTTTGATCGCTTCTGATCATTCTAGTCTGCCTATCCTCACAACTATTAATCAATTATTTACTTATATTGTTAGGTCTTTGCTTGTTAGTTTAAGTTTGATAAATTAGTGCACAGGCCACCAGTGAAAAATAGTGACAAGTTTCTGAAAGACCAAAACAACAAAATCATTGGAACTAATTTATTGCCATAATTTTCATCCAAGTCACCCAATGTGTTCTCCTTTGTGACAGAAATGATTTTATTTTGTAAAAAGTGTACCACTTGCTCAGCTATCAATCGACTCTGATCATTGGCCTCTTCGCTGGTCATTGTTCATTAAACTTCCAACAAGGGAAAATTGGAAAAGCAGAGGCAAAAATTGTTGAATATGTGCCAACAGATATTTTTGACGGACTGCTGTGGCCGAGTGGTTAGGGAGTCCGACTCGTATTTTGCCAAACTAAGGGTTCTGGGTTCAAATCCTGCCCATGGGATATTAATTGAGAATAGTATGAAAAAAACCATTTTTGTAGTTGACCACCATCATCCAGCTATGCCATCAGATATTTTAGCAGATACATTTTTCTGTGATTTGCATTTTGTAGCTGGTAGCGTTTTCCCTCTATTGAACACCTTACACCACCATGCTAATAAATTCAATTACTCGCTGTAAATTGAACAGATTTAGAATTCAAAATGTGAACATAAAGTTCCAATATATTATTTGAAGACTCATATTTCCTCCAAAATGTACAATATATTACTGATAAACCCATTAATTAACAAATTATATGTTGTTTGTAATATTATGAGAGGATGTTATAGACCAAAGAACAGTTTAATTGCTGTGCTTTTGGTGATAATTCATAGGTTGTATAAATTATTATTTTTTAAGCTCTCCTCTTTTCTTATCGTGGACCTGCCAAACTTTAAATTTATTTTAAGGAGCCTAAATTGTCATTTTTCAATACCCCCTCCTCCTATTCCCAAGCTGAGAGGTCAGTGTACAAAGTTTCACCAGTTTAAAAAAGAAAAAAAAATTGAGCTGAATTTATAAAGTGTTGGTCTTCTTTAAATCATAGGAATATTTATATTTCTAGAAGAACTTTTACTTTGAATAGATTCAGATTTAAACCATTTCTAATTGATATCACAAAGTTTAAGTTAAGCTAAAGTTAAGTGACAAAATTAGGTAACTGAGGACGGTCATCTAATTGGAGAAAATAAAATGTGAAAGATTAAACAAATTATGAAAAAATTGATAATAATTTATAATAAAAAAAAATGAATTGGAATGAAAAATTCGACTAATTTATCCTAAACGTTTACAATGCAGGTTAAATGAAGGACATATTACTTGTAAATATTTTTGAATTGATTGAAATTTTCTTGTTTAATATCAGAATTTTTGTGCATTCCAGTTAGCGATGAGAGTCACGAAAAAGTTTCAAAAAAAGACCTTCTCATTGGGAAAAGGAAGGACAAGAAGGACAAAAAGGACAGAGGCTATGCTACTTTAGAGGGAGAGAGTTCGCCCGAAGAAGACACCGACATTAAGTATTGAATTAATTACCAACTAGTTTCTCTCTTGAATATATTTTATGATGTTTACTTATATTTTTTTTAAGAAGCCCATCAAAAACGAAGAAGTCGAAGCCTTTCAAATTCTCGTCGAAAAAGGAGAAAAGGGAAAAGTCCAGAGAGAAGGAATGCAAGGAAAAGGATCAAGAGAAAGAGAAGAAAAAATCCGATGAGAAAGACAGGGACAAGAAGAAAGAGGCCAAAGTGAAATTGAAAATAAAAGAAAAGAAGAAGGCGAAACATGTCGAAGAGACCGTGGAGATAAGTGGTAATCGGAATATTTCCAACGAGTCTTTTTATAAATCCTCATTCTTAGCATCTTTTACAGAAGATTTACCGATATTTGGCGTACCACTTTCTGTCGCCGTCGAACGCAGTAAATGCCACGATGGTGTCGATATACCCCTCATCGTGAGAAACTGTATCGATCACGTCGAAGAGACAGGTGATTTATTTATTTAGTCCAACATCATTTATGCTTTATAGCAATAATAATATTTTAAAAAATCATGCATGGCTGGCATAAATAGATCAAAACTTCGCATAAATGCAAGAGTGTTTACAACCTTAGGCAAACAAAAGTAATACAATAACAAATAGCCATGCTAGAAAAAGATTTTTTTTTTGGTTTACACTGTCATATTACCCATGAAGTTTTCTATTTTCATTTTACTTTCGAGCGGGATCGGCCGACCAGGACCAGATCCCCGCCGCGTGCCCGCACCCACTCATTTAGCTCCATCGTCTTCATCTTCTAAATTTTCATGGTTGAAGATAATCAAAAAGAAACGTTTATCGACTTTAGAAATCCATAGATTATGCCGAAAGCTGATGGATTGTTGCTTATTAGGACAGATTCTAAGTTTATTGGTTTGGAAATGTTTGGGACTTTGCTCAGATTTTTTAGCAGTTTGTCTCTTTCATTTTTGTATTCTGGACATTTTGGACATGGAAAAAGATTTTACTAGTTCAAACATTTAAATTTTGAAAATTTAGATCATAAAAAACAATTAAATAACGGTATGGCTCATTCAATTTTAATTAATTAGTAATCCATCAATTTTATAATAATATTAATGTAATTTAGTTGTGTAACAAATAATAAAAAAATATTGTTTGAAAAAATTATTTAAAAAAATATTGTTTTAAATAACTTTATGGTTCATTCAAGATAATATTTAAATAAAAAGATTTTTCTGGCTGTCTGTTGTTAGATCTTAAAAAACAATTAAATAACTTTATGGATCATTCAATTTTAATTAATTTTTAATCCATCCATGGTTTATTCAATATAATTTTTAATTAAAAAGATTTTTCTGTGCTGTCTGTGGTTAAATCTTAAAAAACAATGAAATAACTTCATGGCTCATTCAATTTTAATTAATTTGTAATCCATCAATTTTATTATAATATTAATATAATTTAGTTGTGTAACAAATAATAAAAAAATATTGTTTAAAAAAATTATTCTAAAAAATATTGTTTAATAAAACTTTGTTCATTCAATATAATTTTTAATCAAAAATATTTTTGTGTGCTGTCTGTGGTTAGATCTTAAAAAAAAAATTAAATAACTTTATGGCTCATTCAATTTTAATTAATTTTTAATCCATCCATGGTTTATTCGATATAATTTTTAATTAAAAAGATTTTTCTGTGCTGGCTATGGGGTGATGAACCTGAAATTTGGTCGTTAATGATCGTTGTGGTCTATCCTAACTGGGCTGCTAGTTGCATTTTAACATTTGCCATCTTCAGTTTGTCTTTCGATAGACCACTGAGGATAGGCATACCAAAATGATCAGTAATTTCATAATTTTTAAATAGTTGAAAACAAAATTAAATCAGGAGGAACCAGAATATACTAATTTAAAGGCTATATATATAACTGTGATTAAATTTAGGTAATTAATTGATTAAGTAATGAATTCAATATTGTATAATGTTGTGACAACAAAATTTATTCTTTATTCTAAGATTGTTCCTATTGTTGTAGGCTTGCTTGCAGAAAATGTCTATAAAGTATCAGGTATAAAATCCAAGGTGCAGCAAGTGAGGCGGATGTACAACAACCACGAGCCTGTCAAAATAAGCGATTTTGACCTCCCTGTCGCCACAAGCTTAGTGAAGCAGTTTTTGAGGTGGGATGTTCATCCTAAATAATAATTTTACAAGTCTAACTGACTCAATTCCAGGGAACTCCCGGAGCCAGTGCTCACGACAGAGCTGGTTGGGAGGTTCGAAGAGGGCTCGGCTTGCAATCAAGTGTCCGAGAGGGGCGACCGGTTCAAGACGCTCATAAGTGAGCTTCCTTCTTGCAACAGGGCTTTGCTCGGCTGGCTCTTGAAACACTTTGATCATGTCACACAACATGTGAGTTATTAAAAAAAAAAAAAAAAAAAAAACGAAAAAAATGAAACGTATGTCTATTCATTATTTGACACCTTTTAGGAAAAGTTCAATAAGATGAACGCTCAGAGTATCTCGATAGTGATAAGTCCTCTGATGCAAACAAGCCAGCGACTTCTGTCAGCACTCCTGTGCCATGTTTCTGAACTCTTTCCTAATCTTGTGTTAACAAAGTAAGTCAATCTGTATAATAAAAGAATAGTAAATAATTGTTTATTTATAAGTTATAGCTTAACGCAAGTTGTATTTAGAACAGTACCAATATGACATGGATTTGAACATTCGTCTGCTGGAGTTTGTTGTTTAGGTGAATGAGGAAAATAGGACATAAAAATAATGTTTATTAATAAAAGTTAAATTTAACAGTGATGAAAGAGGAGAATTAAAGAAAAAACAAGATAGGTCAAAAACAAAGAAAAAAAATTAAGCGGTGAGTTTGCAGAAGAAAACAAACTAGGTGGAACACAGAAGAGCAAAAAGGAAAGCGTTAAAATTTTCATTTTTGTTTAGTTTAACCCTTCAGATTCTATGGGGTAGGGCGATATCAATAACATTTTGCCCTTCATTTTGTTATAATTTGCTTTTCCATCAATCTGTAGCTAGATGGCCTCTAGGTATCTCTCAGGCTTCAATCCTGGAAGCGTTTACCCCAGTCTTGCAATTGTTATTTCTTATCGGTCTGTTCCCAATCTTCCGCAAAGTGGACAGTGGTATTCCCATTCGTGGGGATGAATGATGTATTGATTTTGCTTTCTTTCATAAAAATTCAACTGGCTAATACATTTGGGCCTTCCACCCTAAAGAGATGGCAGAGCTTTTATGTGAGTTTGAGAAGAGGATGGAGATACCTATGCCGAGTGTTGCAAAAAAAAGCCCAAAGCTTAGATATATTTAAAAAAAAATTCTTTCTTCTTTAAATTGTAGATTAAATAGTTTTGTACATCAATAAGTTAATATAAAGAGAAAACTGTCAAAGTTGGGGAGGGATAATAAATAAAGCATGGAATTCAAGAAAAGAGATTTCAAAATAGCTACAAGGGCAGACATATAGACACTTATAGGAATGTTATTCTTGCTTGTTTATTTCATAACTAGTATGGTTTTGTTATATCTTTCATTAAAGACGTCAATGGCTGTGCATAAATCTTGACACGATAATTCATCCCTTTAAGAGTCCCGAGTTCAAATCTCAGTCAATTTTTATGAATTATGTAAACTTTTATCAAACAATTTATAACAGAATATAGCTTAAAAGTCAATACTTTACTGCAGATTTGTAATATAATATTTTTTGTGGTATTTTTCAAAAATACCAGTACCCAAGGGTTCAAATAACCTCATAATTGAAATACTATTTAAAAAAAAAAAAAAAAAAAAAAAAACATTATCGAACAAATTAGAACTGAATATAACATAAAAGTCAATACTTTACAGCAGATTGTAATATAACATTTTTTGTGGTTGGACTATGATGAACAGATATATTTTAAGCAAATTAAGTTGTTTGATTCATTTGATACTACTTACTACTTAGTACCACTCAGGCGTTCAGACGATAGCCATTGGTGGTGAAGGGCTAAATTAATAAATTGAATGGTTGCTCTAGCTCATACTTGTATTTCCAATCATAGGGTTGTTCAGATGAGAAATCATCTTATCATTTGTCAAAGTAAAATGCCCAAAATATATTCAGCAAGATCCCCAAAAATAGAGAAGTTTGCCATGGAGTGATGGCACAAAAATTACAGAACGAGTAAATTCCATGGGGTTGAGTTCAAGTGTAGCAGTTCACATGAGCCTTATAATGTTAATGAAACTCCTTGAAAGTAAGACCCTTAAAATTAGTTTCACGAAAGCATACTTTGTTCATGATTTAAAATTGAGAAATTTAGGCCCTAATGAGTTCTGAAGCCTTTATTCTCAAGAGCATTAACTCCGGAAGTTCAAAGACCTTTAAAATAAACAAAATGACTTTTGAGGGTACAAATAAAAATAAGATTCACCCATGTTCAACATATAATTTGGGAAATAAAATCATTTTGCCAAACAAAAATGTGCTAGGATTTTTCAAAGATGTTCTAATGTGTCTGGGTCACACTTGGACCTCCATAGTACATACGGCAGTCTGTGGGGAGATGTACCTGAAATTTGGTCGTTACCGATCATTTTGGTCTGCTTATTTCCTTACTTATCAAGTTATTAGTTTTTAAAATTAGTATTCTTTTTGGTGGTAAATATATGTAAATAGTTTTGATTAAATAATTATGAATTTGTTTGAAGACTAAAAGATTTTTTTGATTTTCTGTGAAAACACTTTTGTTTTTTGGCTAACATTTAAACAGAGATAAATGAAGTGATTGTTATGTTGGGGGAGTCGAATCAGAAGTTTTAATAAGGGTGTTGATAAGGGAAGAACCGGCCTTCCTTTTTCTATATCTTATCCAATCTTTGAAAGTGGGGGTTCGAGGGTCTTTCCCCAGGGGTCTCTTTTCAATCCAGACACACATCTGCGACCTCGATATGTTAGACAAGTACTGGTGCGACTGGGTTTTAATCGTTGGGTTATTAAAAAAACAACATTTTTTTTACAGGTACGTTCCTCCGCTTACGTCGGTGAGCCCTGGACTGCCGGACAGTTCTGAAGGCTTGTCGATCGAACTGGCAAAGCAAGAATCACTTCTGATGCAGCTGCATAGGGAAATGAACCAGGGTCTGGTTGATAAAGCAAGGGAGGAACAATTATGGGGTGTACAAAGAATAATAACACAGCTAAAGGTATATTTACCTCATATTTTTCAAATGTTTTATTTATACGTACGAATAAATATTATTTTTGATTGACCATTTTTTCTAATGGTGCGTGTTGATTGTTCTATACGTACAAAAGTATAGAAATATATTTTATCTTTATGACTTTCATTGTATTTGGCAGAGTGCTAAACTAGAATTTATGATATCATAAAATTGAGCATTATAACTTTTAAACAAAAGTATAGATTAAAAAGCACTAAAATTATTTTTGTTTTATATTTCAATAGAGACTAGGATAATACAATTTACACATATGCTACTTGCTTTGTGAAGTAAATTAAGCGATAAGTTCCAAAATTCGTGTTTTTGAGGTTGCTATTTTTCAAAACATGCACTTAACATATCAAGTTTGGCATGTTTTCATTGTTTAATATTACGTTAGGACCACCAACAAGTTTTAAGTGAAATATGAATTATTTTTGTTACCTTTCAAATGAGAAAAACTTTTGTGAAGATTGAAAAGAACTATTCTGGCTACTTTTTGATGAAAAGCAAGGTTCGCTGTTATAAAGTTACAAATTTTGATTGTTTTCAGTTATTACATGGTACTTTTACTTTTGGGTGCATAATGAATTGAATAATGTACTAAAATACATTTACCAGCTTAAATGCTTTATAAAAAAAAATAAATAAAATAGTCAAGTTTTGTCATAGCTTAAAATCACAGTTCTTCAACTTCTTCAAATTTCTTCAAAACAAATAGCTTAGTGTGTCTTCATTAGTATTTCTTCACTATTTGACTAAAATTAATTTTTTGTCTCTCTCTCTTCCTTGTCTACCATATTTTTTAAATATCTGCAAATCGTTAAATTGCATCCTGTTGGTATCATTCTTCTTTGAATTGTATCTTGCTGGCATCAATCTTATTTAAATTCCATCCTGTTGGAGTGGAGTCAGTTTTCCTTAAATTCCATCCTGCTGGAGTGGAGTCAGTTTTCATTAAATTCCATCCTGCTTGAGTTGAGTCAGTTTTCGTTGAATTCCATCCTGTTGGTATCAGTCCTCTTTAATTTCCATTCTGCTAGTGTCAGTGTTCTTTCAATTCCATTCTTCTGGTAACAGTCTTGTTTCGATTCCATCCTGCTGACGTCACTCTTCTTTTCAGTTCCGAATTATCTTATTACCCAGTGTCTTTCAACCTGAAATCCACACATTTGAGAGATATATTCAATGCAGTTTGATAGAGGATACAAAAATAAGGACATAGCTGTCATATTATTTTGATAGCTTGTCAACCAGCAGAGCATTAAATTCATGAACCTTTAGCTCAAGAATGGTGCTGAATTGGATAACCACATTAATAGATTAGGTGCGCAAAACAGGTTACATTCTCTTGGGTCCCAGGAAACCCAGGAATAGAGGGGGAAAAAGAAGCAGATGTCTTTGCAAGAAAAGGGCTGCTACACCACTGATGGGTAACCCTTTTGAGGTATAGAGTCCACACTATCAACGAGCATCTTAGAAACCCTTTTTAAAAAAGATGGTTCCTACTCATATTAAATTGTTTCGCAACAATCCGGATTTCGAGCCCTTCAACCTGACGATGAGCTAAAGGGCTTGAAATCCGGATTGTTGTGAAACAATTTAATGTGATTAGGAACCATCTTTTTTACAAAGGATTGAATTCCACACTCACCCCATCATTATAATTTCTATAGCATCTTAGAAATGTAGACTTGATAAAACTGAAGATACAATGGAAGACACTCACTGGATATAACCCAAAAACCTTGTGGCTAGATTTGAAAAGAAAGAAACAGTAGAATGTATATAAAAAAAAAAAAAAACAGCATCGAAACAAGCAGATAATGCTTGCAGGATTCATTACAGGCGCTGTGGGCTGAATTTGACCCAAACCTCTCTACTAATAGGACTGTAGTGCTACAATTATCTACAGAATAAAATGCTCTGGGGTGTAAAATATAACAGTAGAATAAATACAACCATTAAAACCGGGCCTAAGAATCTAATTCCTTGATGAATTGGGACTCGCTGGTGTGCTATAGGTATAATAGCTCCCAAATGCAGTATGCCAAACTACCTCAAATTCTTATATGTACACTGACTTTTCAGTGTATGAAAACTTTTTCCTTGTAGGAAGTGGTTTATTGCTTGGAAGAGGTAAACTGAAGGAGCTGGGTCGGGTTTATAAAGTAGAATCTATGCAGATTTTATCCCTTATGTAAAGTTTTGGCATTGTATGTCAGGAAGTGTATAACCTGGGTTTGTTCTGAAACAAATCTATTTTTCTTTTTACCAAAGTTTGGTTTCATCATTCAAAACCTTGTTTGTATGCTATAGTTCTTTATATACAAATCCCTTTAAATTTAAAAAAAAAAGCAGAACATTTTTTTTCTAGAAGAGGAGGTTTTGGTTTTGGTCTACTCTCTTTTTCATAGATAACAATATTTTGATTAATTGTTTATTAATTGGATTTTGAAGTAACATCATGTTTATATTGTTTATTTTCTTTGGAATGTGTACCAATTATTGCTTAATTTTAGAGAAAGTTGAGATCTTTGGAAAGAACGAATGGTTGCCAGAGGAGTTTGGATGAAACAGACACAACGCCTATAAAGCCAAGCCCCCACAATTCACACCACTCACTGGAACGAATAGTGGCGGACACGCCTAGTCAGAATGTTGTCAATAACATCCCAGTCGTTCCGGACAAGCTTAAGGCCGAATCTCCGCAGCCTTCTCTCAGGAGAGCCACCCTCCCCCAGCAGGAAGAATCCATATGCATCCCACACAAACAAGGTATCCGAGAATGCCGCAAACACCAAAAACAGAAAATATATTGAGTTTAATTTGTGTTTCAGTACCCACAGCTGAATCGCTCGAAGTACAAGATATAAACCGAGAGCTGACCGAGAAGGCGGAGAAAGTGGAAAGAAGTATTATCGAGACCGAAGTACTTATGAACACAATCAATAAGCTTAAGATGGACTGCAAGTTCGAACGTGAAGAAGTGAGGAGGATTAAACAGCAGATTCACAATCTAGGAGGAATTCCTGAAACTTGGTATTTATTACACATTTTACTTGTTTGATTTAATTATTCTCAAAAATTTATGAGGTTTAATTTTATCGTATTTAAACTATTAAAGAGGTACAGAGAGGCTAGCAATAGGGGAGGGGAAAGAGTTGGTTACCATTGTACCATAAAATATTGAAACAGCTGTAGAAAAAAAAAAAAGATAAATTAGTAGGATTAATATGCGAGAAAGATAAGAAAAGAAGAAATGAATGTAAAGAGAAGAAATGTAAAGCTAAGAAAGAGAGCATTGGTGATGACCAATGTAATTATGTAATTTGCCAACCCTAAAACTTAAATTTTTTTTTATTATTTAATGTTCTCATTTTTTTTTCTTAATTTATAAAAGGGGCCCGCTTTCTGACAGCTCTGATGAAGAAAATGTGCCGCCCGGCATGGAAAACGATGTCCTTTGGAAGCGTAAAATCGAGTTGAAACATGAAACAAAAATGCTTCAGGTTGGATTATATTAATAATTTAAATAATAATTAATATTAATAATAATAATAATTTAATTAATAATTAAAATGTATAAGTAAATATACATTTTAAAATACATTTTTTAAATTTTCTTACAGGAGAAAAAGAAGATTCTCATAGAGAACATAATTGCAGAGACAGATGCCTGCATTGACTTAAATGTACAAATAAAAATGCTACAGTTGTCGATGGACCATTGAGCTTTGAACTTGTCTTTCCTACTTATAAGTGCCTTCTCGTTAAAGAGTTTCTTGATATGTTTCGTATTTGACAATTAGTGAGCCTATGCACACTTGTACAAATCGTTTATTGTAGATTAGTTGAACTTGCACTAGTAGTTCCATTACAACTTAACTTTCAAGTTAACTGTGAAATTTCAAAACATTTTGTATTATACTGACCAATGTAAGCTTACTTTCCAATGTATTATATATCTAGTCTTTTTTTTCTTAAATAAAAACCACACGCTCAATTAGTTTCTTTTTCTACAAATGAATTAGATTAAACCAACAACCAACAAAGTATGACTTGTTGCTAAAACATTTTTATGAGAAAAACCTTCTCACTTTTTAAAAATCACTCATGGAATAAAATATATCAAAAACACTTTGGGACTAGCATGCCATAAAAAATAAAATTAATGCATTATATGAATGTCAGTGCTGGCTTGCCCACTATATTCTATCTATCAAATCTAAATGTCAATTAAAATTCTGCCAAGTTCATTTATGTTTAGTGGTAGTGTGCAGTCCTGCTGATATGCCTGCAATCAACTTATTTCCAAGTAGTCTTCTGTATATTTGTAGTTATTGATTAAATTTGTTAAAAGAATGTGTTTCCAGGGTTTTTTTTGTTTTATATCATGCTGGAGTTAATTGTGTATCAGTGATGGCTGAAAATTTGTTATTATTTATTCTGCCAATGTTATTCTTGTGTAATTATTTTATTAATAAATTTTATCATGATTATAATACACATATTTATTACCTGTATAATGAGTCGATGGAACAGGGCTATTAACATTTTTCTGATTTTGAAAGTTGTTCATTAGTCATTATGATTTCAAAAGAGAGGTGACCAATAGTACATAACCCTACAATATTTTGTATTATTATTTTTTCTATTTTGTTCTATTCTATTTTCATTTTATATAAGTCGTCTAATAGATTTTCATTACACTACAGAAACAAAGATAAACAGAAGCCTTTTATATGTAGATTTGTTTGCCATTTTGTAGGTTTCAAGTTTATTTTCTCCTCTGTTACCATGAAATTAAATTATAAACGAATTTGGCTAAGGAAAGGAGGATTATGGCAGAAAAATGGGATAACATTTATTTTAGAGAAGGTAATATAAATTCGTTATCGGTTTTAGATTTTACAATTTATTTTTGGTATTTTCTCTTTGCTGTGGACAGTTAGGCAACTCAATTAGCATATTCTAAAGCTCGTTAAATATTCAGTACACCTGCTCGCCGAAGCCCACTCGACTTAGGCACCAATGAATAATAAAAAAATCAGAAACAGTATTGGTGCACTCCACTTGGTTGGATCTGGTTGGATATGTATTAAAATAGATTATGTCTGTATTACTGACACTTGAAGAAATTAAAATATAATATTAAAACAAAAAGAAAATTACGTTATATAAGTATATAACACAGTTCATGGAAAAATAAGTAATTTCAAAAATAAGAGATAATTATATAAATTTTGTAATACATATGAAATTAATATTTGAAGATAAAAGTTTAATATTAAGCCACATATCAAAAATAAAATTGTGAGTTTTTTTTAGGTTTCCTGAGTGATGAATCATAATTTGGTCGTTTTGTTCATCTTGATCTATCTTGCTCCAGTACAGTAAAAATTTTATATTTAAATAACAGGTTTACTGTTTTTCATATTTTTATTTATATTGGTAAATTCAGGAATACAGACAGCTTATTAATTTGAGATTTTTTCTGTGGTACTGCAGGATGAAGAACTTGCAGTTTTGTTGTTTTCGATCATTTTGGTCAGCCTATCATCACTATTATTGTCCCTCAGAGGCGTTTTGACAATCTCCAGTGCTGGGTCTGTTCAGAAGGTGGCAAAACTACGAAAATTAGATTAAGTTAAGAAGAAATGCAGATACTTAGACACTGGAGGTGTGGTTTCATGAATTGCACAAAGTAGGAATTTGGATAAGAAAAAAATGTGTACAGGCAGAGAGGTGTTAAAATTTGTGGTTGAACTGTTGGACCAACTCATATTGGTACCTCCAGATTTGAATTTATCAACTTTTTTCTCATTATGAAATATTTTCCCAAGAAGGCTAGGCCATAACTCTGTATGATATTCCACCATTGAGAAAATGAAGATAATTTATTCTCAATAATTTTTTTTTTTGTTTTTTTGTTTTGGCGTTATGAACTATGCATATTAGCCATGTGACAATTCGTATATGTGTGTTCAAATTTGGGGGGGGGGTTTGTGAAAAAAGGGCCAGAGGCAGACGGTGGGAATCGAACCCACGACCGCGGCGTGAGAGTCTCTCATGCTAACCACTCGGCTACCGCGGTCCCCATTCTCAATAATTACCACAGCCTTTAGAACTGTTCAACAGAGGTAAAAATTTTTAAAACAAGAAAAATGAAATTTGAGTTTATATCTGTTTCTTTTGATTTTTTTTTCAATATTATCCTAAACTGTTGTTATTCCAAAACTTGGCAGCAAAATGCAAGATGACATCCTGTGGTATAATGATGGCCAGGTTGTATTTATGGCCAGTTATCCTGTGGAGGCTTTCATAGCAAGATATTTAGCTCAACAGAGTGTAAAGTTTTAAAAGTATGTTCATTTAACCACCTGGACCTCGCACTCTCAAAGATCTCAGTACCCTCCTGTAAACAGCATAATCTTCGATTTATTAATATTGACTGCCAAATTCCACTGTTGATAGTATGTCTTGAACAATTTAATATTTCTATGAAGACCCACAAAACTACCTATATATTGTAAGTTTACAGTAATATTTTAATTAATCTGCCATCAACATTGATACCATACTACATACTAAAGGTTATCTATGTAAAGGGCAAATAACAGTGGCCTCAATAGGCAACTCAATAGGCCTCAATATCTGGCCCCATTTTTTTAACATCCAAATATACTGATCTCTCCATGGTGTGCCCTTGTGTACTTAATTCTATGAAAGAGAACAGAACATCTAGAAAAGAATAAGTAACCATACCACCTCCAACTATTCTCTCTAAGATTACATAATAATATGTACTTTTATAGTTATATAGTAATATTTTAACGATGTAAGATCTTCAACAACTGAAAAGAAAGAAAGAAGAAAAGGAGTAGATATTGATCCAATATATCAGGGCCATCTATGTTTTTAAGTGTACATAGATCATTATGTTCGTGATATGTATTATTTATTGGAACAAATGTGTATGATTTAGGATCCTTAGTTTTGTAAAGAATAACCCAGAGCTAATTTTAAAATGTCTTTAAATTAAAATGTCTTGTCTCTTTACTTATTTAAGCACAAACGCACTTCTTTACAATATCAATCTTTGAGAGCGATTGTCTGTTTTTTTCTACTCTTCAACTACTTATGTTACTACTTATAGTAGTATATACAACTACTTATTGGCTAGTTCCTTCTTCCCGATTCCTACAAATGTATTTATTATCGTGAATGTAGGGACTTATCCCCAATTACTCCGAAGGATATGGAGTACTCTGGGGTAGTGTGAAAGAATTGAAACAAAAAAATAGTTGGGGGANAATAACCCCGAGAAATATCAAGTACTCTGGGAGTGTACTCTAGTGTGAATGCTAACCAGACTATCATGTTTCATCTTGTTTCTATTTAATATATATTTGTGTGATTTTATCCAGAGAGGTACAAAGGGTAGCAATACGATAAACAAAAGAGAGTCGGTTATCGTCCTAATTGTTCTGATTTGGCTGGAGAAATAGGAAAATAAAATAAAAGACAATAAAAGAAAAGCAAAGAGAGAGCTGGCGATGACCAATGTAATTAAAAAGAACTTGACCACTAACTCAAATAAATATTGTGTTTATTCCTTTGTTTACATGTTTTATATTAGTGTTATACATCTATATTCTATATATTTATATTATATATGTTTAGTAAAGTATATAAAGAATATTTATTTCTTGTCGCTCCATAAAAATACATATAAAAAAGTTTAAACAAAATAAATTAAGGTTTTTAGTTGAGTTGAAAAAAGGTGATGGCACGAGAAGGATTCGAACCCAGGACCTTCGGCTAGATACGCCGCTGCTCTACCACCTGAGCTATCGTGACCTCGATCCACTCGGACATCAACTCTCCATCTCAACCCCACCTTATGAGTTTTCCCTCCTTTTGCCATTTTCCAAATTGGGGGAAATGGGGAGAGTTGATGTCCGAGTGGATCGAGGTCACGATAGCTCAGGTGGTAGAGCAGCGGCGTATCTAGCCGAAGGTCGTGGGTTCGAATCCCTCTCGTGCCATCAACTTTTTTTCATCTCAACTAAAAACCTTAATTAATTGCCATGTATTAATTGGTCAAGCGGACCACGAAAGTAGTGAATTAAGGATTTAAACAAAATGCTCAAAGATTTGATACTTCGGGAAAATAATTATAAATATATATTTCTTTATCAGATTGTAATTACGAATCATCGTCGGTCTCGGAAATTCGATTTGATCCACAATTATTTGGCGATTGTCGGATTTTTGGAATTGGGATTGGTAAATCATAGAACCAACGAGCCCCTTTGGGACCAATATTCTCTAACGAGGTCTCATACGTGTTGTAAACCACCTTAGTCACTTTAATAGCAGATCCACGCCGACGTAAGTCGTATTTTCAATCTTAAATACCCTTTAACTTAGCGAAATCCGAGCTTCGGAGAAGCAACAGGAGGAGATGGCTGACAAGAAAGCGGCGAGACTATGCGGCCCAGAGTTTTATTAGCCGACCTGAATTATGTACTAAATCAGATTAAAAAAGTTATTAAATAAAATATCCTGGTATAAATAGTTTATTCGACTTGTAAGGAAATTCATATTTTAGCTATGAAGGTAGTTTCGTTAGAAATTGAGTTGATACTTATTTAAAAAGTATGAAATCTTCAAGATTTATGAATGACTGAAATTTGATATGAATATCGAGAGTGAAACTCAATCCAGTTGACGTTAGGTGAAAAGAGGGAAAAATGTACGAATCATTTCGGCCGAAGTGTCAGTTTTCCCGTTACTGAAAAACCCCTTTCTCTTATAACAAAACGCAACAGACATGGAAAAGACCAGAGTAGGAAAAAGAAAGCATCCCTTTCCTGATTGTATAACCTAATCAATTGATACAAATGATGTTTGAGATTACCAAAAAAAAGTTTAAAAAGAAATAAATTTACACTAGGGTGAAAACACAATTTTTAATTAGTCGTTGAACTACAGAATACATTTGTTTTTAAGACCCAATTTGTTTATGTTCGCTTTTATTTACAAGCACTTTTCAAGATTCACACTTATTGTTTAAAAGATGGGAAAAATGAGCGTATTTTCTCTAATTCTTTCTCAATCTGCGAGTATGTTGTTCTAGTGGTTTTCAGCCTTCATAGGGTTTTGGGCTATTTTTATTTATGGGACAGTAGCTGAAGGCAAAAATATAACCAAATAGGCCAAAATGCCAGTGGGTATATAAGTGACCGAAGTGGCTCGGCTTATCAACTATGCCCCAAGTTATTTCAAATCGTGACTTTTCTCTTTAGGATCATTTGAAGTTTGGCTGACGGAAGATTTATGATTATAGCATAAAGAGGTTAGCTGAGGTGACGGCAGAGTCAAGCGTGGTTTGATTATATTTGATAAATATAATCATTTATTTCTGATAGGCAGACCAACCCAGTAGAGACAGGAAGACCAACGTGATCGGTAACGGTCAAAGTACGGGTTCATCACCCCGGATGATACGGAGAAATCACAAGAACTTTGATTACTTCTGGCATGATTTTAGTGTGTATGATCTTGTCCACCACGATGCTACAATTATCAACTGATCTATTTTGGACTGTTTGCACTCTTCTAATTTGTGAATCAATGGCTTAAGATAACCATATAGCCAAATGCGTATATTTAGCAGTATGTGTATATTTGCAATTAGTAGGTAAATTCTAGCAAGAATTTTCTGAACCACTTTGGATATGAGTGAAGCATCCGACGGTACCACTAGACACTGGCACAGAGGTACGACATCGTTGGGTGATTGTTAACTTTATTGTACAGTAAAAACTCCCATTTGGGCTCGAACATCTGGAAATAATATAAATAACACCTTAGATTACGGACAATCTGTAAATTATTATAACACTCCATTAAAACTAGGCATCTCCGTTGATAGTTGTTACTCAAAAAACTTATCTTTTAATCAGGTTTCTGGTAGTGATCAGTAGCACGATTAATGCTGAGTAAAAGCTGATTTTTTATCTTTGGGTTTGGCTCGATTTCATCCTTTGAGATGAGATCGTTTGCCAGTGAGACGAGTCGGAGGTTGTTGACGTAAAACAGGTAATGTATGGGACCAAAAACAGTGCCATCACGCGCCACAGCTTTAGAGGGTTTGGATGTTGATCCCTTATAACTGGTACTGGTATGGTTTCGTAAATATGTAAATGTTATCATCGATGTCATAATAATGCATATCTTAGAAAATTAGCGAACGTGTAAAACCCAAAGATCTAAGATACCTTGCGTAGAATTTTCTGAGCATAAATATAATTTCAGCGATCACGAGGTGTGCTGAATCAACCTCAACATATCTGTTCAGGGTATCGCACCTCCTAAAAATAACAATGATTATTTTAAATATTTATTTAGAAATCGTGAGATGCGGTCTGGTGTGACGTAGGTTTCAGAAAAACATTTTCTTTATCGTGCCAACGTTTCGATCTTTATTGAGATCATCTTCAGGGCATGGGATTTACAAATCTGGGATTCTCGACACGACACGCAAGAATGACACAATTACACAGAAGACAAACACTTTGAGTGAGTAGAAATACTTTGATTGAATATATAAAAAATATATTTTGCATTGTATAAATTCACTTTTCCACATCCAAAATATAATTGTAATATGTAAACAATGTTTGTAAATCCCAGGCCCTGAAGATGATCTCAATAAAGATCGAAACGTTGGCACGATAAAGAAAATGTTTTTCTGAAACCTACATCACACCAGACCGCATCTCACGATTTCTAAATAAATATCGATTAACGGCTACTAATCACCACACATTATTTGAAATTTATTACTCAAAAAGGGTAGATAAACTAGATAAATTAAATATTTTTATATTTATATATACTATAAAATTTATATATACTTTTATATTTATAACCAATTTTCAAGGCCGCTTTCCTCTATAAGTTCATGCTGCTTGGTGTTACTAGTCTTCAGAAAACCAAAGATAAAGTTATTGCTTAGAATTTACTGAACATAAATATAAAGGTTTCAGTGTTAAAAATATCGATCACTTTTTCACTCACGAACACTCTTATCAAGGTATGGTCTTGGAAGCAAATTCAGTTGTTACTTCGATCTACTTTAAGGTCATCATCAGGGCAAAACAACCTTAAATATGTCTGAAGATTGACATTATTAAGTTTTTTACAGGCGATCACAAATTTCTTTGAAGTCCGACTCAATCCTAACACTGCCACGAACGTTCAGTGAGCCGTGGCCTATAATTTTTCTCAAATTCTCTTCTTTTCTTTTTCTTCACCCCCTTTTTTGAGAGATTTATAAACCTTACCTCTTAGCATGTCTCATACTTGGTGCTTTTGTCCAGTACTTGAGTTTTTCTTTCTCAAGCCATTTTTAGCACACATTCTGTGGTGTGTTATATGCTAGTCAATTTTGTGCCTCCTTTGTCAGTGTTTTTGTGAGAGCTATACTGGAGTTCTTATGTGACCAGGTGTCTGATCGTTCTGGTATATGCCCAATATGCCATCCTTGGTTTTATTTCCCAGTTTTTACTGCAATATTCTCTGTCCAATGCTTAATAAACCCCTGGCCTTATGTAGTATGTTGCTACGTTTTCTCCATTAAGACTTCATCTTTTCATAGTTGAGGCTTTCGGTTTAGTTTCCTTTTTCTTGTTGGTTATAAAATATTTTTCTCAGGCTATTTTTATACGTTTAGAGCTTTTTGCATCTGGACAAAGTGTTCTCGGATTAATGACAGATCATCCGTGTAATTCATGGAATTGTAAACTCTTAAGCATTGTGATTAAATAATACGCTACTAGCAAACAGGAGTGGCGACAGTATACCTCCTTGGGGCGTTCTCGGGTAGGTGCTATTTATGACCAATGACCAATGTTCTTATTATCCGACTTCTTAACATTAATAATATCCATCTGTTTCAATGGTTTTATACGACGTGTTACTTAAAATGTACTTAAAAGTATAAAGTTTATCGATGAAGAGTATGATGAATGAACCTTAAATAATCTCATTTCTGTTGTTCCTTTCTCCAAAGTGTTATTACTGACTTTTCCTCAAAGATTTTTGAAAGGCAGTTATGGCTTGAAGATGTCCGACAAATGGACAATTTGTTAAGGTATTATTTAACCATATTCTAAAAATATTCAACGCCCGACAATGATTTCTACATAAACATAAACTATAGTTCAGGCTATGGTAATAGTAGGCAACAGTCTAATAAGAAAGACGAGAAATTGGAAGCAATTCAGTTTGAAAGTCGTGTTGATGCTAATGTCAACGGACAGTTTCATATAGACAGATTCAATAGACATTTCACATCTGACGTATAACATACGTGGATGACCTTTCGTCCTGTAGGTTGTTGAAGGATACATTTAAATCAGCTCGAGTCTGAAATAAGGGCGTGTGCGGTAGGAAGGTGATTTCTGTTGGGTCCGTTTTCAACCAAATCTGACAGGTTTATGACGGTTTGGGTAACGAGGAGGCTCTCCGGGGATCAACGGATGATCGTGGTGGGAGGGTAAGACCCTATATTAGTCCTATACTGTCCTATCCTGGATTAGTGCAAACCAAGAGATCATCATGCAAACAGCCCTTACCATACTAGGCCTCGTCGGCTTCTTTTTCGTCGTATCGTTAGCTACTCCGCCATCCTACATGGACTACGGTAAATCCACATAAAGATATATTGTAGATATGATTTAACCCTCTGAAATATCGTACTCAAATCAAGTCAAGAGTGGAGTAATAAAAAAGATTTGATTTTATACTCTCAATTTTAGATTTAGAAGCTTTAAAGGTATCAAAAATTAAATTATAGTACAAATTTATCTGAATATCTTGAGGTCACACTTTAACCCAAGCGTACAGCGCATGTGACGTTGCATAACACAATCGGCATGACGCTCAACAGTAGTCACGTGTTTTTATTAAAATTCAATTAAAATTTTACTAATTTTTAAAGGTAAAGCATTAAAAATGTATAAATTGAATGAAAATAGGATTAGATTAGATCTGTTAGATTTATTTAAGCCCAGAATTAAGAATGTGCTGAGAATAAGAAAAGGCAGAGACGCTGACTAAGTTCCCGAGGTTTTGAGTTTTTCGATGATTCATAATGTTACAAAAGTTAATGGAAGAGTTTTTTTAAAATCTGTTTTTAAGTTATACTGTACTCACTTGTTTTCGTGGTCCGCTTGACCAATTAATATCTTTTAATTAATTAGGGTTTTTAGTTGAGATAAAAAAGCAGCGGCGTATCTAGCCGAAGATCGTGGGTTCGAATCTTGCTCGTGACACTGACTTTTTTATTTCAACTAAAAACCTTAATTAATTGAAAGTTATAGTGTATAATACAGAAATTTCAAAAATTTTCAGGGCAGACAAATATTTAAAGTCCCAATTAATCTTGAGAAAATCTTATTAAAATTAAAAAAATCGCAATTTTCTCATTGCAATATCACACTAAATTTTGCTTTTCATTTTTTTTTTCATGTAGCTATCATGTTTGGTATCATAAAGCTCTCGGCAATTTCTTGTTGCCCTATGACCAATCTTTAGGTTAATAAATGTCGTTCTTTTTTTCAAAATTTATGACAATTTTTTGGTTTATAAGAAAAAGATAAGTTATAAGTATAGGAACAGCCAGTGTATATTTGAAAATTTTATATTCTTATGTAAACCAACACAAGGAATATTTTGCATTCGTTTTTTCTCTTCTTCCAGAATCTATGGACGACGGAGTCGAACGTGACGACAGGGGAGAAAGAATCGTTTATGGAATTCAGGTCAAGTAAGTTGGCGACGAACTTTACAGACAATCAGATAAGTTTTTAAAATCAAGCACAACATGCCACCAGACCCAAAAATAACCGAATATAAAATGTTTTGCTCATTATATAGAAACAAGGGTAAAGACCATTTGCATTAATTGACAGTCTCCAATTTTAGAGATTTGAGCTCAATTCCCAAACCAGGGGGCGTCGGTGGCCGCAACGGTTTATAGGCGTTGACCCGGCGCTCATCGCAGTAAGGTGAAGGTCCCGGGTTCGAATCCAGTGGCCCTGCTTTCGAACCCGACATACTTACAAATGGGCTTTTTTCAAAAACACCGGCACCCCGAGGATTGATATAACCTCTGCTGCTGCGAACCCTCGTAAAAAAAATCCCAAAGCACAGTACAATCCGAAAAGCATAAAATCTCATTTCTTAAATTAAATAGGATTGGGGCTTAGTGATTTTACTTAAATACTAGTAATATCTATAATATAGCAATTAAATTTTTTATGTGTGCAATTTACTTGAAAATTTTATTTAGTAAAAAATATTCGTTATAAAGCTAATCTCACTGTAAAATTTACCCTCTTGGCTGTTATTTGTCTATATTTTCTATTTCTTTATCACATCACATCTATGTTGTGGATTCTAAGGGTAACATATTTATGTTTGGGCGATTTTTGCTACTGTAACTTTAGGTGAAGTCCCGAATCTTTCTTATATCGCAATGAAGTTTTAGGACTCAACAGTATTTTACTCATGACAAGCACAAACCTGCATTGTGCAAATGTGCAGTTTTTTGGGTTTGAAGTAATCAAGAATAAAATATTTGTAGTAGTGTAGTCATTTCATTAAAGGATTATCGACTTAACACGATTTAAAATCATAAAATAGTTGAACACTAGGGGCTTAGGGCGTTTTTTTGGATATCTGTATGCTATCTGTTTCTCTTGAACAGATAACACTATAAAAATACAAATATTTTATATATTTCAGTCTGGTTGAACATTTTATCTGTTTTTGAAATAAAAATGTAAGGTACCTTAGTATCAGTACGACTTCATAATTTCAAACAGAACCCTGTATCTTCCGACACAATTTTAAAAGACTTTTTCGAATGAAATTAATGCCGAAATTTGATTTTAAATTGATCAACAATAAAAAAATTATGGTACACAGTTTCGAGACAACACATATTTTTCTTTAGTATTTTTTGTTAATTTTTTTTACAAACATATCGTTTTATTGTATTTTGTTTTGTTTAAAAGATAAAAACTTGTTGGAAAAAATATATAATTGACAAATTAAAATAATCAAAAAATCCCATGGGGTATGGCTTTTTATTTAACCACCTTTCGCTGGTGCTCGGTGATAGACTCCGGGTAGACGAGCATGCATTTTCTCAACTCAATTTTTATTTTCCGACCAATTGAGGCAAGTATTTAAGAGAAAGGTACATTACTATTTGAAATTTACTATAGCATAAGTTATTTCGTAACTTTTTCTCTTTAGGAGCCTTTGTGGTCAGACTGACAGATTCACTATTTTACCAAGAAGAAGTTTGTTTAAGTGACACAGAGCCAAGTGTGGTTTACAGAACTTTGATTGTACTTGGTCGTTATCGGTCACTTTGGTTTGTTAAACTCGTTGGGTTGTTCTGTCAGACGCGATTTGGCCATCTTCAGTGTTGGGTGATTCGAGGCAAAGATCGGTAAAGACCAACTGACTGGTTCATCACCCCGCAGACCACAGGAAATCTCAAGATAAAAAAGTTGGATTTTTGAGATGTCTTCTGAATTGCAGAACGCAATTAGAGTATAACCGTTGTAGAGTCAACGGATGCTCAATTAAAGAACCTAATAATATTAGACGGTTATTTTAGATTTTTTTTATTATTGATCAACCGGGCGATTTATATTTTGATACATATCACAGGTGATCTGTATCGGTTTGACCTTCCCCGGCCTATTCTCGCTGTAATTTTTGCCAGACTTAAAAATAAGGATGAACGCGAGGGATAACGCACATACACTCTGTGGAAATTGCTAAAGGAGAAACACGCTTTAGTGACAGAGTCGCGTTGAGGTGAGAAGTGTCGGTGTACATATTGGACTTGGTGGATGATGTCGGCTGCGTGCAGTATCTTGTTGGTTTTCAACGAGCCGATGATTGTTGTTGTTGGTGTCGAGTACGGAGCTTAGAGCCTCGTCGACGACAAGAAGTCAGACTCAAATCCCTTTAAGCCCATGCTTAAGTAGAGATGTTGATGACGAGGAATCTACGAAGTGGGATTTTTTAATCCCCAAACACGTCATCCTTCTGGCTTGTACTTTTCCCTAGATTCTTAGTTCAGTTCTATTGACTGTCATTGCTGCAATTCTTTTTTCCCGGGACTTCTTGGTATCCTAGGTTATGTCTCCGTTGAGAGGTTATTTCGCATTGAAGATATTATGAGTGGGACTTTGGCCTGCTCATTGCTATAGATGGGACCATCAATTGAATGTACTCATGCTATGTAGGTGTCTCAGATGCCAGTGACCTGATTCTTCAGAGTTTTACCCTGTCTAGTGTAACAACGTCTTTGGCAGTTTCAGTTAGGATTGTTTAATTATGAGTTTCTTATGTCTAGCACCTCGAGTTTTTCCCCTTCTCCTTATGTTTTAGCCCCCCCCCCAGGACTTCTAAAATCGAGAAAACTATATTTGTCTTGTTTTATTGTTAAGGTTTCGAGCCTTGCGGATCCTCCTCTGTTCAGTCTACTTGTTCATTTCCCAGAATTACCTTTGGCTCCTAAGATAATGTCAGGTTTTAGGGTCGAAGTGTCTGATTTAACCCGGCTTATAACATAGAGGAGTGCTGCATGTTCATTAGCTGCTGTTTGGAAGGCATTGTAGCAGTAGTGGTGGCAATGACAGTTATGACAACATTCTATTTCTTAATCTTAATTTTTTTAAACATTTAATATTAATTTTCAGAAGGGGTTGCGTCCCGAGAGGTGGAAACTGCGACCACAGAGCTGCTGATTGCTGCTACAGCACGGCCTGTAGATGTAACTTGTGGGGTGCAAACTGTCGTTGCCAACGCAAGGGGCTTTTCACCAAACTTGGATAGACAACGGAAGACATTTGACAACTGACACCATTAAATTAAAAAAAAATCTTGTATATAAGGTCCAGAGGCCTTCTGTGATTTTTTGAAATATATGCAAATACATTGTTTCCATAATTACTTTGGTTTTATTTCTGATACATTTGCAAGGTTGTGCTTATAAATCGATTTCTAATGGCAATGTTTCAAATTGAAAAAAAATTGTAGACCTTCAATTATTCAATGTTACAAAGAACAATTTATTTTATTTAATACAAAGTGTTCAATTTGTCTCAAACATTGTTTACAGTATCGGAAAACATTTGTGCAAGTAACAATACTTATTTTTTACAATTTAATCTTAGGCTCTGTTGGGAGTGAAATGGACTTAAGTATTTTCATCAATAATTTTGAGAATTATTCAGAAATTGTGAGATCCGGGCTGTTGTGATGTAGGTTTCAGAAAAACATTTTCTTTATCGTGCCAATGTTTCGATCTTTATTGAGATCATCTTCAGGGCTCAAAGTGTTTGTCTTCTGTGTAATTGTGCCTTTCTTGCGTGTCGTGTTGAGAGTGCCAAAAAATTTCGAGAATTTTTATGCTTACTTTAACCTTTTTCCTTCATATATTTTCCGACTTTAGTTTTACTTTGTACAAAAGAACATCCCTCCGCTTTGAATTTTCCAGAACCTTTTTATATTAAAATTCAAGAGAAGTTGTTACAGTTTTATGTAAATTTTATTAACAAAATGATTCAATTGTATACTTACTTTACTCAAGTGCAAGTAATTTTTATATTGATCAACGGTTAGAGATTAAAGAGTCGATATGATATTTGTTTTGGATATGATTGGCCGTGATTGGTCCGCCCTTGGAATTTCAACGAGGTACGAGGTAATCATCCTGGTGAAATGGAACCTGGATCGCCGGATATAAAACTCTATCGCAAACCGGATCGATGTAAACATCATTGATTTTGGCTTAATCGAGTTTGATCAGTTTGAATTGGTTTCGTGGTGGATTTAACAGGATTTTTACCTGGAACAGTTTTATTACAATACCCGACTGGCCAAACGTGAGCTGGTTTTTAACCCGGAGAATTTTCAAATCGTTTTCTTCTTTAAACCTCAAAAGGCCATTTTTCTCTTTCAGAAGACGATATAAATCGTTTCGCAATTTTTGACAAAGCAAATATTGCAATTTGAAACTTGCAAGTCAGACTGACCAAAATTTAAAAATCTTGGTCTATCTACGTCTACGTTCGCAATAACAAATTATAAACAAAAAGACTGCCTAAAATGTCTCATTTATGACAGGGCACTAAAAATAAACGTGAGATTTCTCTGTGCGGTCTGCGAGGTGATAAACTTGCAATTCTAATATTGTTCAATTCTTGGTTGTTAACGATTATTTAACCCTTAATTAAATACATTTACCGCAACAAAATCTTAATATAACAGAAGTAAAAAAAAAAGGAAGGAAGGAAAAAGAAAAGGAAAAAAATTCATAATTATAAATCATAGGCTAATATGATTAACATACGGGCATAAATTAGCTTTCCTTTAAGGAATGTTAAAAAAACGATTATTTGGGTTGGGGGGACGGCGAGGAGACGGTAGCATCAAACTGCAAAATTTCAAAAAAGAGTTCTAAGATAGTTTTAGTTGAAGTACTTACTGTCTGTCTCTCTTCCGACAGTGGTTGGAAAGAAACAAAATAAGTGCAGGACCTCTCCGGACACCTTGTGACTATTATTTATTTCGGCCATTAAAAATTTGTTTAAATGGCCAAAACTTTGAAAATTTTGAAAGTTTGCAAACAGCTGTTCAAACGTTCCTGGATTCAAAAGGTGGGACTTTTTATGTGAAAGCAATAGACATGCTACCTGAAATATGAGAAAAAGTAATTGCAAACAATCGACAATATCTGAATAGTTAAAAACATGCATATATAAAAAAAAGTATATATATATACCCTGTAAAAAATTCATTAGTTTCTTGCAAACCAATAGTTACTTTGGCAAACATTGGTCAAAACAAAAATATGTCAGCGGGGTTTTCTATAATTTACCCCGCTAATTGTTCTGCCAGCAAAGAAAATAATGTAAAAAAGCCAATGTGATTTAGTCATAGACATTTAATTGAAGGCCATAAAGCGCAGCTGCCTATTGCACTTCAATTTAAAAAGATGCATATTGTGATGTGTAATTATTGATGTTAATAAATGTTTTATTATTGGCAAACATTTTTTTAAATTTTAATTAAATATATTTTTAATCTAAGGTCTTGGTTAAGATAAAAAAGCAAGAGTCACGAGTGGAATTCGAACCTACGACCTCCTTTTTAAAAAGATAGTTCCTACTCACAGAAAGATGTTTTGCAACGATCCGGATTTCGAGCTCATCATCAGGTTGAAGGACTTCTACAACCACGTCTCTCGACATGAATTGCCAAAGTGAACCCGCTGATACCTCCGCCAACGCGACTTTCCAATTAGCAGCTGATTTTTTTAATGGCGCTCAATTTGAACGTGCGAAACGCGGAAATTATAACACAAATAAATATTATTAAATTACTATAAAAATAATAGCTATTAAAATAATTAGTTTAATTATTTGGATGTTTGATATTATTTATGTACATATTTAAAATGGGAATATTATTAATGCATTTATCACCATGTTCAATTTTATATTTTTTAATTTCAAATTTCTCAAACCAATCTAATTCTTTCCCTTTGTTGAAACTATGTAACACTTGTATTTAGATTTGAATTGAAATTATGTTTTGTTTCTTTTAGATGGTCCTTAAATTCAGAAAATTTGCTCGATTTAGGCAAGTGTTCTTTTAATCTTGTTTTTATTTCTCTACCGCTTTGTCCTATATATTTAATGACCATCTTTTTAAAAAGGATTGAACACCACACTCACTCCATCATTTATCATTTCTATTATTTGAGCTATTGTGACTACCGAAGTCATCATCACCAACTCCTTAGATTAAAAGTATAATTAATTAAAATAATTAAGTCTGTCAATTATGACTACTAAATACATATATCGATTTTCGACAATACTGAAAATCAAGCTCGTGAGGCGTGATTCTATTTATCTGACGTTTAAACATCGGCTCCATTAAATTAATAACAATGTCGAAAAAGAAGAACAGTCCCTATAATAAATTGCGAAAAAATGTATAAAAAACAAATATATAAATATTTGTAATTTATTTTTATTCTATTAATTTTAAATAAATTAACCGATTCATCCTTGTTAGTTGGATAAAACAAAATAGAAAATACAAAAGAAAATAACGGATTTATTTAAGAACAGTAAACATGAAGATTACTCATTTTGCAAACAAACACCTTTTCTAGTCTGGAAAAGTCCAACACCATCACCCAGTCTGGAGCGTAACGCGCCCTGAGAGCGCAGAGATGTCCCTCCAACGGTCCCCAGCCGACCGTCCCCGCGCGGCCCCCCTCCAGGATGCCAACATGCCTCAAGGATGGTTATACACCTTAAATATCTATGTCGTTATCGGTGATGAATTTGTATATGGTATCTAGTATTTCAATAAAGTTCGTATAATTTAGAATTAAGATTACCGAGGTGGGGAGTGGGATTTTATATTTCTTGAGCACTTTAAAAATATGTTCTCATCCGGTAGTCTTCAGTGGGCATCCCAGTATGATGTGGTTTGCATCCGCCGTTGAGGTATCGTCGCACGAGCATTTGCATGTTTGCGTAATTCCTATCTTATGCAAGTGTGATGGGAGTCTATTGTGGTTGAATCAGTCTACATATAGTGGTAAAGAATTTTCTATTTCTTTTAACATTTGAAAACCACGGTTTAGACTGGATGTTTGGTTGGGAGGCAAAGTACCAGATGCCTTTGCTTTTGGATGATTGTACGTACTCGCTTTGCCATTTCTTGCGTAATAAGACCCTATTATGTAATACAATGTCCCCGGCTGAGATCTCTTTGTTGTCGTTTCCCGATAGAGCAGCCGCCTTTGCCAATGCATCAACCCGCTGGTTAAATCGGTTGTTGTTATGGTCTTTGACCCAGAGAAGATGGATAGCTATACCGCTTCAGCAGGCTAACAAAATGTTTTTGATCTCTAGAATAATGGGATCTTCAGGAGTATCCGTTTTCTTCAGGGCCCTTTTTTCCATTCTACTCCAGTTGTAAACTCTTTAACCATGGAAAGACATCATCATGAGCCAGAAGTTCGCAATTTTATTATTTGAATGGGTCATCGAGATCACCAGGAAGTGAATGTCGCAGAGGTAGTTGGCGTTTTTCAGAGCATGGTCTCCCAAATTTTAGCCCGATTCCGAGTGACTGGAAATAGGAGGTCTGGTAGCGGATCTTAACGCATTTCGACGCTAAGCAGGACAGTATTGTCATTGCTGCAAGACGGAACCTTTTCCATATTGCCCGCCAGATTCTAAACGAAGTACAAGATGTTTTAACAAGGCCTCACATCGTATGCCCCTTTGAGACGACCTGCAGCAACAGCCCGCCACCAGCAACTCAGGTGAATATGGTGCAGCAAGCTAATTGGAATGCTGGGTCGCATTTCTGACTGTGTAGTATAGCAGAAGAAACTGGAACTCGCATACGGAAACGCGACTGTCTGTAAGGTCTTGTCAAAACATCTTGTACTTCGTTTAGGATCTCGGGCACTATAGAAAGGGTTCATTCTTGCAGCAAAGACAATGTTTCGGTCCTCCCAAATATCCTGATCCCAGAGATGTCCAGCGCTGAGATCACTACCACGCCTTCTATTGTCACTTCCAGGTTCTCGAAATCGGGCCAAAATCCGGGAGACCTCTGAAAAACAACTCTGCGACCTCCTCTTGCCGGTGACCTCGATGACTCATTCTCACAATAATATTGGGCACTTCTGGTTCAATATGATGTCTTTCCTTGCTTAAAGAGAATACAACTGGATTAAAATGGAAAAAAGATGACTGGTTACAAAATGTGTAATCTTCATGTACACATTAAGTAAATCCAATATAACAATTTTTTTGGTTTTGGCTTGTATTTTCTATTTTGCTTTTTCGAACTAACAAAAGTATTGGTTAATTTAATTACAATTAATTGAGTAAGAATAAACATCTCTATTCATTTTTGCGCAGTTTGTATAACTGATTCGGAAATCGTGAGATGAGGTCTGGTGTGACGTAGGTTTTACAAAAACATTTTTTTTGTCGTGCCAATGTTTCGATCTTTATTAAGATCATCTTCAGGGCCTGGATTTATAAACATTGCTTAAATTTTACAAATACATGTAGGATGTGAAAAATGAATTTATACACCGCCCGGGACACGGTTTTGATGGTTCGTAGAGTGTTACATGGAAGAAAAAACCTCTTGTAAATTGGCTGGGAAAATTCCAAATTCCTTTCTCCACTAATAGAGTGTTGGGTTACATTCCGAGAAACTAAACTTGTGAATAAAAGCCCGCCAATGATAATGATAGTTTTAACGAAAGCGATTCGCCATTTAAAAGAAAATTACATGTTATGAAGAAGAAGTGGACGAAAGCATTTCCGGTTTTACAGTTGACAGGACAGAAACTAATGTGAAGTACAGCCTGACAGTCACTGATACAACTTGATTCATGTTTTCAGGGAGTATGAATCAATTTTAGATTTAGTAGCGATCATAGTCATCTTATACCTATCTTCCCAGCAGTCATCCTTTGACGAAAGGCCTGATGCGAAAAGATGTCATAGGGTGGTGAAACAAAGTCGTTTGCTCGTCGACACCCGTCGCGGGGAGGAGGGACTTTATCATTGCTTGTTGCTGCCTGTTGCGTGGGTGTGCTCCGCGGTCATGCGCCCTTCTCGAGGTCCACGGACGTATATACACCCAACAGCTCTTTGGGACCGTCACTTCAACATGAGGCTTTGTACGCTCCTGGCTGCTTCGCTCGTTCTCTTTTTCGCTATCTCGCTCACACCGGCCGAGTCCACACCGGCCTCTTACTTTGAAGACGGTACGTACAGAAAATGTCTGAAAATGATGCTTTACCGTTTTCTTGAATTTCAGGATGCCGCTTAACTGGAAAATGGTTTAAATTACTTTTTTTTTCTTTTGGTCGGGAAAATTTTTGGGAGGATACGCTGAATACGAAGGAATCTTCATAAGTACAAATAGGAGAAGCGTTTGGAAAATGTGACAAAGCAAAGAATATACAATAAGTAAAACAACCCTGAAAAAAATTGTTTAAAGAAAAAGAAAATACAATTTAAAAAACGTTTCAGAGAAAAATCTCTTTTTTATGTATAAAAATAAAAAAATTAACCTTTAAACAAGAAGTATCAAGTTGCTAAAATTGAAAAGTTAGAAACAAAAAGAATCCATTTTGCATCATGAGCGGACTAAGTTTGTTCGATATCTACAAACACTTTAACCTTATTTGCTTAGGATTATAAAGTCTGTTTTAAGTGCTTAGAAATTCAATTAGACTAAAATGAGTTACTTGATTACTTTATAAAACACTAGATCTGAATTTTTTAAAATAAATCCTAATCAGTCAAGATTTGAAGCATTTTGTTCATATTTTTCATCTTATTAATTTTATTAAAAATTAACATTTATTTAGAATTTACGAGTGGATTTGTAAAATTAAAAAAAACCAAAACGTTATATTAAGTAATTATTGTACTATGGGTTGACAAATATAAAAGAACTAGAATACTTAGTAGTAATAAACATTAATAGTATTTAAAAATACTCACAAATAATAACTTTAACTTTATTATATAATTTTAACTTTTTGTGCTAAAAAATAAAATAAGTTCAAAAATCACAATATGACGAGGAATTATAAAAATCTAGATATTTAATTATTCTCAGATAAATCTAATTTCTTTCGTCTCTCTCTCTTTGTTTTCATTTAGTCATAATAAAATAAATTTAGCAAATATATTTTTCCAGTTAGAATTTAACACACGGTGCTTAGGCAGTTGACGTTGCGTCAGTACTAGATTTGAAAAATATTTTCTAGTCGTGATAAATGAAAATCTCAATAATATTTTCGGCTTTTATCGTTAATAACCATTAATAAAAATTAATATTTATTATATATTCAGACCCTAAGAATTGATTTCGTTTGATAAAAAAATCTAAAAATCCGTCAAATAATTGTTGCAGTTTAGTCATAAAAACCATATAAGAATATATAATAAATAATAACTTTAATAAATTGATTTTATTATGTATTTCAAATTTTCGTGTAAGAAAAGAATAAATAAAAGTACCCTTCACGGCGAGTTATTAGCATTAATGTAAACATCTCCGATTTGTTAATTTATTCAGTTTTCGCTTTCTCTCTCTCTCTCTCTCTCTCTCTCTCTCTCTCTCTTAAATTCTGGGCATAATAAAACTCGCAAATGTATATTTCTTGACAGAATTAAACAATAGTTGTTAACTTAATGATGTAGCATCAGCTCTAATTAATTTAATACTACTGCAAAAATCCAAATTACATCAATTATTTATTGTTCAATTGAGATTTTTAGAGGTCATAGTTTAAAATATTAACCTTTAAAAATAATTATTTAAATAAAAATTTATAAGATGTTTAGGCCGGAAATTGAAATAATTTCCTGCTTTCTTTGTTTGCATTTGTGCTATGATTAAGCACAAGATTTCTCTTTCTGATTTAAGTTTAAAAAACCGGCAGCACAAAGTTCGTTATCGCCACTGATTATCAGTGACTGTTTTATCGGACATTTTATAAAGTGTTTAATTAAATTGAGTAAATATTCAAAGCTTGCTTAGCTAGATTTTAATCCGATAAGCTCTGGTCGAGTCTTTTCTAAGTGGATGATGTAAATCGTTAATTTTATATTAAAAAAATTAACATAGAAATTTGAAAGAAACGTCAGAATAATGTAAAAAACCGTATTCTAGTAAAGAAAAAAAAGCGATTTTTGGAGAAAAAATCAAATTTGCTGAATTAACAAGAATAAAATAACAAAAGAAAATCCTGAAGGAACTTTCAAGCTAGTCTAACAAATATGCATGGCCTCGTTTGAAGTCTACTTTTTTGTATCCTGTGTTTCAGTTTTGTAAAAGAAAATATTACGAAAAACCATCTACGTTTTCCCTTGTCCTATGAATTATTAAAGATATAAGGAAATTGTCTAGTATGGAGCGAAATAGCCTGCATGGTTGCGTATTGATCTTGAACAGGGTGGGAATTTTGAAGGCTTCTTTTTCAGCAAAATACATTGCACCACGGAACTTTCATATTTAGGGTTAAAAATGATTTAAAAATTTGACGATCAAAAGTTGAATATCTGTAAAAATTAAGTTTTTTATTTCAATTTCAAAGAACTTTTTTTTCAATCATTGCATTGATTTATTTATTTTTTAAACTGTTTACTCAATTATTGTGTACTTGGTTTATAATTTAAGAAATGATATACAAATACACAATGCATTTCGAACTAAAAAAAATTTGACTTCACTGCTTGTCAAAAATTATTTCCGAGTCATTAAAAAAAAATTAGAAGTAAAAATGCAAAATTAAGCTACAGATTATTTTGAATTTATGTTATCTTATAGAATAGGGTTCAAATAACAACTCTGGTTAAAATAGTAGTCGTAAAATGTAATAAATTAATAATTAATACATAACAAATATGTAGAGACTGGATTGATTCCTGAATTGTTTTTAAACATTTTTTTAAATTACAGTGTACTATTTTAGCACAAAGGTTTTTAAAGAATAAAAATTTGGGCATTCTACGTTAAAATTTCTAAAGTATGAGTCATCTACCGAATATTGGTACATTTAAACATAGGAAGATCTTTGAAGATAAATTGACTAAATTGGCTAAATTTCTTAGAGATTGGCAAATTTCAGACAAACTAATTCATTTAATAAGCTTTCGAATTGTTTGCTCGGTAGGATCAGTAAATTCCTTTTTCGAGAAGTAGGGTAAATCAAACCCCCAAAATAAGAGAATTATGATAAAGGCGATTGAACGATGAAAATGATTCAATTCAGGGAAAAACAGAACAGTACAGATTAAAATTTAAATACATATTGACTTTTTTTTTAACCAAATAAAAAATATCCACTAAAGGAGATAGGTTCATTCTTTATGACTCTCGGCACTCTACTGGAGCAATTTCTCGAAGTACATTCTATTACTTCTCACACAATGTCTAGTACGTTTCCTCACCTTTTCACTGTCACATCGAAACTTAACAATTCTGGCAGATTTTGGGCTGCATTTGCATTATTCATTATACACTTCTGTTGAAGTAGGACTGACAGTCTAAAAGCCAAATTTGCATTGTTTACATGTACTATAATTTTAATTTGTAGTATTATGTTTTTTATTTAATAAAAATTCCATCAATATAAATTAATTCTCTCTCATGACTTTCCTCTGATAGTTTTTTTTTATTGGTTTAAGGTACGATTCTCTTCGAAGCTTACCATTCGAAAACTTGTTAAATAACGTATTTTTTGTGAAATTTGCCAATCTCAAGTAAGTTTTATCACATCGTAGTGAATTTTTGAAATTCATCAGAGATCTTTCAATATTTAAATTTTAGGTTTGTGCCAGCGAAACGGCTATCATTTGGGGTTCAGTAAATGACTCATTCTTTAGACAATTTAACTCATATATTAAAAACAACCACAATTTTGATTAAAAAGGGTTAGATAACGGAGAAATAAACGTTTTTTGGGGTTTGATATACCAAACCCTTCGACAAAAAGTGAACCAACCTTACCAAGCAGACCTTTCGAAAAATTGTTAAATGATTTTTTTTGTCGACAATCACTTGGAAGTTTTTCCAAAGTGTAGTGAATTTTTGAAATTATTCACGGAATTTTCAATATTTAACTTTTATAGCTTTGTGCCGACGAAATGGCTATCATTTTAACCGAAAAGATTCAGTAGATGATTCGGTCTTTAGACAGTTTCACGTAGATTTTAAAAACGACCTCAAATTTGATTTAAAAAATTATAAGTAACGAAGAAATATACATTTTTTTGTGCGGGGGGTTTGATCTACCACACCCTTTGAAAAATTAATGTAACGATCCTACCAAACATACCAATCTTTAGAAAGTTTTGTCTCAGAGTAGTGAATTGTTGAAACTCTTAAAACATCAAATTTATACAGACGTTCACTATTTTCGTGGTCCGCTTGACCAATTAATACATGACAATTAATTAAGGTTTTTTAGTTGAGATTAAAAAAAGTTAATGGCACGAGAGGGATTCGAACCCACGACCTTCGGCTAGATACGCCGCTGCTCTACCACCTGACCTATCGTGACCTCGATCCACTCGAACATCAACTCCCTATCTCAACCCCATCGTATGAGTTTTCCCTCCTTTTGCCATTTTCCGAATGTCGTGTAATCGGTTTGGATTCTGGTGGTAGAGCAGCGGCGTATCTAGCCGAAGGTCGTGGGTTCGAATCCCTCTCGTGCCATTAGCTTTTTTTCATATCAACTAAAAAAACTTAATTAATTGTCATTTATACAGACGTTTAAATGTTATAGGTTTGGGCGAGCCGTACAGCTATTAGTTGAACTGAAAATGCTCAGTACTCGTTCTCTAGACTCTTTAGACAGTTTAAAGTAGATTTTAAAAACAATCTCAATTTTAATAAAAAAATGCATAGGAAAAGTTGAAAATCTATTTCTTTTTTCTGTAAAATTTAAAAAAAATCATACATTGATTTCTGTATCTGTTCATATATTGATTTCTGATTGATTGTGATTTTCATAAAATTCATAGTTAGAAAACCTGTTTTTGCGGCATCCTGCACCATTTAAAATCTACTTAGCTCAATTTTTTTGGCATGGAATGGCGAACCACCCTGTATCATATTGTGAGTTTTATCCGTGTTCTCTGCCGGGTGATGAACCTGGAATTTGCACGACAATCATTTTGTTCTGCTTGTCCTAGTTGGTTTGTCTGTCAACGGGTTTCAACATTTCGCCATCTTCAGCGAGTCTGTGTAATTTTGGCAACTTGATCCACCAAAATTGTAGTAAAGGAAGAGTAAAGTAATTCCTGCCGTACAAAAGGCCTGTTGAGTGTCGAGATCGAATGGTCATAACCACAATATTTTATTCCAAATTAAAATTGACTATTCAAATTTTAATGCTATGCCAGGATTCGAAACCTGCTAGCGTGGTAAATACGAGCTGGACCCACTAACCACTCGGAAATCGCAGTACTTGATAAAATTAAATAAAAATTACGAAATTGTTTTAATCAATATGTTGAATTTATGTGTTTTGTCACGATCAAAAGTTTTATTAAAGGTTAAACACAAAAATAACTGTTTGGACTGGTTACCTTTAATCTTTTTAAAAAACTTCTTTTATTGTTTTATTCTATACATCGTATTGCTAAAATAAAAATAAAAAATGGTTGAACTTTACATTGATCATTTTTATAATTATTGTTTAAGTGGACAAATAAATAGTTGAAAGTTCTAATAAAAATACAGATTGTTCTTTAAACCCAGAAAAGTACAGAATTTGATTGGGTGTATAAATAGACTCATTTGCCTTAGCGACAATTACACTTTATGGCTTCACCGAAGTGCTAAGTCCCTTGATTGGGCTTCTCTCGAATCGATCGCTATTCAAATCAACCCCGATCTGATATGTTTAAAACTGTGGCATTTTAAATTGACTCGATAACGTTAAAGGCGTCACCATTTCTTTATTACAAAAAGTAAAATTTGAGCCGTCTGGAAAAAGGAAAAAATGAAAAACAATTTTCACTGCCTCGTGGGCTTAGAGAATATCCGCTGTTGTCAAACTGGTTAAATTGAAAAAAAGCCCTTTGAGAATGTCAAAGCTCGCCTCGGCTCCTTTCAATCGTTGTTAAATTAATGGTGGGCGTTTGTTTCTTCACCTCCTTTGTTAAAGAAAGAAATAATCAAATAAATCATTTGTGGATGTTAAATATTGATGACGGTTAATTATAAAATGGTATGTGCATCAAAAACAATTACATAAAAATTCCAGCAAGGTGATAAAAATGTTTGTTCACTTTATAACTAATTTATGGATATAAATAAAATATTACAGTATAAACATTTATAAATATTACGTAATACTGGCTAGAATCAGAAATACAATTTTGCTGTTTTTTAACACGACTCTTACAACCTAGAAACTTCTAGAAAAGTCATAATTTGATTAATTCTTGTAAACATTTTCGCTAGGAAGTTAGCCAGGCACAAGATAAATAATATTTCCGCTGTTTTATGCTGGAAAGAAAATGGCAAGTCACGCAGTAAGATAAATCTGTGCGGTATACGGCGAAGATGGTTGCACGAGAGTGCCAGAAGTGGTTGCCAAGTTTAGATAAGTGTTTCTCCAGAACTAAAAGCAAAGAACGACTGGAAACGTTCATAATCACATAAATTAAAACATTAATTCGTGGTAACAATATACAAGAAACAAACATTAAAAACACCTCGAGAAAGAAGTGAGAATACAAGGTAGCTGGGTTTCAGGTGGTGTTTTTATTTACAAATTAATTTACGATTATATAATTTATTCCGTATAAGGGTTTGGCATTTCAAAACATGATAAATAAATTAAAATGAGATACAGCACAACACTAGCCGTAAAAATATCTTTAAATCTCTAGATTTTCAGTTTTTGACCTTTTGAACACGTTCTGGTATAAAAAAATCTGATCGCTGGTATTCGCGAGATATGAATCTCAGTAATAATAATAATTAATAACAGCAAAAGACATCACACACATGTACAGATACGTTGGTGATACAATCGCAATTGTCGATGTCAACAACAAAAACATAAACCACATACTAATAGACCTGAACTCCTTACAACACTTTACGACAGAAATAGAAAATATCAACAGTACAAATTTTGTGAAAGTATAGACAAATATAGAGAATCATAAAAACTAACAAGAAAATACAATTCGACGAGGGTACAAACCAACAGCGACCATCATACAAGTCGACTAAAAAAAAAGTTTGAGCCATTGTGTGAAGTGATTTAATTTTGCAGTTTTGCAATTTGTTCTCGTTTGAATTTGTACGCGAATAGTTCGAGATCGGGGAAAATAATGTTGTTCATTAAGCGAGCTCTTGAGTGTATGCGGTTGGCATCGCTGTTTCTGCGTTTTAAACGCGGGTTGCCACCCGAAAATATGAAGCCATTAGCTTTGCCCGAATGCACGACATGGGCTGGCCATCTGCTGAATTAATTCGGACGTAAATAACCGCAGAGACATGATATGTTTTTGTTCCTCTGGTCAAAACGACAAAAATTTTGTTGCCTTCGTCATGTAAAACTATTGAAATTTTCTTAAACTGAAAATTCCTAGTAATAAAACTTATTTGTTGTTAAATTTTTTGTTTATCATAGATCTATCAACTTCTTTTTTAATTTTATTTATTTATTTTAAAGAGGACCTACTTGAACTCTCTACGTTACAGCTTAACCCAAAAGGACTCCGGGGGATGCTTAAGGATGGTTAGGGACACAATTTCTTCTTCTTTTTATTTTTATTCTTCATAACGTTTTAAAGAATAACAATTATTATTGTTTAACTTCAAGCAATTTTTTTTCTCTTGTAATTTGCAGTTTTACAACTGAAAGTCTGAAAATGAAGTAAAACTAAAAAAAAAATCTAAAGTCTAAACGATCGAAAACAGAGTAATAACTGAACATTATTCCGTAGACATTGGTATTATTTAATTTTCAAAAATCATAGAACTTGTGCTACAAAATAATAATGCAAATAAAAAGATAGAAAAGAGAAAAAGATTCTGAAGTCAAAGCAGGCTTTCAACGATGTTGAAAAAAACGTCAAAAGGAGAAAAAGTACGTAGTTCAGGGAAGCTTTGCGGAATGGTAGAACGGAACGCCGCACCAGTTGAGCACCGGTTTTGGTTTATCGCTAACCGCTAGATTAGACACGATTCCGGATTTAATTTGGTCTACCGTTCCGCAGGGCAAAACATCTCGAGGATTATCGGATTAATCTAAATTGGTATCAGAACGTCATAATTCGATGGTCCAGGGATTTTCTCTTAATAGACCATTTCGGCAGATTAGACGATGGGACGTCCTGAATATAAAAATTATATCTGGATAAGAAAAAATATAACGTTACTACTATCTCTCTACCAATATATAAAAACTGGAAAAAATATTAAACTTTATACTTTGGTTTAAAAATTTATCATTGTGTTATAATTTATTTTTTATTACCTCTTACTAAACCAAAAGATTGTTCCTGAAGTAATACGAAATTTTCAAAAACCACTGCAAGAGCCCGACCTAATTAAAATCACATTTGTTTCACTTTACGGAGTGTAAAAAGTTTGAAAAGATTATTTTACCTCACTGCCATAATCTGCTTCATTCAAGACGTTTCAATATAAGTTTTAAGAGCGTTGTTTAATTTTCCTGTCTACTCAAAAGGAAAATTTCGAATAATCAATAGGCAATAGCGTCTTGACGAGTCATTAAAACAGGTATTTCATTAGTACAGGAAACAGGGAGTTTGTCTTCAAAATTTAAAATTAATTTTTTTATCACGGTTTGTTCACGACTCGGCAAAATTATCTTTGCACTGATATAATCAAACACTCCTTGTCTCGCTTAAATGAACTAAAAACGATATTTGTTTTGGGGCTCACCATTATACTTTTTGAGTCATAACGTGCTCAAAATAATGCTGGCAACTTCGAATCATTCTTCTTATGTCGCGAAAAAAAACCGAACAAACCGTGTCCAATTCACTTCAATCGCCATGCCACTTTATGAATACATCCTGTCCCCGTGGATAGCCCTCAATCCAATCTGCGAAAAAATGTAACGATGAACTAAACATATAATGCTGTAATGCTAGGTACATATATAGATATTGACAAATATATAGAGATAGTGAGATAGATAGAGAGAGTGAGCGAGTGAGTGAGTGCGAGAGAGAAAGATATAGATGGGGAGAGAGAGAGAGCGAGAGAGAGAGAGAGAGTGAGAGAGAAAGTGAGAGAGAGAGAGTGAGAGAGAAAGTGAGAGAGAGTGAGAGAGAGTAAGAGTGAGAGAAAGTGAGAGTGAGTGAGAGCGAGAAAGTGAGAGAGAGAGAAAGAGTGAGAGGGAGATAGATAGATAGAGAGATAGATAGATAGAGAGAGAGAGATAGAAAGTGAGAGAGAGAAAGAGAGAAAGTGAGAGTGAGAGTGAGAGATAGATAGATTGATAGATAGAGAGAGTGAGAGATGGATACAGATAGATAGATAGATAGATAGATAGATAGATAGATAGATAGATNAGAGAGAGAGTGAGAGTGAGAGTGAGAGTGAAAGTGAGAGAGAGATAGATAGAGAGAGAGGGAGAGAGAGAGGGAGAGAGAGAGGGAGAGAGAGAGGGAGAGAGAGAGGGTGAGAGAGAGTGAGAGTGAAAGTGAGAGAGAGAAAGAGATAGAGTGAGAGTGAGAGAGATAGAAAGTGAGAGAGAAAAAGAGAGAGATAGATAGAGAGAGAGGGAGAGAGAGAGTGAGAGTGAGAGTGAGAGTGAAAGTGAGAGAGAGAAAGAGATAGAGTGAGAGTTAGGTAGAGAGGGAGAGGGAGAGGGAGAGAGAGAGAGAGAGTGAGAGAGTGAGAGTGAGAGAGAAAGAGATTAAGAGAGAAAGAAAGAGAGAGATAGAGATAGAAAGAATAAGTGATAATTATATTGATAATTTTTAATGCGATAAGTTGGCATAAACGTTGTTTTATAAAAATATTAAGGCAACGAGAAGGAATATTGTTTCGTTATTTGAAAAAAAAAAGTTCTTATCTCTTCAACGTAATTAGTATACTGTAAAAAGCACACAAAACTGAAAAATAAATCAACTGTTACGCGTCAAATCCAACACAAAAAATTAGCTGTTTAGTCTTCTGGCAAATTGGTTAGACCGTTCGTCGATTTGTTTGAATCCTCGCATCCACATTTCCGAAGATGTAATTATCTTATTTCCCTCGGAACCGGTGTTCCATTTCCCCTAGCCAAAACAGAATTAGGGCGTACAAGCGACAAAAATGGATTCCACACCTGCCCCCGGCATCCGAACGCTTTTATGAAAAGCACGCCTAAGTGTGAGGGGGGAGGGTTGGGTTAATATCTTGAAACGAATCGGAAAATGGAAATTAACATCGAGCCGTATCCTTTCCAATCATCCAATCAACGCCGATTAAACCTATTAAGGCACTGTCTTTTTATCTCCCTCACAAACTAACTACATTTGAATAAATTCAACTTAAATTATCCGTTGATGTTGCTTGAAAACTTCGAATAACACGAAGAAGCCTGATATAATTTTCATTAAGTTTATGTTTTTGACATTTAAGAGTAATATAATTAAATAGATAAAATTCCGTGAGTTATGGTGTCGGAGAAGAAAAGTACTTATAAGAATTATATGAGAATGACTTAGATGAATGAAATCAGTTTTTTTATAAGCTTGTCCGCTAAAGATGAGCTAAATTATCAGATCTATGGCTATTTTCAACCTTTCAAACATGAGATAAAAACTACAGTGTACAATATACTATCTATTTACGTTTTTTTAATTAGTTAATTTTTTAATATTTTTTACGAGGGTTCGCAAAAGCAGAGGTCCTTCAGGGTGTTATTGAAAAAAAGGCCATTTGTAAATACGTCAGGTTGGAATGCAGGGCCGCTGGATTCGAACCCGGGACCTTTACCTTAAAGTGATGAGCGCCGTATCAACGCCTAAACCGTTGCGGCCACCGACGCCCCAATTAATCACGTTTGACATTTCTATTTAATATATTCTATGTGATTATATATTTTGACCTTTTATATGTGAAATATCTATCTTCTTAATAGATTCATTGATTTAATTTTCCAAAGCATTATCGTTTTTATGTTTACATAAATGTTTATAACGGAGGGAGTTATTTGCTCGCTCTGCAACTCTCCTTTCAGCGAAAATGTTATCTATTTCATGAGTGCTGTATTTCGGAAGGGTTTCTCTTATTATATTTTGGACATTTTACTTTGTCAACGGACTTGCTGATTGCTCATTTGAATGGCCACGACCCCACAGGAATAAACTTTATCGGTCCATCTCATTAAGTCGAAAATACAACTATGAGAGTTGGTGAAACAGTTCAATTTTTGACTGCACAAAGCTCAAACTTTCGGGTGTTTAACAAGCTCCGACATTTTATTTTCTTCTAGATCCTATTTTTTATTTATTTTTTGTTCGCTTTAGTGCTATCTTTGTTCCTACGTTAATTTTACTTTTATTATAGAGTATTATTATGTTTTATTCCTTTCTCATTCACCAAAGCAACCTATGACAGATGTCCATATCCATGTCGTATTGGTACTTTTAGTAAAATACAACTTACGCTAAATTATAACTTTAAAAAAATTGTTTTTTATTCTGTTCATAAATATTTTGTAACTATTCTGTATTAGTAATAAAATGATAGTTTAATATTACTATTATCTAATGTTTCTATTGACAAATTGATAAATAGATACTGATAGTGTTATANGATAAAGAAAATGTTTTTCTGAAACCTACATCACACCAGACCGCATCTCACGATTTCTAAATAAAAATTAATAGATATGTCTAATTTTCTCTTTACTACAATTTCTTCTTTTCTCGTTGTATACTTTTCACTATTTTTCTGTCTTTCTACTATTTTTTTGCATATTTTCTCACACTATTTTTGTCTCTGTCTCTATTACTCTCACATTTTGCTCTCGGTGGTTGTGACTAAAAAAAAGAATTGATGATGGGTTTTAGTTTGCGAGTCGGTGAACTCATGCTGAGTTCCTCACTGAAGATGGCGCAATGCGTATGAATAATTCGACAAACCCTCGACTGAACACAGACTCAGTAAGTGACCGTATGTCGGTTCAGCATAAAAAAAGGAGCCACCCTCACTATTTTTTATCAGACAATCTTCTCAATGAGCATTGCCCAATATTGAACGGTTTTAAAAGATTATAAATAAATGAGACAGAATTTCCCACTTGTGATTTTGTAAATAAATATTTGAATAGTTAAATAGGTTTTCTTCTTTGTTTTACACGGACGCTCGTGAAGTTTTCTTATGATTTACTTTTTTTAAGTCACCAAATGTTTGAAGGAAAAATATCACTGCTGGTAGACGGAAGAAGCAAAGCGTATCTGTCCAAGATGCTTAATATTTCCAGGAGAACTAGAGAGGAATATTTTTTACATTATTACTAATGCATACAATATAAATTTGTTAGTTTATTCACAATTTCCATCAAATCAAAAAGTAATTGTCATTTCTGCCATATTTAGCAAATTTAATAAATTATGATTTAATAATTTAATTTTTGCGACGTTATATTTTAAGCTGATTGTGCCCAATCTACTCGGTATACTCTTGCAAGTTTTTCTTGTAAAAATCTTTTTGATAATAAGAGAGAGAAAAAAAAACCAAGCTATCGCACAACTTTCTACTTTTGCGCTCGTTCTCATGGCTTTTCCCAGGAGTACAATTATCCCTTTGATCCCGCACTTAAATTCAAGAATTCTTTTGCCATAGAAACACGACGAATCCTTAAACATAGAACGGTAATATTTTTCATTTTACTTCTTATACGTTGAACTATATTATTAACGAATTTAGCACAGTTTATGTTTTCACATCGAAATTTAAATTTTCTTATCTAAATTAGCAATTTTTAGTCAGCTTATTAGAAATATATACGATTGATTGCTTATGACTTCTGGTTTGCACCGCCATAGAATTTAGGTTCCACGGGGTGTCAATACCAAGGTGATTTCAGCCCCCAACGCATGCAGTTTTCATAGCTAGACACACCCACGTACGTAGAAGTACTGGGGGTACTGAATATTTTGAATATCTCACACACTTTCACTCTAATAGATACATTCAATACGCCACAAAGCGAGATATCTCCCGAGTACGATATACAATAAAACAGCTTCCGAAAATCCGAGCAGGGAATCCGAAGATTCACTGCGTGTTCAAGTACAATTCTCACATTGGGTGGAATTCCTACTCGCTTTCTATATGGAGCCAATGTCACCCTCACCCACGTATCGACTAACCTCTCTACATATTGTTGGCAAGAATGGGAATATTGTGATAATATACATTCTGACTAGAAATGGCCTAAAGATCTTAAAAATTTGAACCGTTCTCCCGCAGAATCTGTTATGAATATTATCTGAGTCTAGAATCAAAACCAAGTGACCCTATGGCAAACGTATGTAATGCATGTTTGCTTATGAAAATAATCATAAATAATAATTGCCAAGTCAGTTCATCATTTTCCAAGCTAGTAAACAAAGTTGAAACGAGAAGCAAATTTTCTTTTAATACTTAAATTACACACTAAATATAATTTCTGGGAAACGGTGAAAATTAATCATTTCGCGTAAATTTCACATTAAAGGGCCGTCCGTATGTTCAGTTTATTGTGGCTTTGCAAGCACAGGGAAATGAGTAAAGTTTTCAGGCGTAATTTTAAACTGTCGAGCTTGTTGCTCAAAAGGAAATTTTGAGGCGGCGGTTCATTATCCTATGAGGTTAAGGTAGCTAAACCAATCTGATAAAGGGATCTGTATATGAATAATGTAATTATAAGTTTTTCCAAGATAAACTGTTCTGAATTCCCACGTACAAATCCTAATGGATTTGTATATTTTTATTTATTACTTGTAAAAAAAAGTCATTTCGTTTTCCCAGAGCCAAGTCCTGTTTTAATAAAATTCCCCTCGGAAGTCGGTAATGAAGAAAAACGCTATTGCCAAGTTTCACACTACTTTCTCATTTTGT